TGATTGATTTTATAAATATATTCTTTTAAACGATAGTGTCTAACGTTAATCACTGTTTAGATTAGCATAAAATGAAAGACTTTTGTACCATACCGTTTGTCTTAGTTGGCACAGTTAACAGAAACCATTGGTACTTTTCTATTTTGATATTTGTAATTTAAAAGTTTTTAGATTCTACTGTGATCGACTATATGGCAGCAATGGGATTCGATCACAGACTAGATTCAGAGTCAAGCGTTTTGATCGACTTAACTGATCGACTCGACTTGAAGTACAAAAAATTTGAACATGTATACACCCTTACCTATATTAATATTCTCTTGTCTTGATTTTTTATAAACTTAACTTTTAGTTATTAACATAAAGGCGATATTAGACATGAAATTTTTTATGTGAAAAACTTATATCCGATTTCAAAAGCTTGCGAATACAAGTTGACAGAAATCGTTTTCTGAAAATAAATTGTCGAAAAATAGGGGAAATTTGTTCGCGATTTATATTGTAGTCCGAAACGTTTTCTAATCAAACATACAATACATGCATTTTCTGTTTTTGTGGTTTGATGAAAGAAAATAATTTTTTCCTGTTATGTTGTAGAAACTATAATTTATTTTAGTCCAATATTCCGTGTTTTTCATCATTAGTAATATTGTGATTCAATTAAAAGATATATTTTGTGAGGAGTGATGTGATATGTGATCCCAAGTTGAAAAACATTGCACATTCAAATATTGAATACCACTGACATTTTCCGCGGCAACACTTTGATAGGAAGAAAAAATATTTTAGTTCTCTATGTTAAGAAGAATGAAGTAACATATCAAGAGCGACCTAACGAGGAAATATCTAATTTAGTGAAGAGTAATGTAATTTGAACAACTTCTTTATTAGTTATACCACAATGACAATTTTAATGTACATCGCAAAGTTGTCGAGTAAAAATTATTAAAAAAAAATTAATTTTTTCTATGAAATCTGTTTAGCTTTTTCAATCACATGAAGCCTAAATTAATAACATAGCGTATTACTTAGACCAGATTTGTGCCGATTTTTCAGTTCTAACACTTGTTATTTCGACCCTATGAAATTTCCCAGTAAATACTTAAAGAGTGCTTTTTATGTAGTTCTCTGATAGATACTTTATCGGGTTTCTCTTCTCTCTGACATGTAAATAGCCTCATTGTTGTGTGATGGCAGCATGTCGGTTATTAATCAAAGTGCTTAGTAGTTCACTCTGAAGACGCACACCTATAGCACTCTTAACACTGAGCAACGAATAGTGATTATCTTGTTGTTCGGCACTGCCGAGGGTCTGGGCTACGACTTATTTCCCTCTTTTCTTTTTCTTTCTCACAGATCCTTACACATAGAGTCGGAAAGACTGATATTTCGTGGCGCCATGTATCTTCGAACGCCTAGTAGCGATCTTTTCAAGCTACAGTAAGACGCTCGCTCAAATAATAATAATAAAAATTTTATTTATTATTTTATTTTTAAATTGATTCATTTTTTTATCATTCCGCTTGAGGTCCCAGAAGTCGCTTAGATTTAGAATTATGTATGTCAGAGCATGTACATGTCACAGTCTTTCTTGCGGCCATCGCCGTCTTAGCGTTGGTGACCAACCTCCAGGTCAAAACGGACAAGCTTATCCGGATCATGTCTTTTGCTCGCTACTGGGCCATTTTCGTCCCCTGTTTGAGAGGTGGGAGATCCTCCTACTCCAGGCCTCTTATATGGTCAGAATCGCTAACATGTTTTTGAGGTGCGGCGCGACTCCTGAAATGATCATCACCGCTGCTGCCCGTGGCAGGGATGAGCTGTTTGTGGTGCCGAAACCTCTGTCCGAACGCTTTAAGAGATCGCTGAATTTCTCCGCATCAACAATTCTCAATTACCTGTTGTACGAGCTCGGGTCTACGTCACTAAGCAGAACCACCGTGAGGAATTGGCTCCGTGCCACTGATCCTGCACAGATTGGTGCAATCTGTAGATCCCGCTATGGATAGCGGCGATGGCGAGCGCTGCCACCATCACGACTTGTTCCTATGTCCGAAGGAAGGGTGCAGAGGCTCCGAAAAGTTTATTTGCTTTCTCGACCCCTCGCTGCCTAACGTTAAACCCCACCCGGAGCCAAACAGCCCCAATGGCTAGGTTCTCCACCTTCCGGCACCGCATGCCGGACGACAGAATGCCCAAAAAACTGTGGTGTCGTGCCCCATTTTCAGGGCCTAGGAGGAGGGGCCAGCCCCGAACAAGGTGGATGGACGTGATGAACGACGTCCTCAGGGCCCTGGGTGTGGTGTGTTACTGGCGGGCGGTGGCGGCGGATCGCGGAGAGGCATTGTGGAGCAGGCCATGGCCCTTAAAGGGACGAAGGACCACTTAAGTAGTAAGTAAGTACATACCGTCACTCATTGTAAACCTTAGAAATAAGTAAAATACAATACTCCTCTTTAAAGCTTGGCCGCGATTGGGAGTAATTTCAGACAATTAATCGTAATCGTATAGAAATGACAATAATTGAAGATCAAGATTTTGTAGCCAATAGCTCAATCTAATAGAAAGGAAAAAATATAAAAATTTTCATTGAATTCGCAGCAGAGGCACTTTACTATAGATATATAGATTGAATCACAGTCAACACAGGAGTGTTAAATTTCAAACATGTAAAAGTTTAACATTAGAACTGGATAAGGAAAAATTGCCCTTGCTATTTTCGCCAAAAACAATGTTTTAGGATTTAAGCAATATCATAATATGTAAGAGAAGATAAGTGGTAAAATTTGCCAAAATTTACTAAAGTTTAAATATGTAATTAGTAGATCTGTGATGAAAAAAAGTTGCAAACATCTTTCATGTTCAGGCTTGAAAATTAGAGCCATGATTGCACATTGATTCAAGTTTGCAAGTTAAGTTGCAGTTTCCTATTTGTCACTCTGTTTTTACACATTCTTTAAAACAACCTCTGGATGTCGTGTTAAAATTACTCATTAAGGCGATACAAAATGGCTTTACACATGTGGACCAGAATAGCAAATAACACAAGTGGTAAAAATTTAAACACAAGTAGTTAGTTTCTTTACACGCTCGCCATTTTAAGCCTTACATGTGTAACTCAAAATAGTGCAAGGCGTGTGGTAAACCAATATAACACATATTTAACATTTGTTTGGTCAGCAAGAATTGCTTCAATATTTGACGGAAATTTTATTTTCTGTCTAACTTTCTCTCATAGTGACAGAGGTTATCATATCGCCCCTGAAAGACATGATTTTATCCGGAAAAGACATTACGCTGGCACTAACACTCAATATGTGAGAAATTAATTGAATAGTCGAATGAAATTTGTGGAAAATGACTTGTGAATACTGAGCAAAACACTTAAATCGCGGTAATTCTGAAAAACAGACGATTTTCAACTAATTTATCCAATTTTTAAGATATCTTCTCGGGACATTTCATAAAATCTGTGTCAAAGTAGCCTATACAAACCATTGATAGCGCAGTGGTTTCATTACTCGGCCTCTCTTGGTCTGGGTAAGAAACGCGATGTTAGAATTTATTCCTGTCCAATTCTTCCCAATTTTCTTCTATTCTAAAAGATTAATGTGCCGAATCCCGCTGCCATTTCTTGGTTTAAATATCTTGACACTGATCGGTACAAAATGCTTTGGTTTTCGAAGTAAATTGAGAAAAAATTGGTTACACTGAGAGACGAATATACTTATCCCATACAGGGAAGTAATTTAAGTTGTCGACACTTACCGACATTTATCGCTACGAATTGCGAGCAAATTCGTCTGTTTAATACAATTTTAGGAGAAAAATAGGACTGATATGGACTAATTAGCCTCTAGTCTATTGATTTTACCTATCTTTGTCTTAAAATTGGGTGAAAAAAGAAAATTGTGTGTAATTTAAGTTGATAAGTGGGATGAATTTACCGACATTTCAATGCACATTGGGTAAGCGCTTAAGTTATGTGTCTGTTCAAGACATCTCTGACTCAGGTGTCTTGAACTCATTCTCGAGCTTTTATTTATATTTTGACTTGCTTCACATCCAATCTTTGAATATAATGCTCCAAATTGATAGATTCATAATCAGAAGCCCTGATAATGCCGCTCTTCGGTGTGAATTTAATAATTTACACGTCTATAGATCTCTTAGACCCTTGGAACGAAAAGTCAGCGCGGTGTTGCCCGAAGTAAATTTATGGTGTTGTGGAAGTTACGAACGGTGCTGGAACGTGTGGGACAAGGAAGAAAGATATACGAATCACATGGCAAAGAGAAAGACAAAAAAATTGCTTTGCAAAATCACAATACAAATTGCCTGATTTTCACCATTAAAATATTATACAGTAAGACAAATCGATTGCTTTTAACTGAGACAAATATATTGAATATATATCATATCAGTGAGTTTTAAACGACTATAAAGCAAACCAAAAATACTAAGATTTGAAAAAATATTAATAATTTTAGTCACAATACATTATATATATATATGTATATATATATATTCCATATTCAAAATAGGAAGTTTATGTTTACCAAAAAATTTTCCCAATATGTGAAAAGTGCCGGTATTCCGAATGATACAGTGCGTCCATAATGGTTTGTTTCGCATTGTAACATAGACATGATAAAGTTTCCTGTCACTGCGTCTGTCTAAGTCACCGGAGGGGCGATTGCAAAGAGTTAATTGACGGGATAATTGAGGTATGAGAAAGAATTAGAGACAAAGTGAAATTAATTTAGAGTAATTATATGAACAGAGAGGTTTTTTTGTTGTGGCTATTTCCAAGTCATTTGAGTAACCCTTGGGGTACAAGTAACGTCCTGTAAAGGACGTAGGATTTAATTAATTTTTCACTCAATAATAATTAAAAAGATTTTGCGCTAATCAGTTGGTTCGATCCAGAGAAGTGGCAAAATTAAATCCTTATCTTTATTCAAATCTATGTTCATTACATTTCGTCCTTTGCAACTCACCAAATGTTTTAACTTTGTAGAATTAGCAGTCCATTGTAGGTATAATCAAGTCGATTATCTTGCGACTCGTCAGTCGATGAATTAGGAACATAGGTTGTTGCTTTGAGAACAGTTGATCCAATTGTAGTAACCTGGCACACTTCACAATTATTATAATTCAGTCTACTGTCACCTGTTGCAATTTTCTTATATTCTATATTATACTACTTTTCATATTATTTAATGCTTTTACTTGATATAAAAATAATGATTTGCAAATTTTTACTTAATTCACTTTTTATCTTTTTAATAGGATCACTGTGAAATACTCACGAGGAACTTTGATGAAATACTTTTCTACTTGTTTTACCCATGAAAAACTGTCAGTACTGTTCTCAATATTTGAGCAATATCATTTGTGCCGAGCTATATTTGCTCTTTGTGTTTATGTTTTGGTGATTATGCTCAATTATAGCATCCAATGATTGAGCATTGGATTTAAATTTTTCTTAACCCGAAATTTTTTACATGAATGTCACTATCATTTCTTAATATACATGTAGATTACATTTCTAATATTTTTATTTTCAAGTTTTGTATTTTTAGGAGTAAAATGCGAGGTTTATGTTTTATATACCATGAAGATCAATACATCCAAATTAGGGTAATGATGCTTAGATAACTATCACGATTCTTCTTTATAAATGAGACTGTTCTCTTGTGGGGAACACTTTTATTTATTCTTATTTTCGGGGAAAATAGGAGTACTTTCTGTTCCCCAATATTGTGCACCAATCACGTCATTTTTTTTTGTTATGACATATGTTCACACTTTGAGAACAAAACTTCAAACTTGCTGTACGACTTCACAATATCACTACAATATCATCAGAACTCAACTTTGCCATCCCTCGTTTTCTTGCCGCACTGCACTTTTAGGAACTTTTAAATACACACTTCACTTTTGAAAAGAAGAAACAAAATAATATTAGATAACCAGGATCATTATTGTAGAATAAGTCCTAATTAGTTTTTTTTTAAATTATTTTCTTCTCAAAACAGTGCATCTGTCTAAATAGGTTCAACTGAGAAAAAACTTGTAAAGGAAAAGTAAAAGAAAACTTAATTTTTTCACGGCTGGTCTACCTTCTGTTTTACGTTAAGTCGTATTATTATTTTTAAATACATATATACTTTTTCAGGTTTTTTGTATTAAGTATGTGTGTCTTTTTTTGTTTGTGTCGTGCGGTCGAGGACTGCATACGCTCCAAGTGAGCGGTGACCGAAGACTAAATTCAATTTCTCTGGCTCTACATCATATTGGTATTGGCGTAACTGATGAAGAATTTGTGACTAAGAGCGACTGAGAGAGATGTCTTTGGCCCACCCCCAAAGGGCGGAGTTAGTTACACTTTCTCGGTCGCCTTCGTCACTTTTCGCAACATATATCGGCAATCTCAGAAATTGCATGTACGGGGTGTCCCAGACAATATTTTCCAATCCTAACGTAAAATAATTTTTTTTAAGACAATTAAGGGATATTTTCAGAGATTAAAAGAATAATGATAAAAGCTATATTTGCACTCAGGGTCAAATATACCATCATTTTGATTGAATCGAATTTATATGAAAAATTGTGCTATATTAAATATTTTTCAATTGATCTTCTTAATCCTGTGTTGGTCTTAACTTTTCAAGCATTGTTTTTAGCCCGAAACGGTCTTTATCAGAAGGCATTTGTTTTATAAGTGGTTAAAAGCATGACTTGGCCTCACAAATAAAATAAGTGTTATTACCTTCAAACAGCAGAAGAAAAGACGTTTAATTGAGAACTCTTGAAAAGGTTTGGTAACATCGGCAAATCAAATTACTATCAAGTACTCCTATTGTAGCAGATTTATAGCAAGAGCCTTGGCAGCAGTGTCAATGAATTGCCCCAGACCTGATTTTCTTTTTTTTTATAGTTTTATAATCGCTTGTTAGAAAAGTTAACGAAAGAAAAAAGTGTGAAGTGAAGAGAAGAAAAACGAAGAGAAGAAAGTTCACGCCTTTTTGGACAACAAGAATCAGTCAACCCGGTCCAGGACGTTTGGCTCTAATTTTCTTCTATTGATGTGGGGAGAAAACTTATTATATGCTACAAACCTTAAACTAACACTTACTAAATTAATTTTTTTTTACTTCGTTTATTTATTACTCTATGTGTTACACATTTTAATAATTTTTGGCATCGATGCATGTACATTAAAAGAGTATAGAGGCCAGTGTCCTTATCCTATCACAGAAGACAAATTAACAATTAAATTTGAAACAATTGACAGAAATAATTTTTTACATGTACAAATCCGATGGCTACCTCAGCTGTAGTCTCCTTCTTGTTTGCAGCTTCATGATGTCGCTCTCTATCGTGACATTTGGATGTTGATTGGATCGAGACGTTCTTTATAGGTTTTACTCCTCTCAAGAGCGACTTCCTTCACAGTTTGTATGTCCAGGTCATTTCCCAGTATGTGGTTTGGAACGTACCATGGAGCTCCGGCGATCATTCTCAGTGTTTTATTCTGAAATCTTTCCAAGATATCGATGTTTGATGAGGCCGCTGCACCCCATAGCTGAATCTCATATGACCAAATGGGGATGAATATGGTCTTGTAGAGCAAGACCTTGTTTTGTAGAGAGAGTTTTGAACGTCTCCCCAAAAACCAGTACATCTGTCGGGAGAGCGAGGTGAGCTGCATTCTTTTCGTCCATATATGCTTTTTCTATGTCAGTCGTCTATCCAGGTGAAGGCCCAGGTATTTCACCTCATCCGTTTGCTGTAGTACAGAGTCGTTCAGCTTCACAGGTGGGCAGCTGCTTCTTTTGAGGGTAAAAGTAATTTGCTGGCACATAGACTCGTCCACCCTGATCCTCCATCTATCCAGCCATTTTTCGATCATACCCAGGTGCAATTGGAGGTGTTTGCTGGCCAGGACTGGATCGTCATGTACGGCTACTATGGCAGTATCGTCCACATATGTATATACTGAAGTAAAGCTCGTTTCTGGGAGATCTGCAGTGAAGACAAGATAGAGAAAGGGTCCAAGCACACTCCCTTGTGGCACCCTCGAGAAATTAAAAATGTGTGTATACATTTTTTTTTTTATTTTGAATGTAGTTTCAACCAGGACCGATTTATATTTTCTGATTGCAATAGAACACAAAATTATTGGTGAAAACACAGCATTTGTAATTTGTCCACGATCATCTCTTTCTACCCCACGCGTATCGTGTATTTTCCTTCCTACACGCACAGTGGCTGTATCGACATGTCAGAGTCGACCGCTGACAGAGTAAGAAGGAAAATATACGATACACGTGGGGAAGAAAGAGATGTTCGTGGACAAATTACAAACGCTGTGTTTTCACCATAAGAAATTTTATCTGAAATCAATTATCAATTGCAAAGCAAAACGAAAAATAACATTACTTTATTGAATATAAAAAAAATTGTAAATAGAAACAAGTCGAAAAATCATACTTTTGTAAAAGAAAATAAATATTTTTTAAATATTTGTAATTGGTTTACAATGCAAGTGTTCTGTATAACATGTAATTAAACTACAATTTATTTATTTGCTAGGACTTGCTACTTATTAGGACGTCGAAGACTAATATTCATTCAAAACAAATATCTCTTGGATTACCTTGTACTAAACAACTTAAATGAAATTATTATGAGATAAATGAGTTCTTAGGATAGCGGAAAAACATGTTAACAAATATTTAACGGATAAAAGTATTGTCTAATAATATTTCTTAGGCACTTATCCCACTTAATCGAAACATTGGTAAGTTCTTTTTTCTTTTCACTACGGATTTTACTTTTTTGACCAAATTCAAGTAGAAAAATGTTTTAAGTCGACAGTTGAGAGACTGAGTAGTCCGTATTACTCCTATTTTCCCTTAAAATTTTATTTAAAAGGGGAAATTGCACGTAATTCGTATCGAGAAGTGAAAGTATGGAGAATAACTTGCCGGCATTTCAACGTATGGGTTATAATTTCTTTAATGTGTTATACTACAGGTAGTGTTTTGAAATAAAATTCCCATGCATTCTGTAATTTTTTACATATAGAACTAAACTTCACCACTGTCTAATCTCTCTCCATCCGGGGTAGGTCAGTGGGCGAAAAATAATGCAATCACTTGTCTTCCCTGGCTTTGAACCCGAGGCCTATGAATTGGTACTTTATAGTCCAGTGATTCAGGCCATCTGAAGGCGAAACTTCATATATATATATATATATATATATATATATATATATATATATCACATATAAGTGTCGGTAAGTTCTTTGCAATACCGTCACTTATCGATGAGACTTACGTGCAATCATCTCAGTTTAATACAATTTAAGGGAAAAAATTACTAATATGGATTATGTAGGTCCTTGACTGTTGGTTTGAACTATCTTTCCTAAACACAAATTGTAAACAATACAATTCGTATCGATAATCATCGACAAATGTTGGTAAGTGTTCAAGACGAACGACTTCAAGTCGAAAAGAAACAAGTCGGATATGGAGCCAAGTTTTAATAAATTCATATGTAAAAAAAACTATAGGATCAATGCAACTTTACTGACTTCTTATTTCGGTTCAAAATAGTTACGAATTTAGCATGTCACTTCACGCTTTCCATAGTTGATACTGGCGGCCGCCCGGCGGGTGCTATTGTGAATTACGGATAAAATACCAGCGAGACGGCTATTCAAGGTGCAGTGAGGAGTATATATAATTCGAATTTCAGTTGTCAAAAAATCAGTACTTCAGGGTTTCTTTTTTAACTGCCGTTAAGTGTTATATTTTCTATGTGAGGGTGTTTTCAGGGCAGAATATTTTAACTTGTGTTCAGTTTTTGACCATTTTACTGATTTATCTGCGATTGTTTCGGACATTGGGTGTGTTTCGCATAAGATGATTGACAAATTTTGCCAACCAGAATATCCGAGAAGATGTAGTTGCTCAGGAAATATATACATAAAAAGTAAAAAAAAAAATCAAAATTAGGTTTTTTAGTTGCGTATTCTTAAAAAAAATTCATTAGTATTTTGGAAACAGGTTAAAGGACATTCGAAAAAGTGGCAAAGTCTGTTACGTGACCCTCTAGATACAGTATCTGCACCGTCTATAGTCAATGCCAGCATTCTTCTATTTCCTAACTGTTGGTTTCAAGTTTTCAAGTGAAATCACGCCATCGGAGCGTTTGATTTTGAGTCCCTAATTTTTGTTAAATTTAGATATTCAAATCAAGCAGTGTTGGATAATCTTAATCCTGGGACTTTCTGGGTTGCCGGATATATAAATAAATAGAAAGTTAGACAGTGAAAGAACAGTTCCGCACCACAGGAAAAGACAGGAATTCTCGACGACGATTGCATAAATAGAAGGAATTTGTAAAATGCATCATGAATTATAACCAAGGATGTTGGATGCTTACATCAATGTGTTAAAGCGGTACAGAATGGATGTGGCGGCAGATTGGGTCATGAGGTTGTCGTGAAGTGGGAAATGAAATGGAACATTGTATTACTGTAGTACTCGAAGAACGCTTGATAAGACACTCGACTTTTTGCCAGTGCAAGCCTGCGAACTCAACTCCTTGGCTCTAAATCCATTGATGACAGTATATGTCATGTCCTAGAAATCGTTAGATATAACGAAAACGAATGATCACGAGCAGCTCATTCTACAATTAAGGACAGGAGACTAGGCTGACTTTATGGGGTAAAAACGAGCCCCATCATTAGCACAATCTCCCATAAGAAATACATTGAGAGTCCGTGGCACATGGCGCTGTCGTCGATTCGTGGTGGGCGAAATGTGAAACATGCCAACTGCTGTAAATTGGCAGATTCACAACTTGCAAACAAATCTCAATATCATAATGAAATCCAAATGTAAACAAGCCTAGCTTAAATTATATGATTTGGTATGAATCCTAAAGTCTCCCGAAAGCATTCCGTCTCGGCATCGAGTGGGAATATTTGTGCAAATTTCTCCTGGGTTTTTTGTGATTTTCGCAGTGATTTATTCGGGACTTATGCAAAAGTATATTATTTTCAATGAACATAATAGTGAAATGTGAGAGCGTGACAGCAAATTGAATAACGCGAGTGTTTTTTCCACGATTTTCGCGAGGGCGATTTTTAACCCTTTTGCTAGTGCCGATATAATTTTTTAGCCTAATTTTTTCGCTCTATTTGTGATAAATTAGTGATTTATCGTGCGTTTCGTGTATTTTTCAGCCAACCGCATTCAAGGTTGGTTGAATTGAGAATCTGAACTCTGATGTGAGGGAATAGCTTAAAAAAATGCCTTGCTCTGATTGGAAGGTTTTTTAAGAGAGATGGCAGCACTGCGCTGTTAGTTCATGTTTGGACGCTTTTGTAATGACTATACGTTTATTAATTGTGACATTTTTTTCTCCGATTTTTGCTCGCAAATGGCACAAAAATGTTTGCTCGCGAATTTTGATGTTTCAGAAGTCCTAGTAAGAAGTCCTGAGCAAACCCTCAAGTGGACGTCTTGAGGGCGAACTCACAAAGCCCCGAAAGTCGAAGTCGACGCTGGCGGATTGGGAAGCCTGTATCTGTTGATGATATAAACTGAACTAATTTGCAGCGAATAAAGGACTGATTTATTTTCTAACTCAGGTCGACTTATAAATGCAATATAAGCTGACATATATAGCTGACGTTGAAAAGAAATACTGCGTTGCTCAAAACCAAACGCCAGACGAAATAATGACCAGGAAGCTGCTGAACTCTAAACCCCAAGGCATCAGGAAAAGAGGTTGATACGAAGGACTTGGAGAGAAATAGTGGATGAGAACCTGGGCAACTGAGAGTGTTGTGGAGCTAAAGAAATTTAGCGACAGATCGCCCGGAAATAGTAAGAAGTGATACAGAACACTCTGAACTTCAATAGGACGAAGCACCACGTAAGTTTCTAAGCGCTATCTATACTCGAGAAACCCAAAATCATCAGATCCAAAAATTAATTATAAGGAATTTTAACATGCGCTCATACCAAATTTAAGTTTTCATTATATTGAAACGTTGTGCTGGAGTGAAAAGGACTCGAACTCATTGGCATTTTCCGTTACATCGTTGAACATTAATTTTTTTACCAAAAAAAATCTTTACTTTTCATTATATTGTCGTCCGACCCGTCCGTCATTACCATTTTTACCAGAATAAGAGTTATGGTTATTATTTATTTCGTAATTTGGACTCTAGTTTCTATGATCTAGAATGATTTACTGTCTATAGTGGCAATTCTTAGGGATGGTCTTGATACAAGCAATAACATATTAAAATTTACCATCGACCCGCATCATAGGAACCTGCGTAAGTAAGAAAGCTATCTTTGTCCGGTTTTCAAAATAGCGGAAAAAGCAATGGGGAATTTTATATGACAAAAATGTCCTCTTCACTATCTCGCCCAATCAGAAGTGGAGAATTGCATTATCATATCTCCGCCCGAATCTTAAAATCTCAGTAAAACGTTGGAAAGTACTTTCAGGCATGGACGCGAACATGGACAGCATGGACACATTAGCTTTTTGTGATTGAACTTAGTAGCGCTCCACTAGAAGCGCGCGATTATTCGGCAATTTTTAGGGTGACATGGCGCATAACGTATAAATTTCAGCTTCTAAATCATTATTATTCAGTTTCATCTCAAAATACTGTTTTGATATAACAAAAAATAATTAATTGATAATAAATATTAAAATATTATTATTACTATTCGTAATTGTAAATAAAATTTTTTTATTGTCCATCTATATATATATATATATATATATATATATACATATACATATATGAATACTGATTTTTATTATAATATAAAAAATTCAATTGTCTTGTTGTTTTTATAATTAAATATGGAAAGCAATTCGGTTCACTGAATAGGATATTGTAGTGAACAATTTAACCATCCAAAATCACACAGCAACACATCACGCGTCAAGTCTGCGATTTTCATCCCAATACACACTTTGGGCTTATAAGCTGGGTGCGAATACTTCATACCCGCAGCCCGTATGTGTGTGGCAGTTCAGTTGGAGGTTTTGCGGGAGAATTAAGCAGTAGCATCGGAGCTTCAATGGACTAATCAGAGTGTATGAATAGTTACTTTTGCCATTGCCCTCTTTTATTTGGCGCTCAGGCGTGCGCTTTCTGAATGATGGAGCTTTCTTGGAGGGTCTGGAGAGAAAAACCACGACGAAGACCCCGTAAGGCGCGCCTCTAGCATCCAACCACGCCTGTGGACAGTCGGTGGACGCCATAAGACTATGACCTCAGTGACGCGAAATAGCCTGCAGGAGGAAAACCGTCGCTATCGCCCCAACGCCGGCGATCCGGTGACGTCCTAAAGTGTCTTGTTCTCCAGACCGTCGAAAATAATAGGGCGTTGTGCGCTGAAGCGAAAGAACGCTCCATGGCGCGTTCCCTGGTTCATGAACCAGGGAAGCTGCCAGGCGCTGAGAAGACCCCAAGACGAACCTTACGTCTCCATGGTGGCACTCTAGCCTTCTGATAGCGCGTACCCCTTCCGTTACTGCACATCTTAGTCTTCAGCGACTTCCCCATCAAGGGATGGCTGTTCTTGCTTTACCTTCAGAGCCAACAGTCCATAATTTGTTAGGTTGAGTGCTTCCTTCCCTAACAACATGCAATAAAAGTCCATGTATTGCCAAGGAGCTACAATGTGATTGAATTTGGGCGCTTATGAGACTTCACTTTGATTCCTTGGCGTGGAAAATCCTTCACAAACAGCATCAAACAACACGCTCGTCATTTACAATAATAAATAATGAAAAGCATTTTAGTAATCTTAAGAAATTTCTATTAATATCTTTATTGTAAATGTGAAATTTTTCGCAGAAGTGGACTTTTTACATGGTTAACGACAATCTCGGCTGTACCGTTGCTCTTTTGATCTTGGCTGCACCCAGGTCTTTAAGTGAGCCTATTATGTAGACCTTTCTTTGATGACTTATTATCCCTTTTCCTTATATCCTCTTATTTATAATAATAACAAGAAGAATAATAATAATAATAATATTTATTACACTCGAGCCTTTACACACACTATTTTTGTGATTGACTGCATTGAAAGTGCCACAAGCGCCTAGGGAAAACTCACGAAAACCACGGAAAATCTGCATCTTGTTAACCGAGAGGGGAGTAAGTGTTCATAAAACCTCTTTCAGAGGATTTCGCGCAATTTTTTCAAGAACAGAAACAGGCAGCTTATGTCTTTTACCTCTGGAGGCAGTGCATTGAATAGTGTCGGAGCGCGGTACTCAAAAGTTCTTTTGTAGAGCTCAATTATAGGCCAACGTACAGAAACCTGAATACTTCTTCTATCTAATCTCTGTCTGCGCGACGAAAGATATCATCCTCTCAGAAAAAAAACAGCTTTATGCACTTGTATTCATACAGATACTGCAGGGGCATGACTCTCCACTCCTGAAAAACTCCCTTCACCGATTCCCAACTTTTCTTTCCCATCAGTGCTCTCAGTGCTTTACTCTGCACAACCCCGACTACATTCAAGATTGTCGCGCATGCCCCTCCCCAGTTAGTCAAGCCATAGGACAGGCGACTTTCCACGCAAGCCTGATAAAATTTTTTCTTAATTCCCTCAAGGCACAGATTCGACAGGTCATAATACCCTCTTATTATGGGAAAAAGTGACGTCTTCAACTTCTACACTTGGTGCCTCCAGCTAAACTAGAGTCTATTTCTACTCCTAAATATCTCGCACTCTCTACCACAGGGATCATTATGCAGTGCGCATCGCACGCCCCTACACCACACCCGCGAGAATGAGATCTTATATGAGGAATGCGAAAAACTGTTTCCGATGCCCTAAACTGCACCATAACGCTCTTGTCACTCATAACCATGAAATGAAGATCCATCCACTCCCTGATCCTACTCAAATCATCGCGCATCATGGATTCAACATCCCGCCATGTCGGTGCCACATACGTAATGGACACATAGTCAACATAGGCCACGACATCTCCCATCAGCCGAAGTCTGCAGAGATCATTCATGTAGACAAGAAATAGCACGGGACTCAAAACACTACCCTGAGGGACACCACACGAAACACCCCGGAAAACACCACTCTCCCCACGCACTCTCACTGCTTGCTCTCGCCCACTCAAGTACGACCTGATCATATCCAGACTGTGCCTCCTGAAGCCAATGTAATTCAGCTTGTCCAGAAGATTTTCGTGGTTCACTGTGTCAAAGGCCTTTGATACGTCGAGATAGAGACTCGCTACACATTGCCCCTCATTAACTCCCCTGTGTATTCTGGCCAGCACCACCTGTAAAGCCTCCTTAGGTCCTCTTCCCCTTCGGAATATGCTGGAAAAAACTTAGCATTGAATGTTTTACCGACGATAAACGATATTGCCTTTTTTTGAAGTTGATCTCCAGTCTGGAATTGTACTCATCTATATATTGGGATCGATGCGAAACACAATTCCATAGAAATAGTTAATTCAACTGGAGTATTGACCAGCAATTGACCATATTTGGGCTCCTTGTATTTACATTTTTGCCGTTGACAGGCTTAATATTTTCGCATCTATTCGATCATCTGTTAGCGAAGGGGGGTCCAACACAGGACCCACACAACCGACGAAGTTTTCCATTGTATCTATTGTAACCATGGCCGCCGTAAACTGATATACTTTTAAGCCAAATTCTTTCCAAGAAAATTCTTCGGACTATCGTCATAACACTGACTAATTCGTCAAGAAAATACGACAAGTCTCTATTGGGATTAAAATTCTGACACGTCAATACATCACATTAGTGAACAAAATAAGTTGGGGAAATCTGCATGGTTTCAATACAAGTGTTTTAATGCTCTTCTTTTTGGGATAACTGTATTTTCTTAATCCTTATATGTGAGCACAAACCTGATTAACTTTATACATTGTCAGGGTAATGGAACAATCAAAAGATGCCTATCAATAGGAAGCCTACTGCTGCGTCGCGTCTTAAACAAGACTACATGAGGCTGAAAAAGGATCCTGTGCCCTACATTACAGCTGAGCCCTTGCCGTCAAACATACTTGAATGGCACTTTGTAGTGAAAGGACCAGAAGATACGCCTTACCTGGGTGGCTATTACCATGGAAAATTACTATTCCCGCGTGATTTTCCCTTCAGACCTCCAGCAATCTATATTATCACACCAAATGGTCGCTTTAAGCCCAACACAAGACTTTGTCTGTCCATTTCCGATTTTCATCCAGATAGTTGGAATCCCGCCTGGTAATTTTTCTGAACTTGTATTTCATGCATTTTCAAAACATTTTACAAATTGTAATATAAGAGTTCCTTCAAAGAAAAGGAACTTAGTCATTCTTAGCTTATTATGGTGAAAACACAGCATTTGTAACTTGTCAATTATTCATCTCTTTCTTCCCTACGCGTATCGTGTATTTTCCTTCCTACTAGCACAGTGGCTATCTCGACATGTCAGAGTCGGCCGCGGACAAAGTAAGAAGGAAAATACACGATACGCGTGCGGAAGAAGGAGATGAAAAAATGACAAATTACAAATGCTGTGTTTTCACAATTAAATTTAAACAAAAACTATGTGATGGGTACATATATTCATAATCAGAATTATTATGCGTGCGTGGCTGTGGCCTAGTGGTCAACGCGCTTGACTCTCGATCCTATAGTCGTGTGTGTAAATCGCCCCGATTGCAGATGTTCGAACACAGCAGAGTACAAAAAATTAGGCCTTTCAATAGCAAATTATATCAGCCGAAATGGGATTATTGTTGAATGTTCCAGCTGAAAAATACGCTTCATTGGAATTGTCTTGTGCTCTGTCTCTGTATATATAAAAATTGACGTGAGAACCAATTATGGTTGGTCGACAAGCTGGCAATTTGCCACCATAACACAAAAACTTGTGTAAATATATCCTTTAATACAGAAGGTTATGTCCCTCAATGGAACGTTAAAGCCACAAAGTACAATTATTCCGTCCTTCTCTTCGACTAAAGATATTAAATTTACGAGGAAGGGGGTAGCTCCAAGGCCCAGGGAACTATAATATGAATAATAATCCCTTTTACAATATTCCAAAAGAGGTAAAACAAAACAGAAAAAATTCAAAGAGGAAGTGCTACAAGTTAATCAAAAATGTTTGCAAATGTATAAATTATTAATTCTCAGTTGGTTTGATGATCAAATCTACTCTGAAAGTGCTTGTGGATTTTTCTTATAGATTTACGAATTTCCCGTGAAAGAGCGTTAAAAAACGAGGCTCCCTTAACAAAGAGAGTATGACGAAAACATTCAAACTTTGCCCTTAGGACTAAATACTTTCGTATCCTGGTCAACCCCCCCACCCTTCGTTAGAAGAAAGGCAAGATATGAGAGGGGTTCCAGTCGACGTCGGACAGCAAAGAAATGTCATGGCACACGATTTAACAAATGTGGCTAAATCAGAGCCCACAATGTACATTTGTAGTGGTCACGTGTGTTTTGAAGGTGTAAGATCGGAGCTGTCCAGCGGATCTAATGAAAGTCGGTTCTTGGGCATTTGATATTTTTATTTCACACTCTTTAAATCTGATATTTTAAATAATTAGAACTGACTTGTCCGCTTGTCCAGGAACAACTGAGGAACCGTACACCGTTTTCCTATTTATAAAGGCTTTCCTTCTCCGTTCCCTCATGTGGTGGTTGTGATGTCGCTTCTCAATCGGGTTTCACTTGATCAAGTTATTTTTTACCCTCTATGGTCAGCTAGTATCTATTTATTCATTTTCTTAGTAAGATGCGCATCTGTGTATTTTTTTTTTAACACTAATTAAGGTTTCCAAATCTGACGGTTGAGAAGAGAAGCAGTTAGTTCAAACTACTAGACGAGATTTTCGAATGAACATAATAGTCCTAAGTTTGATACTATTTTTAACTATAGTGGGGAATCCCGCGTCATTGGTTTGCTTTTTATGAGTCATCTTCCAAAGACGATTTCATAATACTACGTACAAGGAAGATTTCTTCCCTTTCTTATGAATTTCTCACAATATCTTCCCTTTAAGAGATGAAATGTCTCCTCCAGACTCAATTAGTATGTAGTGAAATATTTGTGACCATACACATTTAACTATGATTTTTTCGACCGGTATTTTATGAGTGAAGAAATAATGGAAAAGGCTTTGTAGCAGAAACTCATTTTTTCTACTTTACTACTTTTCGGGACTTTTTTCCCTTCCTCAGGTATACAAAGTATAACAATGTTGGATTACAATAGAGAGCTTATAGAGAATATTTTTAGATTGATCAAAAAAATTACATGGACAAGAGTGGGTATTCGCTGGTCAGAAACTTCTACTACACATCTTCCACTTTCATCGATCTCCAGCTGATACCACATCACTTCATTGAGTGAAATCGGAAACGTAGTAAAGGTGAAGAAAAGGAGATTTTGCTAGAACAAGGCTTTTTCCATTGTTTCTTCACTACATATTTATGTGAGCAGAAATTTATGATCGCGGAAAGTAGGTTCACAAATGTATCGAACACAATTTCTAAAAGTTATACATTGCCAGCAATTTGTGTCACAGTAACAAAAGTCAAAATATACTCATTTGCCCTTGGTTTTTTCATTATCAACAGTATTCGTTTTCCTACTATTACATTACGCAATGCAAAACAATGAAAGCTTTCAATAGCAAATTAGAGCAGCCCAAGTGGCTGCTGTTTATTATTCCAACTGAAACATATAATTCACTGGAAGCGCAATTTGCGCTTTTTTCTTATATATAAAAATGTACTTTAGAAACACTTATGGTTATTCGGCAAACTAAACCCTGTCATTGCAAAAGCAAACCTATCTCGAACTTCTTCTCTAATAGAGGATTCCATATCCCTCAATGGGAACTAATGCCACAAATAAGTAAGTAAGTACTATCTATAGAACGTTTAAACAACTTAGACACATACATTTATTCTGTTTCTTCTATCATTCCGAGCGCAATAAAATGAAGTACATCACACAAACATATACCCATTATTATTAATAGTGTCAGATGAACTAATCATTGTAATATAAAGCTTTATATTATAAGCTGGACTTATAATTTCACTTTGTCTAATACTTAAATATTTTAAAATCAAAATCAAAGTGCTTTTGATGCTTAGACTTTCATTTCAATTTTTTTTCTTTTCAGGTCTGTAGCTACAATTCTTACTGGACTATTAAGTTTTATGTTGGAGAGTACTCCTACCCTGGGATCTATTGACTCTACAAGTTATGAAAAAGAACGCTTTGCGCGTCGTTCGATTACCTTTAACATACGGAACGAGACATTCCGTGAACTTTTTCCAGACATATGTAATGAAATGGAGGCAGAAATACGTGATCGAGGTGATATGCCAGAGGAGCCAAGCGAGTCTGAACAACGGCGGGTTGTAGCATGCGATTCTGTTGCCACACAGTGGAATAACCTTGGCACTAATGTGATCGTTGTGCTGATCTTGGCCATATTTGCTCTTATTGTCAACTACATTGTAAAGAGCATGTTAATGGAATGATGAAGAGTTATCTTAGTAAAGTCATTTTTGTCTGAGAGCAGGATTGTAAATTTATTTTCCTGAAAAGTTTCGTTTCAAAAATTTGATTACATTAGATTTATTCAGGTTCATGGCTTTATACATTTATCACAATCTCATTATCGGCCATAGCCGTCACAGTGTTGGTGACAAACCTCCGAGAACATAACGATGGAAAAGTTCAATCACTGGTTGTATATGTGACGAATTCTACAATTGGTAGATGTAGGGACAAGCTGGACTGGTGGCTCAAAATATCCGCTGGACGGAACAGAAAACCAAGCCATTGGGGCTATTTGGCTCCAAGTAATGACAAACGTCAAGCAACATTAACCAATTATACTATCGTAAATTTCTGCGCATTTGTGACAAAGAAGATATGAGTTAAAGTGAAATGGTTAAAAGGTATATGATCAATATATATGCCGATGTGTCAAGAATTTGCAAGATATAATTTACTTTTTTTCAGAATATACAAAATGTATATTTTTATAACAAAAATAAATAGTGTGATTAATGTGTTGCATGCGGCACATATAGATAGTGATAGAAATTATTTTTTAAGAACCTTGTGCATTACTCTCAGCCTCTTTCGCTGCGATCGCCGTCTCAGTGTTTAGCAATCAACCTCTGGGAGAAACCGATGAAAAAGTCTCTTCAATTGTTATATTGGGAAAGAGAAAAAGTAGATAACCACACGCTTTGGATGTGCTGTTTGGGATTTACTATAGCTTTTTCTGTGGCCAACTCGAAATATAAATATAAACAGCTTCATTGGTTAAGTACTTGGATAAGAAGGTGAAAACCAAGAAAATTTTCATATGCAATTTAAAATCCAACTCCTAAAATCAAAATAGTTCCAGTTCTATAACTTCGATAGGAAAGTATAATTTTCAAAACAACTGAAGCTGCATCATCACAATACTAAAAAGAAATTGAGAAAAACCCCAAGCAACACAACGAGTTGAAATAGCATGCTATTCAACCGTCTAACGGCCTATCGCATTTATATACCAAAGCCGAGAACTACTACAATAAGATGCCCAAAATTGGTCGTTTCTGGGTAATTTGTTGGTCATATAGAATACTCAGTTGACTTTCGGTCTCTGTTCGGCACCGCTCTGGGCGCTTGAGCGCGTTGAGCCAAGGGGTTGCTAATGTCGGTTTTGAGTGCCACAGCATCTTGCATCTCGACTGCATGACGATGCACAGAGATGTAAGTTTGACACCGAAATATTTTTAAAGCCGTTTCGTTTCCTTGTCGGCATGAAATTTTGAGGCATTTGCGCGAAATTATAGTTCTTTATGGCTTCGTAAGTTGCTTTAAAAGAAACTAAATAACAATTGAAAAGTGAGAGCGAGACAGAAAAAACGTAGTGGGGGGCATCTCATTTTAGTGATGAATGTTTTCTGCACATTTTTATGACTTTTTTAAGTGAACAAGAAAACACATTTAACTATAAAAGCAGAGAAATTTTTCACTTTTTTGGATTCCGTTTATCCAAATTATTAATATCAATAGCTTTCTAAGCTATTTTGCCATACAACTGAACAAGTCACTGACGATATTGATGAATTGTACTTTTTCTTAATTATTATATGTCCCTTGAACACTCATCTCCTCGTGAGTGGATGGGTTATTATTTTGGCTGTCAGCAAAATAGCAGAAGTTGGACATATTGAAGAAGAATTCCATTCTTCCGGAAGCTTTCAACGCCTTCTCGGAGCTGGACGAGCTCCCTCCAAGTCCAGCACGCTTCTTCCAAGCCCAGCGCGCTTCGTTAGAGCTTCAATGTTGCTCTGGCTGATTTAATTGTTATTGCTAAACCGCCGAAATTCCAATTCTTAGTTATTTTATGAAGGATATGACTGTTATCTCGCAGTCATCTAACCACTAATTTTTGACCACGGTCGCGACTCGAAAATGAACTTCATTTACTGTTGCATTTACTTTGACATTTAATGATCTGGTTTGTGTCACTTGGAGCCTTGACCTCGAATCAAAATTTTTCAATTTAGAAAATATTATTGATATCAGCGCCTTTACAGACAATTAGAAAAACTTCTGTTTTCTAAATAGTTGTAAAGTTTAGCAATGCCTTTTAAATAATCTCAATATTTATAAAATTAGAAAAACAGAATCTGAGTTACAGCGCTTTCAAAGTCAAAAGAGGTAACCGCCATAACTCCAGTTCTATTATATCAGTGAAAAATTATGATCTATTAATAAACGTTGGAACCTGGACTATAACATACTCGTCGTAACATTATCACTAACTCTTATCAAACTGCCATAACTGAAAACTTATAAAAAAATTTACAAAATACTATTTTTGCACATTTTTTACTGAAATGATAAATTGATACAGTTGCTGATAAAATAGTTGAAGTCGAAAAATCGATTTTCGAATTTTTTCAGAACCGTATAACTCGATAAGAAATATCTTGCATTTTCCTTAAATTTTTATATGTTTAAACTGAAGTCCAGGCCCTTCTAACGATACACCATTTTAGGTTTAGGGAGCAGAGATACAGGTGTGAAAATTCACACTTTTTCGGACTGATACGGTAAAAAAACATTTTTTGCGTGATTACGGATGACGAAAACTAAGAAATAAAATTAAAAAAAAGATTAGGCAGATCAGTATTGCAGTTTTGGTTAGAACAAAGAACGATGGCCAGTATTTTATTCAGAAATGTCAGTAGAACAAAAATTTTATCAGAAATTTTGGCAAAAGGACATGCTACCTGACAATTGTGCATTTTATCTCATCAAATATTATTTCTATGAACCGAGTACCTAAACTTAATATTTTAATTTCGCTTGAGAACACATTGCCACACTCATTGCAATGCTAAATCGTGCTTGAGATGTGTCTACCAAGTCGTCTCGCTTAATTTAACAAATCTTTCTTCTATGGTCTCGTACCATCACAAGTTACAATCTGTGCGCAATTGGACCGCTGCCTAATCACATCACCACACAAAAAGCCGTACACGCACTTTTGGCCCCGCACCCTTTGATATCAAACTTGGTTTAGCGTATTCAGTTGGCGCTGAGCTGTAGAGAGAATGCGGCTTGAGTGGGTTCTCATATTATTCGCGGTGGCCTCTGGCGAACCAAAACGAAAGCGGTTGCGCAGTCCTCAGGACAGACCACCAATTGAACTACCAAATTACGACTATGAATATCCAGATGAATACGACACCGTCGACATCACATCGCCGCAACCGATTGTGAGTAAGTTGAATAAGAGTTAGGTTATAAAAATGTTATATGGGTCAAGATAGGTAAGTGTGTACTAAAAAAAACAAAGCAACAATTTTATTCAAAAAGGTTTGTATAATTTTTCCTGTTCGTTACAACGCTACAAAATAAAATTGCTAGCCTGGAGTTGTAGAATGTGCTGCATTGAATTCAGCGTGGCACACTTATTCAGACATTTCAGACTGACTAAACACTATTGTAATGTCCTCTTTATCCATATATTTTTTGGATTATATTTTGATCTATTTTTTTACCTTTCCTAACTGCTATATTGCACTCCTCTGACTTTAGATTACATTTATTTATGTCATAGCAGGCACATGTCACAGCCTTTCTTGCGATCATAGCCGTCTTAGCGTTGGTGATCACTCTCCAGGACAAAAGGATGGAAAAGACCTTACGCAGGTTGTATGTTTACATGTTCCTCGGTGGAGGAGGGACGCGCTACATTTCGTTGTAGCTTTGCATACTACTTACTTATTTGTGGCATTAGTTCCCATTGAGGGATATGGAATCCTCTATTAGAGAAGAAGTTCGAGATAGGTTTGCTTTTGCAATGACAGGGTTTAGTTTGCCGAATAACCATAAGTGTTTCTAAAGTACATTTTTATATATAAGAAAAAAGCGCAAATTGCGCTTCCAGTGAATTATATGTTTCAGTTGGAATAATAAACAGCAGCCACTTGGGCTGCTCTAATTTGCTATTGAAAGCTTTCATTGTTTCGTATTCTGTGTGTTCGAACATTTGAAAACGATGGGATTCGAACACTCGACTGTAGCGTTGAGAAATAAATGTGTTGATCACTGAGCCACAGCCAATATTATTTACATTTTTTTTATATTTTTGTTTATCAATTGTCTGTATCGTACTGATTATTGGCCTTCAGTTTCTGTATGTCTATTCTTTTTCTAACTGTAATATAACCTATTGATATATATATATATAACACTCAATATATAACAGCTTGTTTTGTAATAAATTGTTGCGAGACACCTTGCACATTGCAAGTCCATCCTATTGATTGCCTACGCGGACGACTTAGTCTTACTGTATAGGAGAGAATCGTGGGCGGGCATGGAGGTCTATATGTGGGAAGATTTGGAGGTTGTGAGAGGTTGGCTAATGGCACACTCAATGATTTTGAGCAGCAAGTCACGAGCAACGCGTCTCCTGCAACAGCGATCAGGGGGACTATCAACGGACATAGTGTTTCATGGCCAGATTTGTGGTAGAGCGTTTTGTCCATTCGGTCTGACTATTCCATCTGTCACTGACTTGATCAGAGTATCTGTCTACGCGGACAGACCACGGACTAATTCCGGAGGATCATGGGTCTCTAATTAATCGATGTAGCCTACTGCATCCCCCCCCCTTTATATTAATTTTTTTATTTTTATTTTCGTGTTTCTCTTAAAATTGTCATTTCAACTTGCATCTCTATTCCATTGTATTGCTGATGTTCGTCTCTCTCTCTCTCTCTCTCTCTCTCTCTCTCTCTCCGTGTTTCCCGATACCACTCCTGAACCCATGGGAAGCGCTTCTACTCTCCTAAAGTTTTGCTGTCCCACTATTCCTTTTTTCCGTATGACACGCTGCCCTCAAAAACAGAAATGTTAGTTTTTAGATTACTTAAATTGTAAGGCAATGACCTTAAACAAATGCAACAGTCGGTCGTGTTGCATGTGTGTGTACGCTCAAAACGACCAATGATCAGTTATATCGATGTGTGCGAGCTCCTTCACTGCTTGGCCGGTAAAACTGGGCTGGATCTTAAAGATGCGTATCGCCCAGAATGTCGGTCTTTCCGATTTTTTGATGCTAGGATTTGTGAGAAGAAAAAAAGAAAAGTGGAAAAGGAAGCGCGGGCCAGAGTGTCGACTATGCCGACCGAGGCGAGATTTGAACTCCTTCACCCAGTGCGGGGAACGTCATGGGTCAGCGCTTTAGACCGCACGGCCACCGGGCCTCCAACTAACATTTTCTCCCGCAAGTGGCATATACGATCGAAGAGCCGAGTTTTTTGCCGTTTTTCCTCGGGGAGGTCGGCAATTAAGTCGGCGACAGCCGCACACAGAATAAATTATAATTATTATTCCACCAGAAAACAACTCCAATATCAGTTTTACTTATAAATGAAATGTACGTACTGTCTTAGATGGCAGACCACAGATTGAGTCGGAATTTCTGTCTGAACTGCTTTTATTCTCATATTCTACTGTAAATGTGAGTTCCATAGCAATTTTTTTGACTAGAATCAAGTTCAGATATCCGCTGCGCCTACCTTACTGCTTTTCTCTTGAGGATAGTAAACAACGCTAAGACGATGATAGACGCATGTGGAGTGGGCGTCGATAGTAAATAAATAAAATGTAATCTTATATTCAACATTGAGCCTATTTACGCCGTCTCCGTTAATCCTACATTCAAATTGATGCAGGATTAATCTGACAGTTTTGTATGGCGAACTGTCAAATTAATGCTGCATCAATTTTAATGCAGGGTTTACAGATTGAGGCATAAAGAGGCCCATTGTCTGAAAATTTATCATCCTTGCCGTATAGGGTGAATTTCTTTGTAATACGCACTTTCCTCTTCCTCGTGAAAAACAGTATATTGGTTCTACTAAGCGTTTTATATATTGTCATTTTGCAGATCCCTTTTCTTGCCGACATAACTCTACATGGTATCGTGAGGGAGACACATTTGTTGATGGTTGTCGCCAGTGTAAATGCATTGCTAACAATATTGAGTGTACTAGTGAAGGCTGCGTTGTAGCGCCTTCATCAGGTCCAACGGGTGATCAGGGCGAATTCGGAACACCAGGAATACCGGGTGAAAGAGGTGCTCCTGGACCAGCTCCTGATTTGATCTCATACACATCGCAGTTGTCGGAGGCATTTGGAGAGAAAGGTCCCGGACCTGCCGACTCTTTTCAATATGTGCAGTCGCAAGTGGGACCAGCGGGACAGCGTGGATCACAAGGGCCACAAGGTCCGTCCGGTCCACAAGGCTTTCAAGGCATTCGTGGTGAGACGGGACTACCAGGTCCACCAGGTACTACGGGGCTTACAGGTCCACGTGGTTTACCAGGAATTCCGGGTAAGGACGGATTCTCCGGAGATGACGGAGAAGCAGGTCCTCAGGGACCACCAGGACCACCAGGAGCGCGTGGGTTGCCTGGCATGCCAGGTTTGCCCGGTATAAAAGGTCATCGAGGATATGATGGCTTGGAAGGTGCCAAAGGCGATATGGGTTCTCCCGGAGAAAAAGGTGCGTCAGGAGGGCAAGGACCTATGGGTCCACCAGGACCAATAGTAAGTATCAAGGATTTGGTTATAAATATTGGAGTGGCAGTACTATATTTAATATTTATTAAAAATATTTACTTCTTAGATTAATTTAGATTTTTTAACAATAGAAGAAAGTGAAAAATCACTTAACCAGAGACCAATTCTTGAAATGGTCTTAATCAGATTCAACTAAACTCAATCGACCTTTGGCTTGTTTATTTTAGCAAAAATCAGCAAAAGTCGCATGTTTAGGTTAAAATCGTTAGGCATTTTTCGGAAGAATAAATTCTTTTAGAATGATTCTGAATACGGACTTAGACCTCAGGTTTATGTATATACCCTTCTCCCATGGAAAAATCGCTATAATTATTATATTTTTTGCTGTGTTCAACGGTCGGCTGATGAGATTTGAAAGTAAAACACGGGATGGCCAAAATCTTTGTTTCACTCGTTTTTATTCCTATCCGATGTTTCGGAGAAACTATGTCTCCTTCTTCAGGGATGTGAGAAATTAAGGTGAAACTGGTTTGTTTGGACATTCACTATAATTTGCACTCTAACACTCCAACTCTAACACTGTGGCTCTCATCTCCTGCACAGAAGGAGAGTTTTTCAAAATTTTAAACACTTTTTACACAACAATTCTGATTCAATGGTCAACTTTTTGTAAATAAATTATATTAGTATTTTCATACTCGAAATCAAGACGTTTCCTAATGACGACTATACTTCTCCGTCAAAGCCAAGGAACAGAACTTATACCAGTTCAAATTTTTAATATGAAAACTTGAACACATTTTCAATTTTGTACCTATCCCAGCCTCTCCGTAAGCAAACGCTTTACAAGTAGCGACAAGCTTCGCGTGTCGTTAGCCGCACGTTTTTATGTTTTCATAAGCATAATGCCGAATTTCTTATCTCAAAATTGAATATTTGTGAGAAGATGACAAATTAATGCACTATTAAATGGCCCTTCTAACTTTGCAGGGGCCAATAGGATCAAGAGGAGAGCGGGGGCGTGAGGGTCCACCAGGGCCCCCAGGTATACGCGGCATAGACGGTGTTGCAGGACTAGTAGGTCCACCGGGTTTAGTTGGAAAATCCGGTGCTCCGGGTTTTCCTGGCCCTCCAGGACCTAAGGGCGACAGAGGACATGTGGGTGAAAAAGGATCACAAGGGTTGCAAGGCCCGCGTGGCGAAGCAGGTCATCCTGGACACACTGGAGAACCTGGTCCACCTGGAAATCCGGGTCAAGATGGACTCGTAGGCGAAAAAGGCGCTATTGGACTCCCTGGTGTTGCTGGACCACCAGGTTTTCCAGGTGTACGTGGTCAACCTGGATTGACTGGGGAAATTGGCCATCCAGGCTTAAGAGGACCTACTGGAGTTCCTGGTGATCGTGGAATAAAAGGAGATACTGGAGACAAGGGAGAGATGGGCTTACCAGGACTTCGTGGTTTACCAGGAGCTCAGGGTGGCGAAGGTGCTCGTGGAAAACGCGGTATGAGGGGGGCAACTGGTCCCCAAGGGCCACAAGGTGAGCGCGGTGTTTCAGGACCAATAGGACCACCAGGTTTAGATGGTTCTATCGGCGCAAAAGGCCAAGCTGGAGAACAAGGCATTCAGGGTATCATTGGACCTAAAGGAACAGTAGGCAATACAGGCCCACCAGGATTACCAGGTCTCCAAGGAGCACGTGGTATTATTGGTCGTATTGGTGTTCCCGGAAAACCAGGGGTGCCTGGTGAAAGGGGTATCCCAGGAGCAGATGGAAAAGTAGGGGAAAAAGGACCACAGGGTATTCAGGGTTTGCCAGGGCCCATTGGAAAACCCGGCGATAAAGGACTGGTTGGAGAACCGGGAAAAAACGGTGAGCCTGGTACTCAAGGAGTAACAGGTCCAAGAGGAGATTCTGGCAAAGAAGGTTTACCTGGTCCACCAGGATCTCCTGGCCCACCTGGAACTGTTGGACAACGTGGAATAACCGGTCCTGTAGGACCAAGGTAAGAGAAATTTAGTATACTTGAAGCTTGGACTCCGTCCTTCGGTAAGTGCATCTGTTGATAACACCCTCTGAGCGGATGAACTGAACAACTACGTCGCTTCCATTGCTCACTGATCACGTGACTTGTCCCGCACTTCCCCCTGCGTCTTGGTAGAGTTTTGGCTTCCGCTGCGTCTCCAAGGAGGTGGTTGCAGGTGCCACTTCCCGCGTGCGATCGAATACCGTGGGGTGTGATGGCGTCTCCCTTGCTTTCGTCAAAATTATTCTCCCGATACTACTCCTAGTGCTCACGGAGACCTTCAATCATATCATAACCACTTCTTCTTTTCCAGATACTTGGAAGCTTGCCCTAATTATCCGAATTCCGAAAACCTGTAACCCCACATCTCCCTCCGATTTTACACCAAAAAGTCTCCTCGCTACATTGTCCAACGCTTTTGAAGCCTTACTTCACTAACAAATCTCTTGTCATTTACTTTCTCATAATTTACTTCCCGACCATCAGTCTGGCTTCCGAAGTCATAGAAGTTCTTCGGCTCTGCTGAAGGTTATTCATGACATTGTTTTCGAACTTGATCGCAATTCCTTTGTTGCTTGGTCTTACTTGATTTTACAAAGGCATTTGATAGTCTCCACCATGACCTCTTTTGCTACAAACTTTTCAAGCGCTTTAAATTTTCTTCTTCAGCAATTGACTTGATATATTCTTACTTCTACGATCGTTCCAAAATTGTTAAATTTGGAGACAAAACGTCCTCCCTATCTACCCTGGGAAAAGGCATTGACCAGGGATCTATTCTTGGTCCTTTGCTCTTCTCCATGTTTATTAATTACCTGCTTACTGTCCTGCGTGGTTGTTCGTATCATCTGTATGTGGACGATCTCCAGATCTATGTCGAAGGCAATCCTACAAATTCCTCCCATGCCTTTCACCTCTTCAATGAAAATCTTTCCAGAGTTGGGCACTGGGCTCTGTCCAATCAACTTCGCCTCAATCCACAGAAATCGCAGACAATTATCTTCTCGAAAAAGTCCACTAACTTTTCTTATTTCACTTTTCTTCCTAATGGTGATATAAACCCTTATGCTGACCATGTTAAAAACGTTGGTATTGTCTTTAACTCGACTCTATCCTGGTCTGATCATGCCTCCTCCATTTGCCACAAGCTCCATTGTTCTCTTTATGTCCTTAGACACTATCGGATTATCACACTTTGCTTGTATGCTCTCTCGCTGCTTTTCGCACGAGCGCTGATTATGCCATTCTTTTCTTATGGAGCAGAGCTTTTCTTTCTGGAGGATAGTGACACAATCCATCGGTTAACTGTAGCATTCAACAATTGTGTTAGGTATGTCTGCGGACTGGGTCCCCGCGATCACATTTCTGCCCACAGGAATGTATTGTTGGGCTGCAGCCTGCCTTCCTTTCTGCAGATGCGAGCCCCGATTTTCTTGGATTGCATCTGCAATAATGGTTACCCTGGATATGGCTTCCCTCTTGACAAAGGATGATTCGACCAGGCTTCGAAGACTTCTCGTCCCTAGAACCGAGCATGAGACTTTTTTCCGCACCTTCTCCGTTAGAGGTGTGTCATTCTATAGCGCATTTCCGCGCGAAGCTCGCGAGACTGTGAAGAACATCAAAAGGTTCTTTCAGGCTGATCTTTTTTCTTTGCATTTATAAAGTTTTCTTCACTCTGTTAAATCTTCTTTTCTGTGTTTTTCTCTTCACATTTCTTTTTTTCTATTATATTCTTTCAATAATTTGTCGTTTTTAGCACATCTTTTTGTTTTTTTATGCTTTTGGTGAATTTGAAAGAGAATCAGCTTTAAATTTTGCCATTATTAAATTATTCACTGAACATTTTACACTTAAGATTTTGAAGAGAAAAAGACTTAATACGTGACCCAAAGCAAAACGCACACCAAGGCAACCAAGCTAGTTCAAAAAAAAAACTTAATAATAGAATCTATAAAAATTAAAAAGGAGATAGAATAGAATAGCAACTTGTTAAAATCCTGTCTAAGTGCAATATGTAATGAACGATGCAAACACCTCTTGATAATATAGATTTTTGATTTGCTATGTAATTATTTATTACTGATGAACTAATATGAATATTTTTAGGGGATTCCAAGGCTTACCTGGACAGCCAGGTGTCGCCGGCAAGCCAGGGAAAGACGGTGAAACTGGAGTTGCAGGTCAACCAGGCACACCGGGTCCAATTGGAGTACGTGGTGAGCGCGGTTTGCCGGGAGAACGTGGTGCTCAAGGTCTACCAGGATCGCCTGGACTGCGTGGTGAGACAGGCCAAACAGGTCATGATGGTGTGCCAGGTGCACCAGGACCTATAGGTTCGAAGGGACATCAGGGTGCTCCTGGAATGATAGGACTTCCAGGCATTCGCGGATTTCCCGGTGTTTCGGGTGAGAAAGGTGAACGTGGTGCAATTGGATTACAAGGTTCTGAGGGTGCCCAAGGCCGTCCCGGTGAACCAGGGTTGCAAGGAAGTACGGGGCCACCAGGTTTACCAGGTGAGCCTGCTGATAGAGGTGAACCTGGTGTTCGTGGATCTCCCGGGGAACGCGGAGCGCCTGGAAGTATTGGTGAACGTGGTCCAACTGGGCTACAAGGACCTCCTGGCTTCCCAGGGGCTACTGGAGCTGTAGGAATGGCTGGTGTTAAGGGTGATAGAGGAATAACAGGACCGAAAGGAGAACAAGGAGTTCCAGGTGGCCTAGGACCCACCGGAGAACCTGGATTAATTGGTCCAATGGGACTTATGGGAGGTAAAGGGGCTCGTGGAGAACAGGGTATTCGTGGGGAGACAGGTCTTATTGGTTTACCGGGTCGTCCAGGAGAGCCTGGACAACCAGGTCAGCCTGGTAATCAGGGTCTCCCTGGACAAATTGGATTACCAGGTGTAAAGGGCAGTGCAGGGGACATTGGTCGACCGGGTGCAGTAGGGCATGCAGGGCCTTCTGGAGCTCCTGGAATAAATGGTATGAAAGGTGAGCCAGGAAATGAGGGCCCTTCAGGTCCGATTGGTCCTCCAGGAGCGCCTGGAGTTATTGGAGATAGAGGAATGCCAGGATTACCGGGCGCAGTTGGTCTTGTGGGACCACGCGGAATGCGTGGAGCACCTGGGGAACCTGGTTTGCCGGGAAAAGTTGGTTTATCCGGAGCACAAGGCATTTCGGGACCTCCGGGTCCACAAGGAATCCCAGGAATGATAGGAGAGATAGGACCAGAAGGTCAACCTGGTAAACCGGGCACCGCAGGAATAGCGGGTCGCACAGGAGACAAAGGGCCTCCAGGGACACCAGGACAAGATGGTCTACTAGGACCTCCAGGAGTACCAGGACCTATAGGTCTTACAGGTCCAAAGGGACATACAGGTGAACGAGGAGTTCCTGGACATCCAGGTCCTCAAGGCGTTGATGGACTTCCTGGAACACGTGGAAAACCTGGCCCACCGGGTGCTGAAGGTGCCAAAGGAGAACAGGGAATTACAGGTAGCCCGGGTGTAAAAGGTCATAGAGGATTTACTGGTTTAACAGGTAGTGTAGGACCTCGCGGGCCTCCAGGAGATAAAGGTCCCATTGGAAATGATGGGCCACCTGGAAAGCCGGGCGATCAAGGTAGTAGAGGTGCAACTGGACTTGACGGTTTGCCTGGGAGACCAGGAAACTCTGGTGCAATGGGTCCGAGGGGCCCTACTGGAGCAGATGGCAAACCAGGAGCACCAGGACCCCCAGGACCACCCGGACCACCAGGCCCTATATCCGAAACTCTGGACTACAATGCAGCCACCTTGGCTGCGATAATGAGCCAAGGAAGTTCTACTAAAGGTCCGCCTGATATGCAAGCTGATGAAAACCCGGAAGTTTTTATGCTAAGAGCTTATAAACATCTCAAATCCACTATAGAAGCTATACGGGCTCCAAATGGTGATAAGAAAAGTCCCGCTCGCACGTGTCGTGATTTGGCAGCTGCCCATCCTAACCTACCTTCTGGAGAATTTTGGATCGATCCAAATGCTGGTGATATACGCGACGCAATTCTGGTACGATGCAACATGGAGGATAAGACAACATGTATAACCCCCTCTCCTGCTATCTTTGCACCGGTGGCACCACGTGGTGTTGCATGGCTTAGCGAAGCAGGCATAATACCTTCTTACAAAATCGATTCTCAACAGCTGGCTTTTTTACAACTTCTGTCAACTAAAGCGACTCAAAACATTACAATACATTGTCGAAATCATATAGTAGCACAGGATGAGCGCTCCACTTTTAGAAAGGCTGTGACATTGCTAGCATGGAATGATGCAGAAATCACATCTAGAGGAAATCCTTGGTTACGCTATGAAGTACTGCAAGATGGTTGTAAATCACGAGATGATATATGGGCAAGCACGACGCTCAGCTATAATACCACCAAGACGGCAAGATTGCCGATAATGGATATAAGCACCCATGAAGATGATGATTCAAAACGGCAAATACGCCTCGAAGTAGGTGAAGTGTGCTTCTTCTGAGATGGAATCAATGACTAGAATAAACAAATTATTAATTATTCTGTACTTCATAGTTAAATATCTAAGCAAACAAATAAAAGTTTTAAACCATAGTTATTCTCAAATATTTGTATAACTTCCTTAATGGCACCAAATAACAAAAACTGCCAAGGAAATATTTTCCTTCCAAAATATATGGAAAGAACGAAATGTTTATAATTTTAAATGTCAATTAAAATTTGATCAGAACTATAAACGTCTAGTTCTTTATAAAAAAAATTAAACTTATATTAAACGTGTAAATAATGGTCTATGTAATTTAACTGATTTCTTATTTCGGTTCAAAATAGTTACGAATTTAGCATGTCACTTCACGCTTTCCATAGTTGATACTGGCGGCCGCCCGGCGGGTGCTATTGTGAATTACGGATAAAATACCAGCGAGACGGCTATTCAAGGTGCAGTGAGGAGTATATATAATTCGAATTTCAGTTGTCAAAAAATCAGTACTTCAGGGTTTCTTTTTTAACTGCCGTTAAGTGTTATATTTTCTATGTGAGGGTGTTTTCAGGGCAGAATATTTTAACTTGTGTTCAGTTTCTCGCTATTTTCCTCCACGTGGAAGTTCAAAATGTTCTCCAGTGTAAGTGAATCACATTTTTCGGTATTTCTCGGGTACTAATCTCAAAGAAGTTCCAGGAGTTTTTGACGATTACCATTATCCGCGAAAAATGTGTTCAGCAAGGCGAAAAATGATTCTCAGTGGCAGATGTCTTTATCCGCGATTGTTTCTGACATTGGTTTTGTTTCCCATGCGATTCTGAAAAGTTTTGCTATCCAGAAAATGCCTGGAAAGATGTCCTTGCTCTGACATTCGAGCATAGCCGCATTTTCCCGAAAACAATTAGTAAAAATTATTATATATTTATTGTCTATATATTATATATTAATATATTGTCTTCAAACAACTTAGAGGATATTGAAAAAAGCAACCTCAATCTGGTACATTGAAATATGTACTATTTATGCGATAAATCCAATCAATTTGTGCTTTTCAAGCTGTCTATTTGCTGGCTTTTCACGTAAATTTTTCGACTTGTTCCTATCTTCACGCTAGTATATAAGAAGTATATAAATTGACTTCAGACGTCAACGTTTGAAATGTTTCATAAATCTAAGTTCAACACAAATCTAACTTAAATATTTGGAATCGAGAGAAATAAAATTTTTGAGGCATGTATTCGTATGCAGTTTGTAATGCATAAATTGCGCTGGGAAATTGCCATAGCAGTCTGCAGAATATCTCTTCTGTTATTTGTTATGCTTTGCAGTGATCTCGGAGTGTCATGCTTAAACTGCCTGATCGCTTTATGGAGGCATTGTGCTGTGATCCTCATCAACGAACACTTCAGGTTGCATACAAACTGAAAGTTTATCACACAATATTAATGAATTATCAATGAACTATAGTTTAATTGTAAACCGGGGCATGAAACACAATAAATTATCTATCTATCTATCTATCTAATTTTTCACATTTTAGGATCTTCAACAGATTTATTATGGATTGCACGCCATGGAGCCGCTTGTCACACTCAGAGACCCCATCTTACGTGCTTTATGTAAAGTAGTACGGCATGAAAAACACCACGTAAACAACATACTTTATTAGTGAGTAAAGGCTAACAATACTCATTGTTTTTTTTACCTTGATATATTATATATTGTAAATTGCAGCACTGGAGAGTTTACCACCAGCTGGTATGTGCTGTTATCGGGTGCTGTTTTTACCAGCGGGACAATGTTTCTACCCGGATCCAGGTAATTCGCTCCAGTATCCGAGCTTTTCGAAGTTTTATCAGTGGAATTAGGCTAAAATGTCTACATTCATGTGTGTGTATGTATGTATGTATGTATGTATATACTATCTAAACTGCATTGTATTATTAGATAGAGTGTGTCAATAAATAAGTATAATATATATATACGGCGGCTTAAGGGTCAACAGTTAATAGGTATTGCTGATTTTTTGACAAATTTGAATCTATATCCTTATGGTGAAAATACAACATTTGTTTGGAGAAAATTAATAGAAGTCATCTGTTTCTTCACCACGCGTATCGTGTATTTCCTTCCTATTGCCACGGCGTCTGTCAGTGATTTTTCCAATTCGTCTATCAACTCTTCGTATTTTAGTTAATATTTTAACAAATAACAGTGGAAAACCCTGGGAAATATTGCATAAAAATAAAGTAGAGCAATATTTTCAATTTACTGGAATATAACAGGGAGTTTATGTAAAAATTAGTAAAATTTCAAAGCAATATCATCTCTCAAACTTCAAATCGCTCTACTGAAAAATTGCGATTTTGACTTTTGATAGTCTTCGGGGCACCCGTCGAATATTTAACATGTATTAACCAGAAGAGAGAGAAATAAATATTGCTGTTCTTTCATAATTTTCCTTCCCAGAAATTAGTTTCTTTGACTAAAGTATTAAGTGCTTTTCAACTCGAAAAATTTATTTCATTCATATTCTAAAGCTATTATGCCAAAGACTTTAAAGTGTCGGCAAGTTCTTCTCAATACCGTCACTTATCGATATGAATTACGTGAAATTTCCCCTTTTTCATACAATTTTAAGAGAAAAATAGGAATTATATGGACTACTCATTCTCTCGACTTCAATTTTTTTTTCACTTAAATTGGGTTAAAAAAGTAAATATATGCAATCCGTATCGATAAGCAGAAAGAAATTAATAACATTTCAACATTGTGGCATAAACACCTTAACCGAGGGTTGTTCAAGTTGAAAAAAAGTGGTATCTATTCCACTTAGCAATTATGTAGGTTCTATTCATAGGATTTCCTTATATATTCCGTAATCAATTAATTCTCAAATGTGATACAGCAATTATAGTAAGGGTTTAAATTTGATTAAAAAAAATCAGCGAAACTTCAAGTTCAAACTATAAACAAATTATTTATTAACAAGGTGCATGTCACTGTATAATATCATTACTACAGAGGCCGTAGAGGACGACAGAAATCATAATTTAAATTATCGTTACATTTTTTTTACGAAATTTTTTTGTTTACTACTATTTGTAATTTCTGTACATTGCACAATTACCATAAAAAGAGTTAAAAGCATCTTTAAAGCCGTGGAAAATCAGTATAAGATAAAATACAATAGAATTGTGCATTTTGATAGTATGGTTATGTTGATTTTTTGTTACATATTAGCATACTATATAAGGCTTACCATATGATTCAAAAATTTTAACGCAACGTCATGCTTGCATTTTGTGTCGATGAAACTACATTACCGACATCCTCAAATGCTTAATAGACATAAGGTGACGAGATAATATGACAGAGCGTTGACGGGGTTCTTTGCGTGAAGCCTTATAATAATTCTTATGGTGTTTTCTTTTAATTATTGCCGTAAAAAGAAGTTTAACATAAAGAATTTATACTGTTTCTAAGTCCGCGCTTAGAAGTGACGGAATAAAAGCCCAAGGTATCCCTTGTGCACTGAAATGGTGAAACTTGCAGTGTATGTATTTGTGTGTATAAGTTGGGTGTGAGGCAATATTAAATGAATATTTATCTCCATCGCACGTTTATATATCAATTCTTTGTAGTGAAGTAAAATGTTCGATGGTTGAATTCTAAAAGTTCGATAATTTTTCCAGATTTTAATCATTTTGCTGATTAGTTATAAATTTACCAGAACAATCAAAAAAGAAATAGACTAAATGCAGTGTGCACTGGTGGCGCTACTAATTTAATTATAAAAAGTGCTGTAAATGCAAGTTTATGATGAACGTAAGTTTAGCCCTTAATTTTTTTTATTAATGATAATCATAAAGTGCAGTTAAGTTATGAACCATTGCTGAATTATTCCACACTTTACTTATATTATTTCAGCTATAAAAATTTTCTTGTCTAAAAAGGATCATTGCTATCTATTTACGTATCACAAAAATACTTTTACATACGTCCAATCTATAAAGCCTTGGACTTAATTAGTTAATTTCGGGCAAGTAAAATATTCCTATGCGTGCTAGGTCTCGTATTTTTCTGAAAGTCTCAAATAACATATCTTGCCCAAGGAGAGCACCAAATTCATTACGAGGACACCTGGACACATTTGAAGCAAATGCACAGGTGGCATACTCATAACGTGACTTTATTCCGAAATTTTTCTTGAAACATATAACCCTTTCTTCATTTTATAGTTGACTCGCACATGTTTCAAGAATTTCGTAATCCTCCACTAGCGACTACAGGCTTGCCTGTTTCTAGCTGCGGTCCCGAACACTCGAACTAATATTGAAATACACCATAGAATATAGTGAGACATAGAATTTTTGACATTCACTTGGCAAGATGTATGTTAAGCCTGAAACAGTTACTCATTATTCCACTGCTTATTACAATTTATTCCCAAGTAAAACAAATAATATTCAGCGCTCATCAGCGATCGAAATATCAATTAAAAAAAAATGTTGCTTATATACTGTGGTAACCAACATCCCACCGCCTTCCTGATTTTCCTCAATGGTGAAGCAATTTCCTACATCCATAGCGCCAGACATCTTGGAGTTATCTCGAATGAGTCCTTGGCGTGGGACGATCATACTTCCCACATCTGTAAAAATGTGAATTTCATTATTTTCACGCTTCGAAGACACAAGCAATTTCCCAGGGCGTTCAGCTTTTATTTATCTGTGCCCTTCTCCTTCCCGTCTTTTCCTATGGTGCTAAAACATTCTTTTCCTGCGATCAAGCCTCTATGTATCGCCTCACTGTCACTTTATTATTATTATTATCCTCCTGCGCATTTTCCTGAATATGTATTTCTATGTCTTAATTACGTGGCCCTACTTCCCTTTAAGGGTCATGGCCTTCTCCATAATGCCTCACCACTCTGCACGATCCACCGCCACCGTCCGCCAACAACGCACCACACCCAGGGCTCTGAGGACGTCGTCGACCACGTCCGTCCACTTTGTTCGGGGCTGGCCCCTCCTCCTAGGCCCCAAAAAGGGGGCATAGAATTTCTATGTCATCTCCACCGATATCCGATTCCTTGACTTCTCAAAACCCTATTTTTCTTCTTTAAATCGAGTATTTTTATACTCACATACCGGCACAGTGACTCTGGATGTTTTTCTTTGTGATTATCCTATTTAATGTTACCTGTAAAAATATCATGTACAATGTTTTTGTGTAACAACATTTTTAATATTTAGTAAAGATCCAGTAAACCAACTTTTTAAAGGTAGACATTCTCAGTATTCATAATTTACTAAGTATATAAGGAAAATAATATGTGATGTAAATATTTTTATTACTTTCCAGTTGGAATCAGACTGAATATATTGTAAAAAAAATACACGAGTTTTTCCTCTAACTGAACTGTGTCCACTCGTAAGCGTCTGCGTAACATTTTCCTTATGTTTAAGTACTCTCTTCCAACCTGTTCTCCCTCTCGGTTTATTTTCAGTCCAGTTTTGATGGCTATAATTAGACGTAAAAAATACAAAGCAATTTCAAGCAATAAAAATCAAAAGTTGCGTTGTTTGACACACCAAAATCTATTTTATTAGATTGTATATAAGAAATATTTCTAAATTCACAAAGAAATGTGTCTTCTCTCTCTTTGATTGTACCTGCTCTCACAGGTATTCTTTTTCTCTCTCTCGCATCAATTAAGGTTGCTCTGAGTAGAGTGCCAGTCAGTTCTTTTTCAACTACGGTCATGGTTTCGTTTAGAAAAGATAATTTAAGTATTCTATTATGGCAACATGACATGAGATGCAATGAAGCACTCGTATAGCTTTGGACGTCTTTAATGTGCCGATTACGCGGGGTAACGTGTCCCGTTCTATTTTTCTGGCTAGAATTGTAAATTATACAGGATATTATCATAAATATAGTCTCTCTTATTTGTTATAGTTTTGGAAAGAGAAATGGTGGCAGCTGTCGACGACCCAGCGACTGTTTGGTGTTAGAGACATCAGATATGATAGTTGTGAGTATTATCGTTGGCCTATAATACGTCTGATCTTTTATCAGTGAACCACATGGCTGCGATGAAACCCAAAAGAATCATAGAGAACCAAGCACAGAACTAATTTCATGTATATTTAAGAATATCAACGCAGACTGAATACAATGCAGCACTGCAGTTCTGGACAGATTAAGCAAACATTTCATTTTTTGGTCCATTCTTAATTTCTATTACAATACTTGTCATGACTATAACGTGGAACTGGCTTTTCAGTAATGATCTGGACCAGTTTCAGAGATTGTTTAAGTAGCGCTACACAAATTAAGATAGTGAAATTTTGATGACAAACAGCTCCTAGAGTTAGGCAGCTAACTTTCTAGGCTACAAAAATTAGTGAAAACATACATATAGAGAAATTACGCGAAATATGATTAATTTTAAAGTTAATTAATCTTCGCTGATAAACGTCCGTTTATTTTAACTTATTCCTTGCGTTCTTTACTTCACACTACTTCATTTATTGCACATAACTTCGTCCACCAAATTTTTCCTACATACAATACAAAGTATTCATAATTAAAGATTACATTAAATACGATGAAGATGTAGTGTGTGATATAAGCAAAGTACAAAGCTAACCCAGTTATCAAGATCTTTTAATTACCCTTGAAACTGCTGGCAATTACATATTGCCGATGAAAGAGTTAACACACGACCGTGATATTCTCAGTCTTATGCTATATAAAATGTACCACAGCCTCCCACAAAAATACAGTACAATATTGTAAAATAAAAAAATAATTGCGAATAATGATTTGTTTCTGTAGATTGATTACCCTGAAACGTCAAATAGATCATCTGATTTGCATCGTTCTTTGTCCGCCGCAAAAGTGGCGCGCAGTCAATGTGAACACGGAATGGATGACCAAGGGCAAATCTCTAGTGGCATCTGTAGCATATATACTGACGAGCTAACACAGCGACCAGATCTGTACCAGAAGTGCAATAGAGGAAGCCACTCAAGTGACACGAGTTCAGCTTACAGTGGTTCTGACACTATGACTTCAGTTCACAGCTCCTCTATGGATACCGATGAAGTAATTGTAATTTTAATATTTGTAGAACTGCATGATTTAGGATCAACTATTTGTTTTAGGGTTTTGAGAAGAAAACTCTACTTGGAAATACGTCAGAGTAACTTCCTTACTCAGAAAAAAGTAAATCTTCCATTCCAAAACTTTCGATTCTTATCGCACCCTCTTCAGTGCCAAAAATATGAGATTCACAACAGTTTTCTGAGTGAAGAAAAGTTTACCTTGACGTCTTTGCGAGTGTTCAATGTCCCAGTGTTTTATTAATTTCAAATGTTTTAGTCCGTAAATAACTTTTGAAAAAATTTAAAACATTGTTTTAGTTCCGAAGACATAACTTACATTTCAAAAACTAATGCTTTATTTATTTATCACATTTAATTTATATACATATTTATACATACATAACTGATTTCACTTTATTCACTATAATTATTGCAGGTGGATTTGTCCGGACTAGTAGAGAGTGTCGTAGATTCGGATGAGGAAGACCTAGCTGAGAGTATGGATAGCCTTACAGTCCGTGATACTGTGCGTGAATGTTTGGAAAAAGATCCTACAGATCGTACGGATGACGATATTGACACTCTCCTAGAATTTACGCAAAAGCTAAAAGCATTCACAAGTCTGACACTAGCTGTTCGTCGCGCCCTGTGTAGTGTAATGGTTTTTGCTGTAGTGGAGCGTTCAGGTACAATGGTGATGAATGATGGAGAGGAATTAGACTCATGGAGTGTTCTCATTAATGGCCATGTGGACATCGAACATGTTACGGGTGAACGTGAGGAACTTCAAGTCGGTGACAGCTTTGGCATCTTACCTACCATGGATAAGTTATACCACCAGGGTGTAATGAAGACTAAATGCGATGATTGCCAATTTGTATGCATAACACAAACAGACTACTATCGTATTCAGCACCAGGGTGAAGAAAACACGCGGCGCCATGAAGAAAATGGACATCTCGTGATGATAACAGAGCTAAGACATGGTTTGCTCGATGCTGGTACACGACGTGGTCATGTAGTAATTCGAGGGACACCTGAGAGACTCATGCTACAACTACTAGAGGAAAACTCAATGACAGATCCAACATACGTTGAAGACTTTCTACTTACATATCGTACATTCATTGAGAACCCTAATCAAGTAGCTCAACAGCTACTCACGTGGTTTGAGAATGAGGAAACATCGCCAACCCTGTGTACAGTAACACCTACAGAGATACGGGATCGTGTAACACGTACAGTGATATTATGGGTGAACAATCATTTTACTGATTTCGAGTTTGACGGTCAAATGATGGAATTCCTCGAAATGTTTGAAGTGGGTCTTGAAAAGAAAGCCATGGATGGACAGTTGCGATTGTTGCACATCGCCTGTTCAGCTAAAGCTCGTACACGTATTGTTACACTTACGCGTTCGTCGCGTGACGAAGAATTACACTTCGCCGTAGGTGGTGGAAATGAACGTGGAGGCCTGGGAATTTTTGTTACAAGTGTAGAAAGACGTACAAAAGCCCATGATGTCGGATTTAAGCGTGGCGATCAAATTCTAGAGGTTAATGGAAATAGTTTGGAACATGTGACACTTGCACGTGCTATAGAATTGTTAAGGAGCACTACTCATTTATGTGTCACCCTTCGAAGCAACTTACTCGCTTTTCGCGAGATGCTGATCACACCAGAATGTTTGTCACCCCGTGCAAGACCTGCGAGACGTCGTGTTCTTCCGGAAGTAGACCCACGGGCTAGATCTTCCGCGGATTTGATTGGTATCGGACTAGATCAAACAGATGCTTGTTTAAAAACTCCAACATCACCGGCAACAAAAAATAATATAATCTCTCATGTGGGTCCACTATCTGCGCCCGCCACTGTAAAGAGTGGCTTTATGACTCTAGCACCGAAGCGACGTATCCAGAAAGCACTGATTAAGATGAATCTTCTACCCAAGAATTCTCTCATTTATGCTACTGATGGTAAACGTCACTTCAAAACTTTTGACTACACTTGCCCTTTTTTAATCTTATATATCACACAGGTGGAAGCATCGATGTTGAGACACTGGCGCCGCCCAGCGGAGATAGTAGTAGTACCAGCTCTGGGTCATCTCAATCAGTGACGGCAGCTGTTTCACCAACAGCAGTAATGTATCACAGCCAGAGTAATCCAGATATTAGTGCTATGTACTATGATGACACCCGGTCCACTGACTATCCCGAACATGTTCTCAAGGTTTACAAAGCCGATCAAACATGCAAGTATTTACTAGTACATAAGGAGACTACGGCACATGAAGTGGTAATGTTAGCGCTCCAAGAATTTGGAATACATGAAACTAGCTCCAACTTTTCCTTGTGTGAAGTTAGTGTAGGCGAAGGGGGCATGGTAAAGCAGCGTCGTCTGCCAGATCAAATGCAAAACCTGGCAGAGCGAATAGGTTTATCAGCCCGTTACTATCTTAAAACAAATGGTATCACAGAAACACTTGTCTCAGATGATGTTGCGCCGGAGTTAGTGCGCGAAACTATAGTACACTTTCTTCAATTGAACGCTAATGAAGTCGCAATGCAACTTACATTTCAGGTAAGGATTTTTCATCTTTTATTTATCTCACATGATGCTCTGACTCAAGTTAGAATACTCGAACATATAAGCATTTATTTCGCTCCCTCGTTCTGAACAGTCTACAAATGAATATAATGTGTCCAAAACAACCAGACCAGAAAAACCAATCCATAATGTGCAATTTGCCACTGATTTTTTTTTAAAACAAGTCTGAAAGGTAAAAGCCGCACATTACAAAGTGAGATTTTTAAGTTCACTACTTCTTCATAAATAGGAGAACAATAATTATTATTAAGTTTCGAACTGCAAATCGGAGCATATCGTCACTGAGCCCAAAATATTCTTACTTAATTTGGACTGATTGTGTAAAACACATACATGTATATCTGTATAAATCGTTTCTCATTTACATTCTAGGACTTTGCCATTTTCCGTCAAATTGAAAGCACAGAATATATCGATGACTTATTTCAACTGAAGTCACCATACGGTACTCCAATGTTAAAACAATTTTCCGAGCTGGTAAATCGTGAAATGTTTTGGGTGGTAACGGAAATCTGTAGTGAGACTAATATGATGCGCCGAATGAAGATAATCAAGCAATTTATCAAAGTTGCCCGACACTGCAAGGAATGTCGTAATTTTAATTCAATGTTCGCCATTGTGTCGGGTCTGGGACACGTAGCCGTAAGTCGTTTGCGAGTCACGTGGGATAAACTTCCCAGCAAGTATCAAAAATTGTTTAGTGATCTACAAGAATTAATGGATCCTAGTCGAAATATGTCCAAATATCGTCAGCTGGTGTCGACAGAGCTTATCACTCAACATCCTATTATACCTTTTTATCCAGTAGTGAAGAAGGATCTTACGTTTATCCATCTGGGAAACGATACAAGAATTGAAGGTGAGAATTAATCAATGAATTGTAGAATGTTAGATTCTGATTATAATTAGTTGTGATTTACTATTCGTATAGACAAATCACATAGTGTGTGTCTCACATAATCGTAATTTGTAATTTAGGCAAAAGAAAACATACAAGTTTTGTTACAATATTAGTTTAACTTAAACATATCGAAATTAATTTTGTTTCTGTCCTCTACTTTGTTTTTCTTTGTGCTAAAGGTCTCATTAACTTTGAGAAATTACGCATGATTGCAAAGGAAGTGCGAAGTTTAGCCTACATGTGCAATTCACCACACGATCTGCTCACTATGTTAGAATTACGTGGACAACCACCTAGCTCGGCAATGGTGGCGCTAAATCAGATGTCCGTAACAGTGAATCAAGCAACTATTAAAAGGCGCAAGAAAAGCACAGCCGCACCAAATCCAAAAAAGATGTTTGAGGAAGCGCAAATGGTACGTCGAGTGAAGGCTTACCTTAACAATATTAAGGTAATTACTGATGAAGACACTCTTCATGCGCTATCAGTTGAATGTGAAGCTAGTTGTGGATCAGCACCTAGTAGTGTTACGATACGAAAGCGTCATCCATCGCCAACACTTAGCACAACAAGTAGCACAAGTAGCACGAGTGAAGGAAAGAAAGCAGCAGCCAAGTTCGGGGCAGCTTCACCACAGGCAGTGAAAAAAATACTAGCATTGTCTGAACAGAGCAAAACAAGGCCCCACTACCCAAAACATCCCGGTATTGTTCTACCCGGACTTACGCACTATTCAGCTGGACTCCAGACCTCTGTGAGTCCCTCACCGTCACCTAGTACTAACCGACGCATTAATTCCAGCAACAGTTCAGGTGAGTCTATTGAGTGACAAATGTCGAATTATTAAATCTCTAATTTCTTAGAGCCAGAAGCAAGAGAGCGACATATCCTTTTTTATTTGCAAAAAAAAATATCTTCCAGGGTCAGTCTCATATAGTGCTCATAGTCATACAAACAGCGGACGTCCTATTCACGAACGCAGTCATTCAGACACACCGACGCCTGTACCGTCTGTTGATCTATCAGCGGAAAGCAGCAGTGTGACATCGTTAAGTAACATGCCTCTGCGCAAAACTGTTACATCTAGTTCATTAACGTCCAGCGACAGTGGTCATGGCTCTTGTGCTCAGAGTGCAGCTGACAATCAATCAAATTGCTCGGAGAGCAATAGTGGACTGTACCATGTTGCATCCTCCATTGTACACAATTCACCTTCACCCACATTGCAGCAGCGGCGGCACTCAGTTCTCCACGGTAAGTTTTCATGATCTTCAAATTTGCCTGCTGTGCATGTGTGATGTCCACTTCCTTACATTGTGTTAAATACCACTACCCTTCTCTCTAAACACTGTGTTCTGTGCAAAGGCTCATGCCTAAGCAATTATATAATGTCAACGTCATGCATTGCGGTGCCATCGCAACATCATCACACCCACATGCAACATAGTCAAATGGGAAATACGATGAATGGAGATTTGCCACCATATCAACTCACATCAATAGTTTCAACAACACACGGAGTCGCCAATTTTCTCACACCACCACAATTTCATTCGGCCACGCGGTACAACGGTAAGTCTGCATGTATGCTTGCCTTGATATCAGTGTGGCCTGTATCTTGAATTCAATGACAATTTCAAACATTTCGTGATAACTTTAGACTGTCCTTTTTTATTTTATTTCCATTAATATGTATTATAGAATTATCTATTCCTTTCACATAATTACTATTAATTTACGCCGCTTCATGTTTTCAACGTTTTATTGAACTACTGTTGTATAAATCATTGTCTTTAGACACTATTCGACCCCTTCCTGATATTCGATCGGTTTGTAATTTGGCATGCTCTAATATTTTGGATCGTTGCCGAAAATTCTTTTCTGTTCAAGGCACTATATCAATGTTCGTTACTAAAGTTTTTTTTACAGGGGCGGTTGGTAGCCAACTATCTAAGTCTATGTGGGACGGAGCGCTCATAACTTTATGATGAAAACACAGCATTTGTCATTTGAAAATTGATCGCGTTCATCATCTATTCACCTCTTTCTACACCACGCGTATCATGTATTTTCCTTCCTGCTCCCACAAGAGAATTAAGTCTGCAGATTTGCAGGTAAAACCCAAATTCTGCAGACTATGGTGCGAGAGCAGGAAGGAAAATACACGATGCGCGTGGTAAAGAAAGATATGACCTAAAACAATTTTCAGATCACAAATGCTGTGTTTTCACCATTAGCATTGTCAAGCACCATGAGTACTTGACAGACTACGGTACGGTTCTAGCAGCGGCATGCCTTCCCCGTCGGCCCTTCTCTGACTCCCAGTTTCTCTGCCTGATCTTTACTTATACAAATAATGCAAATCTCTTTGTCTACTTAAAATATCACTTTTATCCCTCTTACCTGTCGAGGGATCAGAGTGGAATTTCCCCAATAGAGCTCACCTCAGATTTCTGATCGCTCTTCGCTGGCTGCATGTTCAGACAGATTTCAAAGGCTTTTTCCAATATCATGTCATACTTCTCGCTAATAGATTCCTCGTTCATCTTTGCCACATTCTGTGGCTTTTCACATCCATCAGTCTCGTTTGTTGCTGCGAGTACGTGGAGCTACAAAGCATTCACTGGACCAGGCATTTATTTCTGCTCACTGAACGATAAAGACTCACTTTAGATATCGTCAAAGCATTCCAGTGTTTCGTAACGTCTGAGAACATACTGAAGTAGAAGTTATATGATAATACCAAATCAAAGTCGAGTTAAAAATGATGAATATTTGCTTTACTAAGTCTTATAAACTCTTATGAGAAAGACTTTACAAATGTTCGGGGCTTGTATAACGTTTCTTTCAGAGGTCTCGATTTTGTATTTTTTCTTCGAATAAAAAATTCTGCATCTTTTTCCAGCTCATATGCTCAATCCTCGCACATCCGGCTGTCCCCGTTTGCCACCTGCATACAGTGTTGCTGCTCAAATGGCACGTCTTCACCGTCTCGGACGGGCGCACAGTCATGAGGGAGTAACTACAGTTTCAGCAGCTGCAGTGGCTGTTTCCTCGGGATCTCTTATAACTAAGCAAACAAACTATGAACCAGATACTGAGGACTATGATGAGGATGGTAAGAAAAAATAAATTCCTTTTTACTTTTAAAGATGTGAAACACGAGACGGCCTTGTTGTTTAACTTCACTCGCTTTTTTCAATATCTGCGTTTCGGAGGTACTTTGCCTCCTTCTTCAGCGATAGAAAAAATTATGGGTGAGCCTGGTCATTGGGACTGCACTATTTGTCACACACAAATACTCCACAATTCCTGCCTTCAACACCTAGATATTTTGACGAACTTGAATATAAATCCTCATCGTGAATACTGGTATCATATTTACTAATTCATATATACTTTAAATTGTGGGTAGCACATTACAAAATCTATAATTTGGAGGAGACAGCAACAGAAAAAGTTTTTTAATCGACTATAGATCCTTGATATCAGCATCACCAGTGAATTTAGATCCAATGATCTTGCCATTTTTCAAAAGCTCCAGACAAATACACTAGCAACAGTAAAGACATCTCTGAGACACATTCATACCGTAAGAATATAAATAAAAACGATGATAACATATTTTCGTGTAGTAAAAATGTAAAGCATTTCACTTGACTATGATATTTAGTATTGTCTGTTCAATCTTTTGTAAAATCTTCCATAGTAAAATAGTTTTGAACAATTGAGAAAAACAATCCGAGTCAAGTTCCAAGCGATCTTCAGTTTTTAAGTATAGTACAATCTTTTTAGACTACTGGTTTTTTATTCAAAATACATAAATTTGGAAGCGCCGATACATATCTCTTAACAGTTTGAATCAAATTAACTCTTGCAATTCTTGACTGCAATATTCGAAGTTTACTGTGTCCTGTTTGGGCATATTGCAGTGTTCACTGATCCGTTGGTTAATATATAATTATATTTCTTTTTTGCAGATGATGAAGAGTCACAAGTATCAGCTGTTTAGACACAGTGAGTGATTGTGTAAGAATATAGCAACATTCCATCACATCTTATAATATGAGGAAACTAGACAAAAAACCAAATGTTTACACATGCCGTTTTATTTAACCGCAATTTTGTTGATATTTAATTACTTGTATAAATGTGTAGTCTATAGATGCTATCATAAACTTATGTATACTTCTCACAATGAATTGTTTTATTAAAATGTCAGCGATGATTGTGATAAACATATTGAGTGAGTTTTGTCATTGAAGGCAGATAGGGAACCTAAATTCGAATGATGCTCTCTGTATGTTTTATCTACATATAAAAGACATATCATAAAATTGTAAGGAAGTAAGTGGGAACAAATACAGTATTATGTTGGATAAATTTAAGTAAAAAGAATATATGAAGTACTCCTAATACCTTGACTGTTTTTTTTCGGAATAATTATATAGAGTACAGGGATATACTTTTCAATTTTTACACATACATTTTTTGTGTCCGAGCTTTGTATGTAAAAGAATCAAAATTGAAGAGTTTTATCAGACATAAAATATCCTCTTTCCAGTATAGGGATAAATTTCCCTTTGAATTTTGTTCAATTTGGATTGACGCAATTTGTTGAAAATGAAATCTTGACAAATAAGAGGAAAAACTTCAGCAGTTTACAATACAGTAATTTGCTCACACTTTCTTTGATGCAGATAGCACTTGTTAAAAGTGAAAATGTATAACAGAAAACCCGGTCCGGTATGTGTATTTAGATGTAGAAAATAGAAGTCAATTCAACAACAACATCGATTCCTACATTTGTCTCTTTGAATTAAAAAAAAAATCTGAATCTTGATATTTTAACATATATTAATGAACAAATTCGTTTTTTTGATCACAAGTCAAGTTTCTCTTCTTAAACAAAACAATTTTTAGTATAAATCTGTGCTCTAAAAAGTAGATTTTATTATTTGTGAAAATTGAGAGTATATTTTTCATGTCTGATAGCTCGGTAATAGATAAGTTTAGGATAATAAAGACGCAGATAAAAAAGAATATTTTATAATGTAAAACAAGAAAAAATATCTTTTGGGAAATTTTTCTACCTTTTAGAAAATGTTTATATTTGACTTAAATTGTTCAAGAAGAAAATCATATTTACTTATTATTAACAGAAGATAAGAATACTGTATAGATTAATGAGAACTAGTATTGATATACCTACTACTGAACCAAACAAGAAATTACAATTTATCTATGTTTAGTTGGATTGTTATATTCTGTATTTTCTAAAGAAAATATTCTGCATAAGAGCAACATCATAATTAAGTGTAAAGGTAAAGTGGATATCTAACATGTAACATAGAAAAATTTATATTTTGAATTTAATTGTAACACCATTTCTGTTTTTTTTTTCTTTTACTTTTAAATTCATATGTACTTTGAATTCAGAAATACAATCATTGATATGATTTTAAATAGACAAAGCCTCTACGATAAGCCCTTTCCACAGTCTCATCAGTATCAACGTTTCGAATTTTTTTTTATTTCAGAAGCTACAAAGTAATTCACTAGAACTTTTGTTTCAAAAAGACAAGTTGTACATTAAATTACTGTGGTTATCAGTGGAATGATTATCAGATTGTGTCCCTTTCTACCTCTTTCGTATTACTTTTTTTTAGGTCACAGCATGTGTTGGAGACTACTCCAACGTATTTCAATTTAAAAATTCTATTCGTTGCTGACCTCAGCTTATAAAACTTTGCGCGTCCATCATGACGTCACTCGGAGAGGAGACTCCACGCCAAGAGAGCGTCAATTGTAAAATTCAATTAAATTCATTAATTAAAATGTGGTAGTGTTCAAATTTTTTGATCCGTTCGTTTCGGATACTAAAGAGATATAATTCCACAGGTGAATACTACACAGCATGTTAGAGTCTTTCTTCGTTCTTGCGGCCAGCGCCGTCTGAGCATTGATAACCAACCTCCAGGACAAAACGATGGAAAAGTCTCTTCGCAGGTTGTATATTTGCGTGCCCCTCGCAGATGTGGGGGGGGGGGGGGGGAGGACGCTGTGCCTAGGGGTGATCCGAACATTGCTGCGTCCGCTGCCTATATTCAAGTGAGAAGATTGTGATGGCTCCAACAACTGCGCCGCATGCCGGACAATTTAATGCACAGCGATGGAATTATGCTATTGTCCTATTTTTTGGAAAATGCAAGTTCGTTAAACCGGCACCCTATTTACCGAAGATCCATTTTTTTCGTGAACTCACCTAGCTAGCTGGAGTTTACATCACAGCTAATATTTTCGGCAAGGGTTTGTCACGGCCTCGAGTCCCATAATCGTGGCTTGCTCCTCGGTGACACCGACTGACGCGCTCCTATATCCTTCTGAAACCGTACAGATGCTTTTTTTATTTATAAATTACTGAACAAGCACTCCCCACCCACCCCCCATGCGTTCGCCGACGTCTTAGCGTAGATTCCATCCTTGGGGGCAAAATAATGGAAAAGCCCCAACATTGGATATATATTGTTGTCCCATAAAAACATGCATTAAGGAGTGATGCACAGTAAGTTTTATTGTTCGGCTTAGCTCTAAAAGCCGTTTGACCCACATTACCAAAGGAAATAAATAACAAAAACGAGCAAAAATACGAAAAAGATAACAGAAGAAATAGCTAGTTTCCTAACAAAAAGAATCAAGAAATTACAGTATCCATATGAGCAATGAGTTCATATCGCGACAGTGGGTAAAAAAAATAATAAAAATAAAACACAAAAAAAAACAGAAAAAACACAGTTATTGACAGGTAATGTATAAAGCACGGTCAAAGAGACACAGAAGAGGAAAAAATGTTTACCTTACACACAAAAAAAATACCTGACCTATTATATTATATTATAGATCTATTATAATGAATACTCATACATAGATATGATATGATATGATATTTATTAATGCGACAATAGGACAAGGTGTCCTCTCGGATACAAATGAAGTTATATAAAAAAAAAACAAAGAAGTTTAAAGTGCAAACTTATATGCGAGGAGCTGTGACGGTACTTTGGAGTATCAGCTCCCTCTTCCACTCACGCGGCAACATGTTCCAAAGGACAATTCCCTCAACAAAGAGTGAATTGTGGAGAATGCGACTCCTCGATCTCGGCACACTGAGAGAGGAAGACCTGACAGACGATCCGGCAGCCAAGAGCTCCACAAGATATCCAGGCCGGCCCATAAAAAGTAGTCGCGAAATAAAATCGACGGCTCTATCTTCAATATAGCTCAAGACTGGCGTGCCCAGTATCGTGCTCTCATAAGGAGAAACATGATCATATCTCCGCAAATCATGGACATATCTCAGACAGGAATTTAATGCCTTTTTGAAGCGATCACGGGTCTCCATACAAGCGCAGAAGAAGAGCTCCGCTCCATAGGTGAAAAAGGGAACTATAAGCGCTCGGACCAACAGGAGTCTGGTGCCACTGGGTGTGAAATATTGGAGGCGCCGCAACGTACGCAATGTAAGAAAGACCTTCCTGCAGATATCAGAGACATGGTCTGACCAAGTCAGTGAACTATTGAAAATGACGCCCAAATTCTTGACTCGATCAAAGAAAGGAATGACTTCATCCGAGAGATAAAGCGGAGATGGAGCAGGTCGTCTACTAGGCGCATGAACGATTAGGGCCTGCGACTTTTTGGGATTGAGAGCAAGGCCATTATCAGATGCCCACTGAGTGGCCCGGCTAAGATCATCGTTCATTGCCTCAAAAGCAAACTCGGGGGAATGAGGGTACCACTGAACATGAGAGATCTCTTTTCGTGTCTCCCAGATGTCCGTCAAACTGGACCCGCGAAGGCTTTTTGAATAAACACAGTCGGTTCGCCATCTATTTGAATTATTATTACTTGGTGTCAGAAGTGGTCAATTCGCTGCCAATAAGCCTTTAAATTGTGGATGAACCACGAAAAGATCCAGTCGCGGTATCAATGGTTCAGTTACAAACAATCCAGTCGTCACTGAAACCCGTACCACACATTGAACTAAGAAGCAAAAATCGCCAAACATGGACGAACTGGAAAAGAGCTTTCGATTGGTACTCGAAAGTTACACAACTTTATGAACAACCAGGGAGAATTCAAGTGACAGTTTTCATGCAATCTCTGGGTGATGCTGATAATAATATGTTCAACAAATTCGAGCTAATTGAAATACAGAGGTGATATATCAACACAGTGAAGTAAAAGTTCCGGGAATATTTTGCGCCAAGCGGAAACGAGATTTATGAATCGTATCAGTTCAATAAACAAGCGGCTATGGCTCAGTGGTCAATGCGTTTGGCTCTCGATGCTACAGTCGTGTGTTCGAATCCCACTGCTTGCAAATGTTCGAACACAGCAGAGTGCAAAACAAAAATAAGCCTTTCAATAGCAAATTATAGCAGCCAAAATGGGTTGCTGTTGAATGTTCCAGCTAAAACATACGCTTCACTGAAATTGTTTAGCACTCTGTTTCTGGATATATAAAGTTGACAAATTGCCACCGTAAAACAAAAACTTGTCTCGAATATCTCCTCTATTGGAGAAGGCTCTGTTCCTCAATGGGATGTCAAAGCCACGTAAGTAAGTAAGTATCAGTTCAATAACTGGATTCAGGCATAGGCGAGCCTATTAATTACTTCTTAACCAAAATTAAGACCCAGGCTACAAAGTGCAACTTTCAAGCGATTGCGAAGGATCGTTCCGTGCGCGATCGGCTAGTCCATGATCTCCGTTCGTCACAGATGAGAGGTAGTTCTAAGAAAGACGAATTTGACCTTAAAGCTACCGGCCGCCATTTGGAAGAGTTTAGACAATGCCGCCAAACATTCTCAAACAATGGGAGTGTCATCAAGCGTGAAAAGTAAAATATTTGTTGTGAAAGAAGAGAAAATTATAGGCCATATGGGTAAAAATGCCATTGGCCGTAAAATGTTAAAAGCTAAAATCAATAAAAGAAAGGAAAGTTGAAAGGACGGACAAGAAGGACTTTGATTGAAACACAGCAATTAATACACGTTCTGCTGTCAAAGCGGAACTTATCGCTCGAATCCATCACACAGACTAGACGGAGGAAATATTTACTGGATTGGGCGAGGTCAAGGATTTCGTGTACGATACAAAGTTAGTACACAATCCAATTTTCGTCATCCATGCAGCCAGATGAATTCCCCATACATTAAGAGATGCTATGAAAAAGGAGCTGAATGAGATGACTAAGTAGTGCGATGATTGAGAGATGTAGAGACGCTTTGATATACATACAAGCGTTTACCACTTGGAATTGTGTCTGCGCCTGAGATATTTCAGTAAAAATGTGAGATTTCTTTGACGAAGCGGACGGAGTGGAAGTCTTAATGGATAATATCCTGATACATTCGGAGACGGAAATTAGGCTTAAAGAGACGACAGAGAGTTATGGTGCTTCTTAAACAGTGAGGGATGAAGCTGGACAAGAACAATTGCGTTTCTGAAGGGGTATAAAGGGAAGGACTGAAACCTGATGAGACTAAGCTGGAAGCCATAGATCACCTAGTGAGACCCAAAGACAAGAAAGCACTCAACAGATTCTTTGGGATGATAAATTAAAATAACAAAAATCACATCATAAACCCAATAAAAAAGCTAAAATAGGAATAAACAAAATCTACCCATATACAAAAACAAACATTAAAATGAAAGAAAACATTAAAGTAAATATATACGAAACATTCATCAGGCCAATTCTAACTTACGGAATACAAATCTGGAACAATATAAGTAAAACAAACCTAAACAAAATTCAAGTAATCCAAAACAAATGTCTGAGAATGGCATTAAATGAAACTTACAACGCGGACACACAAAAAATAATATCGAATAAAAAACTACACGATAAGAGCAAAATGGAAACAATTAAAGAACACGCCAAAAGAATAACAGAAAATTATTACAACAACACAGAACACTCAAAAAACAAAAATATAAAGGAAATATACCAAACAAAAACACAATCCATCCAATTGAACAGAAATAAAACATACAAATCACCATTCCTAATATTAGAAAAAATCACAACAAAAAATTAATGGGGTAGGGGGTTAGGTTAAGTTAGTTAAGGTTTTACAAAAAAAAACAAACGAAACACAAACAAAAAAGCACAAATTATGTACACAAATAGACAAAAAAATAATTATAATCACGTAACAAATCAAAAAAACAAAACAAAAGGAACAAAAAACAGCCACGGCTGGAATTGTACAAAACTAACAAGGCATAAACACACACAACTCAGGGCAGAAAAATGTAAAATAATAATTTAATCAAGCAATAAAAAAATATTATAGAAAAAAAGATTTATTAATCGCTCAGAAGAACGTGCTTTTGTGAGCGAAAATTGCGTCTGACTGTTGATGACCGAAAGTATTTCAATGTTAAATTCATGTGCTTCACAATTAACATTTTGCGGAGGAAAACCGTTACTCTGGGAAAGTGACCTATCGAGGCTAAAGCTAGCTAGTCTGCTGAACTTCGTTCGGAAGACTGGCTGGCTTAATCATCCTTGCCTTGTATAGGAGCTGATATCTTGTATCGGGGATGCATAAAGGGCCCGTCAGATAAAGGTTATAAGGGTCGATAACCTCTTCGAATTATTATTAGAATATCGCCTGATTGTTCCCACTCAAGCGAAAGCCAGTGGAATTCACAGATTGACAAAGTATATACTAGAGAATTTTTTGCAGACATTATTGCCTATTTTGCTGCGATATCAGTTTGGTGTTGATTTCGACCGATATTGGGACTGATGCGGAACAAAAGTTTGTACTTAAATTGGCAAATTCTAACAGCAATCTTATTTTGACTGTCAGGATTTCTGTGATACTCATCTTAATTTTTTTTTCCATATTTTAATCATACTTGGATTTTTCCCTGCTGTCCATATAATCAGTGCATTTAATCATAACAAACATGAGGTGTCGTTACAATTTCACTACATATTATTTGATGTCTGGATGACAGAATTCCAAATACCATAACAGTTTAAAAAGAAGTTTATATGCCTTCACTATATTCTAAAACTGTATTACTGAAGAAAATTATGTTTCAGAAGATGCATAAGAAAAGAATAAAACCGCATTTTCTCCATAAATTTTGACTTTGGTTTTCTTAGAAGACTGTGAAAACCATGCGATGTGTAATTATATTCCGCAATTTAATACAAAAATAACTTGATTTAAGTGGAAATATAGTTGAAATCGACAGTCTAACGGCTAATTATTCTATATCATTCTTTTTTTTGTTCTCAAACTCTATTGGAGATAAGAAATTGCATGCAATTGCAATTATTATCGTTAAGTTTTAACAACAACATTTCTTTCCGCATTATCAACGTAGATTACGATTGAAGAGATATCAGCATTTAAAGAAAATATTGCGATGATTGCGAGTGACATTTTGTGGAAATCGCGAACGCGCCAGTAGACAAGTCGCAATATAATTACTTGTAATTTTTCTTCCACATAATATATTATCGAAATCCGTAAAATATATATTATTGTGAAATAATACATGTTAAAGCTTACTCATTTTCTGCCTAATCAGAATTCAAATTGAAATCAGAAATCTCGATTGAAAATCAGAACAATTTTTAATCGAAAGCAAGAGAAACAAAGTTTAGACATGTTAATAAGATGAAATTATCAGAATTTTGCGAAAAATCGTAATGAAATATGTATATGCGTAAACGAAATTGCAATGCGATTTTAAACATAATTTTGACGGTTTCTCTTGTTCACTAGCGCTTTTTGGCAGGAGTAAAGAGAAGCATACACAATGTTTCTGCCAGGGGAATTGAGCTAATACTGGACGGTCGAAAGAAACACATATTTAATATTATTGTTGTTAGGTTAATAACAATAAAAGGTATAAATAAAGCAATTTCGAGGTATTTGGTGCCATTTTGGACGAAAATAACAATGTATTGGGGTTCAAAATATATGAAACAATATTAAAAAAAAGGCTACAGTAAGCGGATTTGAATGAAATATTTAGCAGGTTTACAAACACCCGACCACATTCGGTGTAACACATAAATAATCGGTTGTTCTACAGCATACAAAAATATTTGATTGTCACCATGAGCTATTTGCTTACTTTTTTTGGTTAATTCAAAATGTTTCGTATCAGTGATACGCATATGCATATAGACTTGCACAACTGGGTTTCAGATGTGAGGTGACGCCTAGTGGTACTGTGTACAAGTGTGATTGAAAACAGTTAAAGTGGCGACAGGGCTTACTTCTAAGCAAGTGTTTTGGAAGGGGACACATTGCAGGAGTACTACGGCAGCGGATGGGCAATGGAGGAAACCAAAGTAATCTACCACATTGATGACGAATCTACGCCATACTTGGTTAAAATTCCACTGCCGTCGGCCCAAGTTACACTCAAGGACTTCAAGATGGTGCTCAACAAGCAGAATAGCAATTTTAAGTACTTCTTCAAGTCCATGGACGCAGACTTTGGTGTGGTTAAAGAGGAAATCGTTGATGATTCCACGATTCTGCCATGTTTTAATGGACGGGTGGTGTCATGGGTAGGTTTGGGCTCTATATTTTCCCTCGCTTTTACTAAATATTTTATCACTTTGTGGTTTGATTTGTATTTAGTTGGTTACGGCCGATGGAAGCAATGTCTCTGACAACTGTTCGGAGATACCACATAGTGAATTAGATGTGCGACGAGAAGTGGTACGTAAAACCCCTGGATTGACCTATCAGAGTGCATCTGTATTATCCAGCGATATAGACAGTACGTCTCTCTTCGAAACTGAGTCTGAAATCACACTAGACCGGGATATGACAGAATGCAGCTCAATTCAGCGATTGCAGGTCAGGAAAAAACCACAGCGTCGGAAGAAAAGGCCGCCATCCATGAGTCGAACAAGCAGTTACAGTAGCATCACAGACTCTACAATGTCACTTAACATCATCACAGTGTCCATAAATATGGACACAGTTAACTTTTTGGGTATTTCAATTGTTGGACAGTCAAACAGAGGCGGTGATGGGGGAATTTATGTAGGCAGCATCATGAAGGGGGGTGCTGTGGCACTCGACGGACGTATAGAACCGGGTGACATGATATTGCAGGTAAGGAAAACAATTTCCTTAGCGACGAAAGTCCCATTTGCAAAATATTCTTAAAATGCAAGAATGGAATTGACTTAAAACTACATAGTTCAACAGACACAGACACAGTCACACAGACACTACAAATGTGTATCAACGTAAATGAAAACTCCGACTGCTTTTTTCACTTGACAATACTTTACTGCGGAATAATCCACGAATGAATTCTGCTTATATAGCATAACAATGTTTATATTTTACAAAACTTTCAACGTCTTAAACGTTAGAGAATGCAACTCATAAAATAGAAAATTATAACACTTGCATTCATTTGTAAATAAACAAAATGTGTCGTTTTTGACTCACAACAAATTTAGAAGTAAAAGTCCACTATTTACTCACAACAGTCAAAAAATGCCCTGTCACAGTGACACCCGGCAATTTGCTAGTAAGAAGAAGTAAGCCTTCGCGCACAGGGCTTGAAATGAGCACAAAAAGCGGACTGAATAGATTTATGATTAACAAGAGGTTTTTGGCAACTTGTGCCTACAATGACGATCAGCGACGAACTGATTTATTTTGTACATTGAAAAATGCATGCAGCGTGTGAATTGCACTCTAGACTCGGCCAAAAAAGCTTAATAAGCAAAAGTCCAGAGTGCTTTATCACGCAGCGAGAGGTGTGGGATATCAAAACAATGTGCAGATGCAAGAAGTGCAAATGCACGAAGTGCAACAATGTAACAGCACAAGTTAGCTGCATTGTTGCTGCTTACCAATCTCAAGAAAATTTAATTATATTGAGCAAAATGATAAAATATGAGTAATTTGAACATAATAAAAATTAAATCATGAACATCTTGGGCTCGCGGCATAAGACATGAAGAATGTTTTGAAATAGATGTCATAAGATAAGTTCGGCATCACAAAGCCCCATCCATATAGTTTCCCTGTCCTTATAAGTTCTTGTTACTCCCGAGATGGTAGGAGCAAAATGCTGTGTTTTCACCATAACCAACAGTTGGACACAATCGTTATTACCCATACTGATATCATATTTAGCCCACACTCATCAATCGACGAGTGAAAAACAAATGTATAAACTAGAAAAACAATATTTCATATTATTAGTGTATATAGATACGCAATGGAAACTGTTTACTGTACCAAATATATTATTTCTAGGTGAATGATGTTAATTTTGAGAATATGACTAATGATGAAGCAGTTCGTGTTCTACGAGAAGTGGTACAGAAGCCGGGTCCAATAAAATTAGTGGTAGCAAAATGCTGGGATCCAAATCCAAAAGGCTACTTCACAATTCCGCGAACAGAACCTGTGCGCCCTATTGATCCTGGAGCTTGGGTAGCACATACACAGGTAATACACGTTGATTTATGATTGTGCTACAATTCATGACAATAAATTATTATAGGCGCTTCGTCAACATGAGCCACAAGGATCAGCAGATGGTATTTTAGGCAATCCGGCAGAACCTCATCTTAGCACAAAGTCTCATCTGCGTGAAATTGTTCGTTCTATGGCGCGATTAGACTCAGGTCTTGAGATTCGCGACCGGATGTGGTTGAAAATCACCATTCCTGCTGCATTTATTGGAGCTGATGTAGTGCATTGGATTATGGAGAATGTCGAGGTATTTATAATTTTTTTTACTGTGTCAACAGCCTTCAACTTTCCTGCTCCTTTTTAAGGGCGTCGAGGATCGTCGTGAAGCGCGAAGAATTGTAGCAGCAATGCTAAGAGCGGGTTACATAAAACATACCGTAAATAAAGCCACATTTTCTGAACAATGCTACTATGTACTTGGCATAGGTAGCACCACTGCCGGCGATACAGATAGTCTCACCAGTGATATCGCACCCTTACCAAATCCACCTATGTACATGCCATACTCGGCTGTCTACAATCCCAGCCACGGTTATCAGCCGATACAGTACGCCGACAGACCTATATCGTCGGGTGAGTAGTTGTAGTAGTAATTGATTTTGGTTGGGAATGTAAAAATAAATAAACATGTTTAGAACATACCTATGTAATTTAAAGAGTGGGTTTAATTTAAAATATTAATTTTAAATTATTGTAAAACTTTATTGTTATTGTAAAACTTCAAAACTTTTTGGAAAAACAAAAATTTATTTGATAACTGCTGGAGTACAACGCAATATTTTCACAATTCCTAAGATAACAGTATATTTTTTCATAATTCACTTAATTTGTATTTATTGATACAAAAAAAATCTGAAATTTTGCGAAGAAAAAGAGAGAGCTGAGTCTTAAAATTCGTCAAAATCAGAATTAGTGGAAATTGACTGATTTTGAGAAATTTGCGAGTCTTGAATAAAAATCAGTCAGAAACCGAGTTAAAATTGACTCAAAATCAATTAACTCGTGTTAACATGAAAACATCGAAATAATAGAATGATTTTTTAAAATTATTTTTAATATTATATTTATAATTTTCCATATTACAGCTGAGATATAAGCATTTATTTTCTTGCGCGCGTAAGAGGCTCAGAAACGGAGAATGAAAAAATTGAGTGGATATTCGGATAGAAAATAGTGATTATATTTTATAAATGTTACTATTCGTCATTTTCGCCACCCATTTATTGCATTTTCACTATTTTTACTCCGAAAAAGAAAACCATCATAGAGTTTGATGAAGTCAAATCTAACCTTGAATCTAACTCTACAACCCGCGAATTTGTTAATTTGCCTTTCATTTGAACGCTTTTGATGTCAAATGATTTCTTTCCATGCCGCGTTCGACAAAGTGTAATTTCCTCAACACCACATTATTCCTACCTAGTCCCTGAGAGTCCTTCTTTGCAGTGTCAAGGCAACGATAATCCAAATTTTATTATGTCATATATAATCCTTACCATAAAATTTTTTTTAACATCAACCATAGACATAACCAACAAAGACTAACGAAACTTTCGAAATTGTGATCATGTCAACAAGTTAAAAATCGATGAGGTTCTGTTGATTCTGATTTTGACCATTTTCAAGACTCAGCCCTCAGGACAGGAAACAAAAAATGGGAATGAGTTAATACTGAAGTAACACAGATTTTGTTCATATATGATGATCATCACTGTTATTTTTTTTTCATAATTCCAGGGTCTAGTAGTTCTGATGTGCTCACCAGTAAAGATATATCAGCCTCTCAAAGTGACATAGCGTCTATTATACAACAAACCAATAACAGTAATAACTTATATGCTAGTAAGTAATATAGATTTTAATCAAATAACTTCTAATTTTTTCTCAGTAAACATCACAAATGGGTCCAACAAGTCATCAGGATCATCAAATCGCGGTGCAATTGATCATGAGCTCCACGGTATGTTTGTTTGATACTATCAAATGGATACCGGTGCCCAACCGTGAACTAAGTCAATATTTCCGTTTCACATTAGTATTTTTTCTCGTTTCATATCTATTATTTTAATGTGCATTATTTTGCTACGTTGGTCTTTCGCCACGGTTGTTTTATTGTTTAGTCTCTATGCATCACACATATACACATACATACATACAATAATAAATACATATAAGTAGTAGGCTTTGTATATGGAATTCATAATGTTTAGCCAATTCGACACCCCTTCCTGCTTACATGGAAGAAAATCATCTCTTTTGGTCACAGGAGGCTAGAAAGAGTGCCAAAACGCTGAAAGTACGATTCTACCCCAACATTAAACAATGTGCAATGAATGATGACAACGCCATTGCCTACGGATATGAGAGATTGGAATTACAGGGATATACCGATTGTAGGAGAGAGGAATATATACAATTTCTGTTCTGCCTCTCATTTTCACACTAACTGAAAAGATGATATAAATCAAGTAAAATAAAGTGCCGCGAAGGCGATATTTGACTGTAAATGCACATTTGTTTTCAATAATATACGATACGGACCATGATTGAAAAAATTCTGTTCCACTGAGAAAGAGTTTAAAATGGTAATCCAGTTCTTTAGTTCCAAATTGTAACTTCCAATAGATCTACTCTCTTCTATAGGTTCACCAGGTCTTTTTCAATGAAAATGACATAATGCTATAATGTGATTCATTTTTGGTGTAAAGGGTTTTTTTTCTGTTTTCCAAAACAAAGTTCATCAGAAGACTTGGAAGCCGCTGTGAAAATTTTGCGGAAGAGAAAATTTAAGAAAATTGCGCTTTCTGGGAAAAGGTTACGTTGGCATTTTTCTTACAGAAGCTAATGCAGTGCCGCAGATTTTGCAGTGATTTGGCGATTTACATCATTGGTATGGTTTAAAAAAAAGTTCGGTCCAAAAATTTTGTATTTTCCAATTATATGACAGATGGCAAGATCATTGTAGGTAAAATCTCAATTTATCGATGATTCCAGGGATGATTCTGATAATGTAATAAACTTTTTCATGCAGTTGTTCTAAGTGAGCAGCAATCTATATACTTCCTTACTTTTTCCGTTTTAAGGCTGTAATGTCACGGACATTCTTGCCCATACAGCATGTGTACTTCCTTATTTATTTAGGTGGTAATACCGAACCATCGAGAGAGACAACTTTCTCCATTAGAGGAGATATTCGAGACAGGTTTGTTTTAACGGTGGCAGATTGTAAATTTGCCAATCAACCATAAGTGGTTCTAAAGTACATCTTTATATAAGAACAGAGCGCAAAAAAAATTCTAGTGAATCGTATGTTTCAACTTGAGCTGCCGTTACTTTCTTATTGAAATGCTTATTTTGTCACACTCCTGTGTTCGAACATTTGCATTGTTTACGTACACCCCGGCAGAAGTCAAAGATAAGCGATAATTTTATCGTCTTCGGATTTGCTATCAATTTTCTCAAATCTTACTTTCTCTTAGAACCATTAGTGTTACGCGGCCATTTCTGCTGCATTTCTCCTTTTCCCAATTTTCAAAATATTAGCCTCAGTGATGTCCAAACACAAATGTACCATAGTAGGACAAAGACTAGAACAGTCCAACGAGCGTTGAGTGGCTGAAATGATTGTATGAGCTGTGACGACACTTTATTTGTAATTCTTCCAGAGACGAATTCTTTATTCATGATGCCACACCGCTGAGAAAATAAACAATTATTTTTCGAAAATGAGAGTTTTCATAGTTGATATTCCTACGCAATGTTAGTCACGTGTAGAGCAAAAAAGGCCCCTAAGGATGTTATAAAGTCCCGGGCCCGTGTAATCAATATAAAAAGCCCAGTCTATTCAACGTGTTTATGTACTTTTCTCCATGTAAACAATAGTTTTTTCACCACTTATTGTTCATGTAATAGGTGAATTTCACTCTTCACGCTTCGAAGACACAAGTTCTACATTCCCCAGGGCGTTCAGCTGTTATTACTCCGTGCCCTTTTCCTTCCCGTCTTTTCCTATGATGCCGAATTATTCTTTTCCTGCGATCAAGCCTCTATGCATCGCCTTACTGTCACATTCAACAACTGCGTTAGATTTATTTTCAATCTTCGGCCTTCCTCTCATGTGTCCCAGTACTATCATCTTTTGCTGGTACAGGCTGATCTAACTCTACCTCTTTTCCTCAAGTCACGCGCTATTGAATTCATTTCTCGGACACTTCGTTTACGTCAACCCCAATATTTGGTTGAACTACTCACGCCTGGCTCGTCTGTCAGGTCTTCGAGTCTCATTGTGTCGACCTCGTGGAGCCATATCCTCCAAAACTCTCTTTTTGTTGACAGGGTGATTCTCTGGAATGAACTTCCCAGAGATATCAAGTAGCGGTTGATCCAAACCTTTCTGACGTCCTAATTGCTTTTTCATTTCGTAAGAGATGGGGAAGAAAGCCTATACAACTTCTGAAAGAGCTTTTCCACCATTTTGCTCTGGAGGTTGATCATCAACGCTTAGACGTCGGTGAACGCAAAGTACGGTCACAAAAGCTTTATATTTATGAGCAAATAATAGACATATTCTATTCTATTCTAATAATATGACATAGCATTTTTTACACCTGCTGAAGGAGGGAAAATCTTCCGACACATTGTCTGGGAATAAATTTATTGGATATCCAAATTGGCTATTCTGTCTTTTGAATTAAACCAGTCTTTGACCGTTAAACCATCCAATTCATCTGAGAAAATTACCTCGTCAATTAAAATAAAGCTTCCTTGAATGTGGCTCCGCAATTGAAGCACAATGAAACTCAAAAATCCTTGCAAAGACCTGAAGGATAAGCCAAACGAGAGCACTTTATCAAAGAATGTAATTCTTATTTTCTTCCTAATTTTTTGATAAAGCAAAATTTAGGGCCTAACCCTCTTACAATTTGTCAAAAAATTAATGTTAGTATTTGAATATTTCGCCTCCCAATTTGAACTAAATAAGAAATTTGATCCTAATTTCTAGAGGATAATTATAAAAAAGACTGTCGGATGAAGTTCGTATACACTACATATGAAATGAATATGTATGGTTAATAAAATAAGTTTCGTACTGTCAGTGAAAATTTGTCACTACTTCTCGTCTGACGTCACGTTTGGTGTGATTATGGGCGAGTGCTGAAAAAATGTGAAGCGCCCTGTAAGTTTTTTATTTCTCAAATTGACTTTGAGCATACAAAATATGCGGCAGTAACAATCTCGTGTTTAGCCATGCAAGTGGCCACCCTATTTCGTGAGAGTGCTGCAACGCTATTAGGCGCCACCACAATGAACGAATCAACTGCGTTCGCAGTTCCCTCAAGTCAATCGCTGGACCTTCATCCAGTAGCGACAAATCACGAAGGATACAAAATGTGAGTTAAATACTATGTGAAACATATACTTAAATAAAATGTTAGGTGAATACATCCCGTACCCTTTCAGCCTATCACCGAGCTTAAGGGCTGACATGCCGGATGATGGATATGAGACCAGTGTCGGTGACACGCTACCCCGCGTGGTTAAAGCACCCCCAGATGATCCATACAACTTCATCGATGATGATCTTAGTCACATGATGTCTTTCCCATTTTATGGAACAGATGTGAGTGTCCTTGATATTCCTGCAACAGTGGCGCCAAAGAAGCGCGGCAGAAAAAAGAAACCACGCGATGAGAGTACGACCACAAAGGTGCGTGAGCGGAAGAAGCACGACAGATTTAATGGTATGTCCGAAGAAGAAGTGTCAAAACGCACTCTACCTGACCACATCGCAAACAATCTTGATATCATTATAGTAAGTATCCATTAGAACATGAAATAGTAGATATAATGAAAGTCTTATTACATAAGTAGAAGAAATTAGGGAAACTGGCTATATGTAAATTTGTAAGGCTTCACATTTGGCATAAGTAAAAAAAAACAACGTTAAATATAAACAATTCATGGTTCAATGTGAAATATGTATATGCACAAATAACATATATTACAGGTACCTAAGATATGTATGAAAGGCATTTATAGCATGTTTAATTTGCATATGTGAATGTATAAATTTCTTCACATGGGAATGTATTAATTTTTCCAAACGATCATTAGTAATTTTTTTCAAATATGAAAATGTAAATTTCAACATTTTCGTGTTTATAAACTTTTACACATGCTCGTCCTAGACTTTAAAATATCATATAGATTATAAATACTTCACGTGTCGGAAAATTGGAATATTTCTGCGCATTTACATATTAAATTACTTATTGAGAATTTCGAAACTAAATGTAATTAATACCTTCAATCGTAAAAATCATAAAAACGATAAAGATCGAATATTATACAGAATTGATAGTTTACTAAAAGATTTTCTTCTCCATTCATAAATAGATTTCTATAAACTGTTATAAAACATAATGTTAACTAATATTCCTAAATTTGTACATTCGAAGTTGGTTAAATTGAGAATTTCAGCTCTGGGGTAAAGATTTCGTATTGTTGTGAAGGATATATCCATCTGCAAGGGTGGCCAGAAGGACGGGTTCGAAGTGGACTCTCCTGAGTACATAATTAAGACAATACTTTGCAAACCTCTTTGAGCAATTAAATAATTCTATGCAATCATAATGCAAATTTTTTTATTCGATATGCCTATTCCTAAGGAAAATACTATCCATACACTAGAGTCTCTTTATATGAATATTATTTTAGATTGAGGTTTCCCTCAAGATTTGTTAATATCTCAAATATTTGAGCTTAACCTTGACAAAGTATACAATCATTACTTCCAGTAAAAAATTCTTTTCAATATTTTATATTAAGGAAAATGGATGTTGTATAATAAACTAAATAAGATCAGAAAACTTGAGACATTCTTTACTTGCCATTACAGATCGGCATAAATCCTGGTTTGTTTGCCGCCTATAAGGGTCATCACTACGCTGGACCAGGAAACCACTTTTGGAAGTGTCTTTACCTATCTGGACTCACACATGAACAAATGACAGCGGAGGAAGATTATAAGTTGCTCAAATTTGGTATTGGTTTTACAAATATGGTGCAAAGAGCAACTAAGGGATCTGCAGATCTCACACGTAAGGAAATCAAGGAGGGTAGCCATATACTCATGGATAAATTGAAGCGGTTCCGCCCTAAGATAGCAGTTTTCAATGGTAAATTGATCTTCGAAGTGTTCTCTGGCAAGAAGGACTTTAACTTTGGTCGTCAGCCTGAGTGTATTGAAGGAACAAATACGGTGAGCACAGGTCGAGTGACAGTCAAACTAAAAAACGAAAGGCAGACCTTTAGAGATCCTAATTGAAATTTTTTTTTTTTTTACAGTACATGTGGGTGATGCCATCGAGTAGTGCGAGATGTGCCCAATTACCACGCGCTGCTGATAAAGTGCCATTTTACGCTGCTCTCAAGAAATTCCGTGATTATTTAAATGGTGTGGCCACAGAAGCGGAGCTCGATGAGCAAGAGTTTGTGTTCAGTGATCCGAAGTACAAAGTGTGCTGTGAAAGTGAACCAAAAATGGACAACTGTGTTTCTGACATTGAGGTAACAAAGAAAAAACGCGGACGCCCAAAGAAGGTGCGTCCTGAAGACGCTGGTGATGCTGTTATCGCAAAGGCGATACTAACAAAGCGTACCATAGCACTAGAAGGTGTGGCAAAAAAGAAGCGCGGTCGTCCCAAGAAGCTGAGGGAGGGGGAAACGGTGGAGGCAACATTCTCGTCACCACCATCCATTATTGAAACTATGCACAACTTCTGCAAAACTTCTACGGCCTATCAATCACCACAGAATTCACAGACATATTCTCATTCTGACCTATCGTCAGAGATTAGTGCCGCTATCTCTTCGGATCATCTAGTGGACTCTCCACCGGCTGGATCACCACCTCTTGGTCCACCTGACTTCGAACCGCCCGCAACAATGCCCACCGATGGTGCCAGCCAGCCTGATCTCAGTCGCTATTCACCGTACGCTCATCCATATTCACAAGACGAATGGCGTACAGTTAGAGAGGTACCCTCCTTATATTCCATACATATTTCGTATATTCTAATCTTCCGTAAAATCGATTATGTCGAGATTTTATTGGGTTGTATATTTTCCTGTTACGATTAAAACTTTAAAACCTTTTACCCCAATTGGAAGTCCCGTAACTTCTTTTTCCAAATACATCGTGAAGTAATTTGAAATATTTTTGATAATTTGTGAGATATTATTCTAAATGATTTGCAGATAAGTTTTCTCAGTAATCCTAAAGGTAATGCACTATAACACGCTGATATGCTAACCTAAGCGGCACATAATAGCGAAAATCAAATATAACGTTGGTTTGTAACGAAAGTTTGGTTATTTACAGTGTGAAAAGTGAGGATACGAAATGACTCACAAAATAGCGTCAATAGTATGACAATAATTATTGTCAAATCAAATAACACGATGCTATTCCAACAAACTTAAAAATAACCAGAGAACTTGAAACAAATCAAAATGTTTTAAAGCATAAGAAAAAGAGATAGAATGAGAAACTTTCAGGTGTAACGATTGCCTCAAGAGCATCAGGAGAATAATTTTTACAACAAGAAAAGCAATAAAATAAAATGTAGGAAGAATAAATTTATTATTTATTATTATTATGTTCAATTTGTTATTGAATGTGTATGCGATTTAGAAGAGTTTTTAAAAAATTGTTCTATTATTCATTTTATAATCAAGATGTCCATGATTACGTGTTATATGTTTCGCTCCTCTCGCTCGCTGAAATCTTCGAATCTGAAGCGCTTTTCGAGGAAATCACATGAATACTTTTGCACTTCATATGCAATGATTATGATGATGGTTTTGGCATCAATTTATCGAGCTCTCGAATAATTTTAGTAATTATCAGCTCGATTGGTCAACTCAAAGTTCAAATTCCTCAGTCACCCTAAAACAAATCCCGCGGAAATTGGGTGAAAAAAATTTCACTTTCCAAGATGGGATGCCAATATTTGGGCTCACAAAAAAATTCTCTACAAGATGAGCATATTTGCACAAATATCTCATGCTTGAAATGCAGACAAACACGTATGATGGTTTGCGATTTTTCTGCAATATGCTTGGCATGTTCTTATCGCGTTAATTATTTAACCGTTTTTTCTATGCTCCACGTAAACCTTTACAACCAAATTTCGATCACTTTGCCTACGGTTATATGAGGCTTTGTCTACAAGTGAAAACGGTTGGAAAACCCTCATACAACGGTTTTGAGTTGCTTCAGAATATATCACCGTTGTATACTTATGAAATATCGTAGATGATTTTGAAAAGTCTTGTCTATGACATATTGATTGAAAATCTAGGCTGGTAATTGAAATTATGGAAGCTGTCGGAAACGGCTTTTCCAGCTCAGACTCCTTTTCTTCTTTTTTTTTTATTAACCACCCACGTACCCTGGCCCTTACAATTAGTATATTGGGCCGACTTTCTGCGTACTACCTTTTGTAATTTCTGTCCTTCCTCCGGTCTACAAAGTATATCTGGGGAGATTAACAATTAGTATACAACTACAAAATTGTATTTGAATTATATAAATTAAAATTATTAGAATTACAATAAATAAAAATTTGCCAAAAACATTTTGCACGCGGTTACATGTTATAATTTGCTACCTGATTTGAATCATGAGTCATATTACTTTTTTCGTTGAACATTCTCTTTGTGATTATATTTCGGCCTGAAATTTTTTTTAACTCTGTCTGTGACAGAACAAAGGCCAGAAAATCTCAACTTCTTTTCACTCTATCACGACGTTTCGGAGATATTTATGTCTCCTTCATCAGGTGTGCGGGTGTTTGGGGTGTAAGCTGGTCAATTATCTTCAGATCACCACATTTTAATCTCACTGCCACAAATTGCACGATCAGCATTCTCTTATTAACCTTGAGGCAGTGAGATTAAAAGGTGGTGATCTGAAGATTATTGACCAGCTTACACCCCAAACACCCGCACACCTGATGAAGGAGACATAAATATCTCCGAAACGTCGTGATAAAGTGAAAAGGAGTTGAGATTTTCTGGTGTTTGTTCCGTCACACACAGAGAACATTCTCTTTATTGCCACAATCTGTTTCATCCTCATAGGTTTAACAATACGTGGAATCTTATATCTGGTTGAGTAATCTAAGACAATTCTTTTTCTAGCAACGGGACATCTATAAAATGCCGGACGTAACAACCAAAAGTCTGTCAGGACTTGAAAATTTGGTGGACCAAATACCTGCAATGCGTGAGATTGACGTAGCACCAGCTCTTCAGACAATTGAAGACGAAGTATATCCATCTTGTCTCTATTCTGATCGCGAGTACGACTTCACGTCTTACTCTTATCCAACATACGCAGACGTGGAAGTAACACCGCCATCAGGATATGGCTACAATTTTGACGGATCGGCCTATGGCTACCAGATGGGTTATCAGACATCCAGTTACACGTACACCACCTACCCGCCGTCATCATATCCACCACAAACTGCCCCTTACCGACAGCACGCCTTCAAGCCAGATCTTACGGGTTACGGTGGCTTTTGATAGTGAGACGGGGCGAGGCCCATAATCTCATAATAACAGGGTAGTTACGCCAGAAAGTGCGTGCAGGCAAATGCATTACTTTGATGTATTTCTTCTGTCTTTGCTGAGCGAAAATTGATAGTGTACAATGTAAGGAAACATAATAGAGAGAATCAAATTTGCATGACAACAGTAAAATTCAATATATAGGTGGCTATATCATTTATGCATCCTCTATTATTATAAGAAAAGTTTACTTCCTTAACAGCAAATGTATAATTATTATTTTCTGATTCAGTCAAATGTGAAAAAAATAGTTTCACTTCAAATGGTAACAATAACTCTTCGTAATCTATTATTTTTTAATCATGCATTATCAAAATTATTAGTCAAACTCATTCAGAATTTCGTTTACAGTACTTGTGTATGGCCTAGTACATAGTTTTATGCTATAAAACATACATGGTTTTGCGAGTAACTAAGTTTTACGGCTATAACACCAGAGAATTGTCATTAGATCGCTTGATTTCGATTTCAATAATGAACATTTTCACTATTTTTAACATTCATTTGTGCAATAGTGAACCAGTTAAAACTGCACAAATTTTGCTGGATTACATGTGCAGATTATGAGTTAAAAAGTGTGAAAAGATAAATAAAAAAACGTATGTGTTTCTTTGAATGTAAAAGATATCCAAAACTCTTTTATACGATTATATTGGGACAATACTATACTGACACAGAAGATTTAACTCGTTAAAAAATGATCCGTCTAAACTTAAAAGGATTACCCTGTTTCCAATGTTGAGCTGAATAAGATGCTCATTCTTACCAGTAGAAGACGGGAAAATTGTAATATTTTATTTAAAAGCAGCAAATGATACAAGAAAGGAAAGATGCAAATTAATCTATTCACCGGTCAGACATTTAAACATTCATATCGAAATGTTCCCTTTTTCTGCAATTAGTCGATTAGTAATATTTCTTCGTTTTCCAATCACCTTAAGTTTTCCAGAATGGTGTTAGAAATTGAAGGAAGAAGAGCTTAAAGTAAATAATTCTATTGTAGTTCATGCCCTTTTTCGCAATTAAACTAGTTGAGGCTATATGCACCCATTGGGATGACAATGACATTTCTGAATTAATTAGTCTTACAAACGGGAAAATTTAATTTTAGAACTCATAATTCGCTTATTACATAAAACTTCCTCTAGAAGTTGTGTTTCAATAGCGCGTTACGGTGAAACAATTTTTGGTACTAATAACACAATTTTGATATAGCATATTTAATCAAAAATAACAAACGAGCCTGTAAAAGCCGCTTCTCAAATTTAGTAACATCAAATATGTGTCACAGAATTGCTGCAATGATTTCATTAAACATTAGCTTTCGCTGAAATATACATAACAAATATAATTCTATACTGTGACTTGGACGTCAGAGCTTTCGATGAACGAAAAGAGCGCTGAAGTCAAAGATATCAGTCAAAAGTCATATTTTATGGTATGCACGCTTGAAACTATTTGCTTTTATTGACAACCCCTCAGGTGGTCCTAGATCATGTATACATTTGTAATAAGTTTAAATGATGGCTTTTTCTTCTTTTTCGTTAAATCTATGTGTGCAATAAATCGCACAAGGTGTATTGTGATATTAAAGCGCAAAATACAGTGAATGAAAAAATACCAGCAGTGCAGAAAGTGATGGCAAGTGTGTCGGTACGCTGGAGTGTGCAAAATGGCGAAAACCTAGGCGACATAATTCTCCCCTGTACTTTTTTCATCCCTGAAGAAGGAGGAAATATACCTCCGAAACGTTGAAGCGAAATAAAATAGAGTGAGCAAAGAAAAAGGCCGTTCCGTTTTAAATCTACACACACAATCCGGCTGACCAATATCACAATCGAAAAAATACCAGTTAAAATATTTATGTACAAGTATGAACCTTTTTTCTGTTTTACTACATTTTCAAATTGACTCATTTCAATTTGGGCACAGTAAAACGTACAGTAAATCCCAGTGAAGAGCATGCTATCTTGGCTCGTCATACGATCAAATATATGGTCAATACATAGATTCCTCCATATACATATAATCTATGTGAGAATGGTAGAGACGTGCACATTACCGATTAATTGTTTAGAAATCAACCCCATTTTAAAAAAATTAGTCCAATAGAGGACAATAAATGCTCGACAAATATTATAACGGCGAAAACACAGCATTTGTCAGGTAAAAATTAATCGAGTTCATCATCATTTCGTCTCTTTCTTCCCCACGTATATCGTGTATTTTCCTTCTTACTCTGGTGGATATATATATTTATATATATATTTTTCTTTACATTTTAAATTAATTATATATATTCCTCATTAAGTACACTGAAAAGAAACGTTTACATACAGTTCAAAATTTGTTCGAATTCAAACCCATGGGCCTAAAACATACCGTGACGGAATTTTAAATTGGGAAAGTTGAGTATTTGGAACAAATCAAGCGACAGCGAATCTTCATGCTGAGCTAGAGGTCTGATTTTTTGCACAAGTATACTGATACTTGTGACTAATTGTCCCAAAAGTTTTCAGTCTTTTTTTTTATTTAGAAAAATAACCTATTATGCCCAATTTATAAGTCGATTTCTTTACATCTTCGAAATATTTGTAAACTGTCCCTATTAAAGAAGTTTGACCTTTCCTATTTGCTTAGGGCTAATTACTTAAGTTCCTGAGCTAAAAACTTGAAACTTAGTGGGATAATTACACACAAGTAACAATATATTCGTGCAACAAATCAGACCAATAAATAGTTCAATATGAAGATCCGCGGTCACTCGTTTTTTCGTAGTACTCAACTTATGCATAAATTCAAATCAAGGTATAATAAGAGACGGAGGATTTGAAATTCTGTGGTGTTGTTAATGTGTTCAGCAAAATATTTTAATACGTAAATTATAGTTAACTAAAAATAATAACAACAGGGTGATGTTACAAGAATATGAAGAGGCAGGAAAGCACAGGTACACGTAGAGCCATGATGTTTAAGAAATATCTGAGGTGTCGGAGAAATGCCCTGGAGGAGCACGCGAAGAGACCAAGTGACGATCCCTCAGATATAAAAGATTGAAATCTCCATTAGGAAAATAATAGTTAAATTAATCCATAATGAAGATTAAACTTAATCGTTACTCATAAATTTACTTTTAATTGTTTTTACTTTGTGGATTAAGTAATTGCTATACAGATGCCTTCTTATAATGCCCATGTGAGAAAGATTGTAATCTATTTATCTCAGTTTCAACGGTAAGAGAATCAACATGAGGTATTCCCCAAAGGCTCAAAGTATGCTGTATCTTAGAACATGGTGTTATCAGATCTAACCCCCATCACTCCTTCCGCTGATGATGATGTTTCAGAAACGGCGATATGAGGGGTGAGATTTCACATTTTTACTAGCCTATATCTCCGCTCTCGTACCAACACATTTCGATAAACTCTTCACTAGAAAATTAATCTAGACCAAGGGGTTGCTAACGTCGGAGATGTAGCCAAAATGATTGGAGATGAAGCTATCAATTTTTACAAAATTTCTTGATATTCGCGAATGGTCAGAATTAATTGTAATTTAGGTTTTTTTTTAAAAAAACAGACGAAGCCATAAAAAATTTGAATTTCGTGCAAATGCCTCAAAATTTCATGCCGACAAGGAAATGAAACAGCATTTAAAGATATTTCGGTATAGAATTTGCCGAGAAGCTATACTTAAGAGTTGAATTAAGTGTCAATTTAGCAATGTTTATCCCAAATTAGTGATTATGATGAGCTTAGATTATTTTTCTGTAAAAAATGAAAGTTATAATATTGAATTTTAATTTTAAAAGCCTTTCCTTGGTTTATATTCAACGTATTTCGGGCTATTCCGTTCTTTGATTTAAACTTTTATATTCCCTCCATTCCTAATTCGATAAGGCGCGCGAGACCGTGGGGGGCATCAGGAAGTACTTACAGGCTGCTGCTCTGATCAGCGACTCATCCTAACTAATAGCTAAATGTTTAAAAGTCTCATTTCTTTTTCTTTTTTTCTTTTCTCACTTATCTGTATTGTTCTTACTCCTTGTCGATTCTTAGTCTCTTTTTCCACTCTTCTTTTCTAATTAGCAAATTGTAAGAGGGTTATGCCCTAAATTTTGCTCAAAATAATAAATAAAATTAAATAAAAATTAAATTAAATTAAATTAAAATTAAATAAATATTATGTTTTCGAAATCGTCTAGTTACATCAGTTACAAAGACTAGTAGTATTTCTGATAATTCTTTCAGAACATATAGTTTCAAATTTGATTAGCTGAGAAAGCAGAACAGAGAGCTGAGTCTTGAAAATGGTCAAAATCAGAATCAACAGAACCTCATCGATTTTTAACTTGTTGACATGATCACAATTTCGAAAGTTTCGTTAGTCTTTGTTGGTTATGTCTATGGTTGATGTTAAAAAAAATTTTATGGTAAGGATTATATATGACATAATAAAATTTGGATTATCGTTGCCTTGACACTGCAAAGAAGGACTCTCAGGGACTAGGTAGGAATAATGTGGTGTTGAGGAAATTACACTTTGTCGAACGCGGCATGGAAAGAAATCATTTGACATCAAAAGCGTTCAAATGAAAGGCAAATTAACAAATTCGCGGGTTGTAGAGTTAGATTCAAGGTTAGATTTGACTTCATCAAACTCTATGATGGTTTTCTTTTTCGGAGTAAAAATAGTGAAAATGCAATAAATGGGTGGCGAAAATGACGAATAGTAACATTTATAAAATATAATCACTATTTTCTATCCGAATATCCACTCAATTTTTTCATTCTCCGTTTCTGAGCCTCTTACGCGCGCAAGAAAATAAATGCTTATATCTCAGCTGTAATATGGAAAATTATAAATATAATATTAAAAATAATTTTAAAAAATCATTCTATTATTTCGATGTTTTCATGTTAACACGAGTTAATTGATTTTGAGTCAATTTTAACTCGGTTTCTGACTGATTTTTATTCAAGACTCGCAAATTTCTCAAAATCAGTCAATTTCCACTAATTCTGATTTTGACGAATTTTAAGACTCAGCTCTCTCTTTATTTTTGTGCTCAAATTCCTCTCTTTCTTGATCGGTATCACGCCAAAAAGTCATAGGGTGTGTGTAAAAGGGGAAGGACAATGACGCGAAAATGCAATTTTAGTCGCTTCCCAAACGAGTATAGTAGAAAACAAGGTGAAAAATTACATTTTAGGCTTTAAAAGGACTTTTTACGAGAAGATTCAAAACCTAAGGATAACATTAAAGCGTTAAAGAGAATGCTAGGAAAGATTCTATTGGAAAATTGATAACTTCAAGCATGGAAAAATTTAATCAGCTGGGATTTTGATCACAAATGCAAAAATTGAGAAGTGTTTCGAGGAAAATAAAAATTTGCAGCACAGTACTGGTAATTGCGGTGAAAAAAGAATCTTGGTTGGTAGTTTATTTGAAAAAAAAATGGTCGCAGAAAAGCCTTTTCCTGTAGTCATTTTCTTTGTCATTTATTTTTATTATTTCAATCCTTATTGGATCACGAAATATTTTTACGACGAATCAAATCAACTGGAAATTCCAGAATAAATTGCATCTGCGTGCATCGCGATGCAGTCGAGATGCCCTTGAGCAGCAAGATGCTGTGGCACTCAAAACCCACATTAGCAACCCCTTGATTTCGATGCATTTCACTAGATCACATCTACAATCAGCTTGTGACGTTATAAGTAAAGTTTTCACGCATGTATTTCGACCAAATCATTTAACATTTAGAAAAGATATTAGTATATTTTATTTCAGCAATGGATTTATGCTAAAATTGCTCAATTTTGGAAAATACAAACAGTTGTTGAATATATCGTAAAATGTGTCCTATAAGAAGCCATAATATTAATACTAGCACAATATTGAGCTCAGCTTCTTACACATTTGTCGTTTTTCTTGTGACAAATTCATTTATTTGGGTTTTCCCCAAGTTCTCATGGTAATTTACTTTCATATTTAAGTTTCACGAACAATTCCTGTATTGCAATGTTATGATAAGTAAAAAGAAACTGCGGTTTTTAATCAGAAAAGACATTACTCATTTGTGTAATTTTTGCCAAAAAAATCTCCTAATTACCAGAAAATTAAAGTCAAGGGCACCGCAAAGGTTAAGAGGGTCTTAATTAGAGATCGTATACAATATTTCGTGTCTTTTGATTTAAGTTATGGGAGAAAAGTAATCGTCAGGATACAAAATCAATTTTTGATTTTGTGAAACGACACTGTAAAAATAGGCTAAATTTATACAAAAACTCTCAAACTTCTACGATATTTCACATAAATAAGACATCGTTCCATAATAATGTAATTCTGGCACAATTCTATTGCATGTCAGACAATCTCTAAAAATATACCATAATTTTTCACTGTTGTAACAAGACTGGAGTTATGGCAGTTAAAAGTTCGTATTGGAATACACTATAATTTCTTTTTATGTGTCCCATCTTTTTATCTTAATCTCACTTGAAGGGTTTTCATTTTCAAAAGTCTACAACTGCTGAGAATAGAAGTTTCAATTTTTAATTGCAATTTTCAGTTTATGTTAATTCGAAATTGCTACATTTCAAGTTGATTATAGAGAAAAGTACAGTACAGCCTTGTTGCTTCACATAACATAGGCACACATATTTTGTTTTGCTGTAACATATCATAAAATAGAATAATATTGAATGGTAGTTAAAGAGCACGGTACTTATATGAAATTACTTATGCCTATATATTACTTATATGAAAATATCGATCGTGACACCTCTGTGAGGTAGCATATAAACAAATTCTGTTCAAATCAATTTTATTATTTAAATATGAACGCATACTTATAAATTGAACAATAAATTTTGTAATTTGGTTTGAGAGGTAATAGCGGATGCAAAAAATGATATACAACGACTTAAAATTAACAGAGAAATAATGAGAGCATTTCACAAATTTAATAAAAAAAATTAATATCCCATATATAAGAGGGAAACATTTGACAGATTATACGTAATATTAAGTAACTTACATTTACTCGCTTCTTTCAGAAAAAAATCATACAAAACAGTCAATACATTATGTAAATCAACACATATAATTTAGTACTGTTCTATTAACCTTCCCACTTTATTATTAAGTGAATAATCATCATTTATGTTAAAACATTAATTAATTGTACATTTTATCATTTTATAAAAAGTTTAGATAAAAGAGGAAAATGAAGAAAAAATCACTAATATAATACAAAAATATTATGTTTTTTAATCCATTTCCTGACAACAATTTTTCATGCAAAATGACTTACGTTTAGTGAAGAAAACAGTAGCAGTCTAGATTAACACTTTATATCGTCATATTTTTATTGAGTTCAGAATTGAGTTATTACATCAATATGTTGGTGAAAATCAAAATGGTACCAGTTCTCCACAATTAAGTAATCAATTTGAATATATCACTGTGTTGACGTCATGAAATGAGTAATCCAGGCTGTACTTTTTTCAATTTGTCATTCGTTTGTTTCTTCTTTCTGCCCTCAACTTCATAAATCTATAATTCAGAAATATGTTTAAATACTTAAAAATTCACTTACTCATCTATTAATTACCCAATAATTATAATGTTCGGAAACTGTATTGCTTTGGATCTCATAAAATATGTAAAAAAAAAATCAGTAGAATTGGAGAAGGAGTCAAATTGATAAAACCTTAGACTTCGATGAAGGTCGCTAGATGGTCACTACTATCGCGAACTACCTGTCTTATTGTGAGTATTAAACGCCATTTTTGTATATGGTCAGACACGTATATCATTAACTAGTTTGGATTTATTTGGCACTCAATGACGTCAGTTACGCAATCGTGATCCAAATCAAGGAAACAGAGTAATATATTTGAAAAGCTACAATTTTGGTGATGGCGTTATATTTTGCTGAATAATGGCTCTGCTGAAAATTTCCATAAAAAATGGTCTAATATATTAAATTCCTGACAGCCTAATTTACAAGATAAAATATCTCTGTGCAATGCAATCACTTTTAGTCTGCAATATGTTTTCTACTAAGAATTACTTTCTCTTAAAACACAACAACTGCGTATTCTTTTTTCGGTATGCTTAGAAACAAGGGCTCGGCTGCTCATGAATATTAAAGCGTATACTTAGAGTTTTTTGGTTTTTAGTACTTTACGGCCACAGGCATTTTTGCCCAAATGGCCAGTATACTTACAGTTACTAAGAAAAACTTTGAAATTTGTTCTTTTATTTTTTGTTATTTACTCTTTTGTCGGTGCAATTATATATATATATATATTATTTTGGTAAATTTGTAAAAGAGGATATTCAAAGATTTTCCCACTATAGCTATAATTTTCAATTTCAATTTATTTAAAGTGGGAAAATCTTTGAATATCCTCTTTTACAAATTTACCGAAATAAGATGACCAAGAAACAAAAATCGTAGTAAGAAGAGAAAAAAGTTATTTAAGTTTGGTTTCTTCCTGACATCATAAGGGAAACTTCTCTCCACGGCGCTTCCGGGATATCAGTCTTTATGGCACTTCATCAGGTCGGTTCTAACCCCCCACTTTGCGTATGGAGCAGAGCTCTTTCTTTGCTGCCTACAGCGCCTTCTTAGGGCAGTTGTATGTTGCGTTTAATAATTGTGTATGTGTAATTTTAGCACATAATTGTGCTAAATAGACTTCCTTAAATAAATAGGAAAGCATATCAATTCAGAGTGTATATTGATAGTAATGGTAAGAATTTTTTGAAATATCACAGCAGTGAAGTCAATCGCTTTTGAATTGTCTTTCAACTATCTTCACACATTAAGCGATTGACAACGTCATACGTTTTATCGCAATATTTTAGTCATTTCCTAATCTCAAGAGCTGTTCTACCAGTGTAGAAATTTTACTCACATGTTTTTAAATCAATAATTGTTTATATATTATGAAAAAATTGTGCCGCCAAGTGTCCATAGAATCACCAGGCGCCGTAGTAAAAGATTGTGTGTTCAGTTTCACAGTTCCCGTGCCAGATACACCAATTGGTGGTGTTCGAGTGCGTGTTGTATGCGCCGGCGCTTGTTATGTATCTCGACGTTCCCTGTCTTCTTGTGATGATAGTGTAAGTTTGGCGCATCCGGGAGTTCGTGACAGTGCATTATTTGCTGGATTTGAAGTAGCTGGTGTAGTGACTGATGTAGCGGAAGGTGTTGAAAAGGCACCATCCGTAAGTTGACAAAAATACTTGTTCAAATACAGTATAGTATAAAATAATCTGATGGCTAAAAATAATAATATTGATTCCTACACAAGCGGTACTTTTTTTTTACAATCCTCTTAAAACAGTCTTTAAACAGATAAGTTTTCTTTAAACAGCATTTGTTAATTTAAAAAATACCAGAAGATATTTCGAATTCCCGTAAAAAGCTTATGTTGAAATGTTAGTAAGTTCTTCTCACTTATCGATGGAAATTGCGTATAATTTCCTAACTTGAATACAATTTTACGAGAAAAATATTACTGATATATACATGAATAGTAAAAATTCCTTTATATTCGTATATGTATTCGTTGCCCCCTTAGCATTAGCACAATCTCCCATAAGAAATATATTGGGAGTCCGTGGCACATGGCGCTGTCGTCGATTCGTGGTGGGCGAAATGTGAAACATGCCAACTGCTGTAAATTGGCAGATTCACAACTTGCAAACAAATCTCAATATCATAATGAAATCCAAATGTAAACAAGCCTAGCTTAAATTATATGATTTGGTATGAATCCTAAAGTCTCCCGAAAGCATTCCGTCTCGGCATCAAGTGGGAATATTTGTACAAATTGACTGGAAAATGTGACGTTCCACTGGAAATTGAGTTTACACCTCAGCTTTTTCTCGGGTTCGCGCAGAGTTTTGACTGCCCGCTATCAAGCTAGGCATAATTAGACAGCTTGTTTGATTGATTATCAACGAAGATCACTTGAGTAAATCCTAGATTACGATTGGAAAGAAATCAGCATTTCAAGAAAATATTGCGATGATTGCGAGTGACATTTTGTGGAAATCGCGAACGCGCCAGTAGACAAGTCGCAATATAATTACTTGTAATTTTTCTTCTACATAATATATTTTCGAAATCCGTAAAATATATATTAAAATCATTCTCCTGACTCTTCTCCCAGTGCTTACGGAGACCTTTAATCATATCATTACCACTTATTCGTTTCCGGATACTTGGAAGCTTGCTTTAGTCATTCCAATCCCGAAAACCTCTAATTCCACTACACCTTCTGACTTCAGACCAATAATTCTCCTTTCGACTCTATCCAAGGCTTTTGAAACCCTACTTCACTCACAAATCTCTTGTCATTTACTCTCTCATAATTTACTTCCCGACCATCAGTCTGACTTCCGAAGTCATAGAACTTCTTCGGCTCTACTGAAGGTTAATCATGACATTGTTTTCGCACTTGATCGCAATTCCTTTGTTGTCTTGGTCTTACTTGATTTTACAAAGGCATTTGATAGTCTCCACCACGACCTCTTTTGCTACAAACTTTTCAAACGCTTTAAATTTTCTTCAGCAATTGCCTTGATATATTCTTACTTCTACGATCGTTCCAAAATTGTTAAATTTGGAGACAAAACGTCCTCCCTATCTACCCTGGGAAAAGGCATTGACCAGGGATCTATTCTTGGTCCTTTGCTCTTCTCCATGTTCATTAATGATCTGCCCTCTGTCCTGCGTGGTTGCTCGTATCATCTGTACGTGGACGACCTCCAGATTTACGTAGAAGGTGATCCTACAAATTCTTCCTGTGCTTTCAACCTTCTGAATGATAACCTCTCCCGAATCGAGAACTGGGCCTCTTCCAATGGGCTTCGCCTAAATGTTAAAAAATTGCAGGCAATTATCTTCTCAAAAAGGAGTGCTAACTTTCCTTATTTGGTGAAGTTATCCCTTATGCTGATCAGGTTAAAAACCTCGGTATTGTCTATAATTCGACTCTATCCTGGTCTGATCATGCTTCCTCCCTTTGCCGTAAGGTCAATTATTCTCTATATGTCCTCAGACGCTATCGGGATATCACACCTTATGATACTCGGCTGCTTCTCGCACGAGCGCTAATTATGCCATTCTTTTCTTATGGAGCAGAGCTTTTCTTTCTGGAGGATAGTGACACAATCCATCGGTTAACTGTAGCATTCAACAATTGTGTCAGGTATGTCTGCGGACTGGGTCCCCGCGATCACATTCCTGCCCACTGGGATGTATTGTTGGGCTGCAGCCTGCCTTCCTTTCTGCAGATGCGAGCCCCGATTTTCTTAGATCGTCTTTCCATCAGCGGCTGCCCTGGATATCTGGCTTCGCTCTTGACGAGGGGAGGCTCGACCAGGCTCCAGGGACTTCTTGTTCCTCGAGCTGAGCATGAGACTTTTTTCCGTACCCTCTTTGTCCGGGGGGTTTCGCTTTATAATGCCCTCCTGCGTGAGGCGCGCGAGACCGTGGGTGGCATCAGGCGGTTTTTTTCCGGCTGTTCAGAGAGATCAGAGACTCATCCTGAATCATAGCTTATTGTTTTAAGTCTCATTTCTTTTTCTTTTTCCTTCACTTATCTTGTACTATTGTTTTTACTCTTTGTTTGTCGATTCTTTGTCTCTTTTTTTCTTCTTTAATTAGAAAATTGTAAGAGGGTTAGACCCTAAATTTTGATCGAATATTAAAAAATTATTATCATATATTATTGTGAAGTAATACATGTTCAAACTTGCTCATTTTCTGCCTAATTGGCGATTTAAACACCGTATTTGAACAATTTTCACTCGAAAACAAGAGAAACAAAGCTTACACGTGTTGAAAAGCTGAAATTATTGGATTTTTGTGTAAAATAGTTAATTAAATATCTATACGCGGAAACAAATTTGGAACGCGATATCAAATATAATTTTGACGGTTTCTCTTGCTCACTAGCACCTTTTGGCAGGAGTAAAGAGAAGCAGACACAATGTTTGTGCCACGGGAATTGAGCTAATACTGGGGGTTAGTATTCCGGTTGTCATCCTGATTACAAATATTTACATTAGAAAATTTCACCCGACAAGAAATGTTATATGTCCTCAAATGTTAATATGTGAAGCCATTAGGGTAATAATTTACTATTCATATTTTACCATCTTAATTTTAAAATAAAAAACAGTACAGCCTTTTTTCTTTATTTGCTTCTATTTTTATATCGACGTTTCGGAGGAACTTTGCCTCCCTCTTCAGGAATATAGAAAATTTTGGGTGATTCTGTTCGTTTGGGATTTTACTAGTTGGCGCACTCCAACACTCTTGTCATCATTTTCTTATTTTTATGATAGTTCTTTTCAATTAAACCTACTTTAAAGAATCAGTTTGTGCTTGTTATCAGTAATTCGGTTACAATGTGTAGATTATTACAATTTTTTATTGCAAATCTACGTTTAGAAAAACATGTTTAGAAGGCTAGACTAAAAATGTAAATGTGGTGTAACCTAAGTTTTTTTTACGATTGATGAGGAAGTCCAAAGAAGTACAAGTTCGAGAATATAGTAAATAATAAAATTTCGTATTTGAAATTTTTATATGAAAAAGTTTCATATTTTTCAGATCGGCGAAAGATGCTGCATTTATCCTTTTGCAGGATGTCCCCGTGGCTATGCAGAGTTTGTGGCAGTTCCAGATCCTGCCTACGTTGTTCCAATTCCTGCTACAATACCATTAAGTTTAGCCGCAATGTTGCCAAGTGGAGGCTTGCGTGCTTTTAATACCATCACAATCGCACAACGTCATCATAAAGCCGCTAAAGTACTTGTAGTGGGTACAGGCGGTTTAGCTTTATGGACAGTTCGTGTAGCTAAATGTATTGCACCCGAGCTAACGCTTACGGTAGCAAGTTTACGAGATGAAGGACTTCAGCTAGCTGCTTCCTCTGGTGTAACAGTGGTGCAATGGGACGAGGATCTTTATGAACGCTATCTAATTGAGCGTACAGTGGACGCTTGTGAGGGTGAGGTTAGTATATTAATTTACGGAAATATTCAATTTAATTTATTATCATGGCTAAATTTGGAACCAAACCTCTTACAAATTCACCGAAAATAAATGAAAAACAAAAAAGGCAAGCTAAGAACGACAGATTAATGAGAGTTAGCAGCAGAGAACGACAAATACAAAGAGAGAGAGAGAGAGAGAGATAAAACGGGATATACAGTGTGAGAATGTAACTTAATGAGAGTAATCAGCCTGCAAGAAATTTGTGGTGCCCCTAATGGTCTTGCATGTCTCGCGTGGGAGGGCATTATTATTAAGCGCTCGGACCAACAGGAGTCTAGTGCCAATGGGTGTGAAATATTGGAGGCGCCGCAACGTTCGCAAAGTGAGAAAGATCTTTTTCTGCAGATCTCGAAGGCATAATCAGGCCAAGCCAAGGAGTTGTTGAAAATGACACCCAAGTTCTTGACTCGATCAGAGAAGGGAATTACTTCATCCAAGAGATAAAGCGGAGATGGAATAGGGCGTCTACTAGGCGTATGAACGATTAGGGTATGCGACTTTTTCGGGTTTAGAGCAAGGCTATTGTCAGATGCCCACTGAGTGACCCGGTGAAGAAAACAAGGGGTGGCTAATGTGGATTTTGAATGCCACAGCATCTTGCATCTCGAATGCATCGTGATGCACGGAGATACAAATGCTACACATTTTGTAAAAATTTATAAGTGCATCTCGCCATTTCCGATGCATTTTGGTTGCATCTTGGACCAAGTGACACTGCATCTCCGACATTAGCCACCCCTTGATTCGGAATTAATCATGAGCTGGCAGCGCCATGAAAATACACCCTGATCAAGTTCCGAACGAAGTGAGATATTTTATTGAATTGCGTTCACTGTCGTTAAAATGTTGATTCCAGCCACCAGAGAAAAACGACAAAAAAATCCCTTCATTGACTTTATGTTAAGACATCAAGGACGTATCCTCAGTCGGGAGAATAATATAAAAATAATAGAATCTGTTGCCTTTACTTTCCTCTCATTGGATACCCAAGCCAGAAACCATATATATGCTAACAATTATTATATTTACAGGTCGATGTGGTAATTGATTACGGGACGACATCTCGTAGTCTTCACAGGTCACTTCAGTGTTTGGCCGCAGGTGGTATGGTGTTGCTCAGCGATGAAGTAGCAGAGCGTCTCATTCCCAAGTTTTCCGCCAAAGCACGTGAAAAACAACAAAGCATTGAAGCTGTGGAGATAGGTAGTGTCGAACAACTGCGTCATCTTGTGGATCTCGTAGCTACTGAACGCCTGAAGCCGCCCCCACATACAGTCTTTTCCATTGACGAGGCGAGCGAGGTTGTAAGTCGTCTCAGCAATTCTGACATTCCCGGACGTGCTATCTTGCGTTTTCACGATGTTGACTAAGTTACACACTAAGTTAAACATAATTAAATGTCATGTTTCCATATATTGCTCAAACTATCAAACCAACTAGGGTTAATTAATATATTAATAAACAGTTGTTTTCTCAAAGAAAAAGGGGGATTATTAAAAAATTATACAACCCTGCAAAATGGAACAAAAGTTATTGCTTTTTGATGATTATTGGACATTTCAGCACCTATTGCAACTTCCCGCAACTTCCAGAGAGGCAAAAAAGTGTCTTTTTTCGGGTCTTTAAAAAATCATATAAAACACCCAGCGAGTGGCAAAAATGTGACCCTCTAGAGTAATTTTGGTAATCTTGGCATGTTCCAGGGAGTTGTAGCCAATGAAACAACCTTTCTAAATCTGTGCCACTTTTAGTGATCGGCTAAGGAATTGGAGAGATTTTGGCCCTTCTTTGTGGCTAATCTCAAAAAACAAAAAAATTATTTCCTCCACAACTCGAACCAATTACAAACTTTCCTATACGGGATTTTACTTTAGGCCCAATGGGTGCTCAAATGTCCAAAAATAATCAAAAATCATTGTTAGACTGTGCTATTTATAAAAAAATTATTTGGATTTCAAAGATACGAAACAGGATATAATACATAAAGTGTGTATACAGTCAACCTACCATACGCTTTGCTTTGCGTTCTTTCAGTTCATTTTTTGTGTTCTTCTAACTCTTCGTTTTGTCTTGTTTTCAAATAAACAAAAAAAGAAAGAAAACAGAGAAGTCTGTAACGACACATAATATGATATAAGAAAAATACAAGAAAAAATGTAGATAGTAAGTAATATACAATAGTTTCGGTGGCCGTGCGGTCTAAGTGTCTACATGCTATCCCCACGCCGAATAGCGTGAATTAGATTTCGGCGCCTGCAAATTCGTCAGTCCTCTAACCTGCATCCCTTCCACTCACAATTTTAATAATACAAGTTAATAATATTTCAAGCTTAGAGAAAACAGAAAACAAACGAAACACAAATTATACACAAACCAATAAACAGACAAAAGTTGTAAATCACGTTACAAAGGGGATGAAAACAGAGCAGAAAACAACTATTGCTGAATGTGTATCGAGAAAACTGTGAAAAACACAACTCTCATCAGTTTGGTAGTAAAAATCATGAATGACGAAAAAAAAACAATAATAAAAAATAAACAAAGAATACTTCTAAAAAGGTCTTTTCTCATCATGTTACCACATCTGATGACCGTAGAGAAACCATTAACTACCAAGGTTGACTACATAGTCCATTTACGAAAGTGTTTAAAAAAAACCATGTAAATAACTTTAGATCTATCATGTGTCATTTATTGAAAAACCATGTCCTACCATCATTGTGGAAAGGATTTCTCTTTCACTCAAGGTACAATTTTTCACGGGCATTTAATTTATGTTCACTAAATGGATGAAAATGTCTCATACTCGACGCTACTATTAGCGTATATTATCATAATAAATCATCACAATTTGCCACACTCTTATTATAAAAATACCGTTGGTGAGATTTGTAGGAGTCCATTACTATTGAAATTGCACAGGATCTGTAATTATTTTTTTTCAGCTTTAAAGCACTTAGTTCTTTAAATATTTTACCTTCAGATAAATCGGGCCATTTTCATGGAAAATCATTTGCCCGGGTCACGCTCCTATAAAACACTCGTGTTTTCCATCGTGGAAATCTATAAGAAAAAAAAACAGATTTTGATTCTTTAAATATATGATTTCATGCACTTTCTTTCACTGATATTGACGAGATGCGGCGCGCAAACGATTGGAAACTACGGTCTCGGAGCATTAACAACTCACCTTCTACATTTCTGCCGCGTCTCCATCCGCTAAACTCTGCCATGTCCACCTTCATGGACGACTGAAAGGGGGCAATATTGTAGGTCATATCCTCGACGGGAAAGCGGTCGTTATATTAATTTGAAACGGCTTTGAAACAAATCACCCAAGATATCATAGTTCCCAATTTTTTGTTCGCCGCAACATCCATTAAAATTCACCAAAAATTATATGAGTGAAAGCCAAGTGACAGGAGAACAAAAAGAAAAATGAACAATAATAAAATATGCTCATTCAGCCTTTCTTTCGCTCACGTTACAAGTTGGGTAATTTTCATTTTTCGTTTCGCATACATAAACTACAGTGGATAGGAAGACGATCCTAATATTATATCATAATAAATAAATAATTTATAGGCATTAAGGAAAAAATATATTCCACATGCACATCTATACAGATTGTGAAGAGAGACAGGACGGGGCCAGATCTGCACCAGTATCACAGCTGTTGTATGCTCATTACAACATATAAAAATTAGATTAAGTGAGTCATACAGATACATCATCCATGTTTAATGACTCAAGATTATTTCTAATTACATTTACTACTCTAGGACGCGTGTGATGATGGTGCAGATGATGATGCAGATGATGATGATGATGATGAACGTTATTGAAATTGGCTAGGAGCGTAAAAGCGGCAAGAGTGGAATTGGGAAGTGGAGTCAATAGTCTAGATTGCGTTTCAGAGGTTGATGGAGTGGTTTGAAAAGATGGTGGTGGAATGTAAGGTTGTCTCTGTGCCCCAATTGACTGGCTCTGTTCGCTTACCTTGAGAAATTGCCCATTGTACAGCTTAAATATGGCTAATGCTATTACTACAAACAATATACACAATGATATGCTGATGTAGATCATTATGAGAACATTTCGGTTCAGATGAGTTGTCACATTTGTCGTCAGTGGTGCCACTCTATCCATTAGAATAGCGAAATTCGTAAGATGATTGCACGAACACATCGTATGGGTGGTATTTGTCATCTCCACGTGACAACCGTCTTCAGACCATGCACTGTGAAAAAGAAGACATAAAATACTGATAAGCGAACACGACAATTGTTTCTCGAAATTTTCGAGTCCTCAAGTAAGTGAAATTCTTGTATTTGTATTCATTTTCTAATGATTTTATTATGTACTTACTGATCGATATAACTCCAAAACACACAAGTCGGTTGTGAAACATTCTCCGTTTGCAGGTGTTGGAATGTAAGTCTTATAGGCTGTGACAATTGAATGTGTCGACCTTTGCCCAGGCTTGCTGATATCACTTTACTATTTAATACGCGATCTTTTGTTACACCAATACTTTGATTACCTGAAATGTGATAAATTTATGTGTCCTTAAACCGCTATAATTCTTAATGTCACAAAGTCAAACCTATTTGTAATGATAATTGGTGTAAATAATCTGTAGCTGGTGGCTTGAGGATGTTTTCAAGTCTATCAAATGCCACAAATACAATTCTCACTAGGCCTCCTTCACTATTATCAATGAGAGACGCTCGTGGAAGTTCTATAGTGTCACGACTCACTGTCCACTGCTCATGCGAGAAATCAGGAAATATTTCGGCTGTGGCAATATTACGCGTTTCAAGTACACGAATACTCAGTAAAATGTTTTTCACCCGTTGCACAACACTTTGCTCACGGATTATGGTGTCTGCCAGAAGAAAAGCATTTTCCTCTAGGCCTGTTAGCAACGAAGTTGCAACACGCATTTGATCTTCATGACTTAAGTCAAGCCATGACATAGCTTGTGTAGCGTCTAACAAATTTCCTGCTGTGCGTACAACACTGTGAAGTAGTTCATAGACTATCGCTTCACGCTGCTTTTGATCAGGAAACGTCTCTATGTCATATGCCATTTTGTTCGACATTGACTGAATAATTTTTGTGGTGACTAACATATCACCACCGTAAAGTGTTTTACTGCTGGTCACCTGCAAATACCGATAATTAAAAAATGTTATATAAATAAGCACATACTTCTTCGAATTCTTGTACAAGTAGATAACATAAAATATACTTTTGTGTGGGCATATCAAACATGTTTTATATGCTACTGATACACGACAAAAAGCCAGGAGTGTTTTAAGTTTTGCTTACATCTGATAATGCATTTAGAGATTCTCTTTCTCTGTGCCATCTCTGAGAATGCCTTCCGAGATGATGAATTTTCAATTTATTCTACTTTCCTATACTTTTCTAATTATTTTCTCTGCACCCAAAATTTCATTATAAAAAACTCTTTCCGGGTGTTTTTCACAGAGCGGCAATATATCGTTACCGAATAGAGATAAAAACTTACCCAGCTTTATGCTGTGTATATTTATGTACACGTTTAACAGATTTTTGTGAGAAGTTATTAGTATGATTCCATAATTAGGAATAATAGACGAATTGTACTAATTGTGTAATATTTTGGATAATGCCTTGAGAAGGATTATGTCAAGTAGCTCGAAAATTGACAAGCTGAAATATCCAAAGAAATAGAATAAATGAGGAAAAAGAAGTAAAATCGGGGGGATTGGAGACAGGAAAGCGCGCGAGTTTCCACCTTATAAAAATATTATTAAGTTCGATTTATTTTAATGTTATTATGTAAACAGCAATTTAAACGAAAAACCATTCCATGCAATACAAATAATACAATACTCATTACCAAATCATACAAGGTTAGACTACGATTGAATGCAAAGCGTTTTTTTTTTCAAGTTAAGTATACTTTATATTATAACCGATACATTTAATTACTATTCTGTAATTTAACCTCACCTGTGATAAGTCATTAGCGATGGAAATGATTGAAGAGTCATGCATATTGACACGAATTTCAAGATTATTGAGCCAAAGGCTACGACATTGAGCCAAATCGGGCGTTGATGGTTGCCACATGGGCAATTCCGTGTCATTCAAAACGCACCGCCATTTTGCAATTCCTGTAGCTCCACCTGGACATGATTGTACGTTTACATCACCAGCTCGAGTCACATTCCAGAACATATTACGTGTCGTGGTAGGACCACACCAAACATCTCTGCTCTCCTCCGGTAATGCAGATTGCATTACACGATTTATACTTCCTACGGTTGGGGGTACTTCAGGTGTAGGTGTTTCCATGGGAGGGTCTGTTGATTCTGTCGTAGAATCGGTGACTATAACAAAATACAAAAATATATGTTTATATTTAGTCACTCTCAAAATTAAGTATTGTATGTTGCTTTACTCAAAATAATCTCTGAACCTCAACCCTAATGATCATGCTAGAAATTTCCTGATTGCCAGAACCAGTAGAAAACTCAATAAACAAAGAGTAATTGACTATGCCAATGTATAAAAAATTGTGAAGATTGGTCCATCTGTTGAGTTTCTCACAGGACAGACCCCAACTATGCTATTCAAATTTGCTATAAGAAAAAATACATTCAGCCTTTTTTACCACGCATTCACTTTAGTCTCCCTCCTAACATATAAGATATCATCATATGTTTTCATTATATACCTAAAACAGCAATAAGTGTAAAATTGTCACCGAAATTCCATAAATTCTTCAAATTTTTAAATAAAAACTTAGAAAGTCAGCAAATCAAAATTTTTGTTCTTGATTTGTGCTTAAAAATTTAGATTGTGATGAACAGCAACTTGCAAAAGTTAATTCTTGACCTATGGGTTTGCTTACTATATAGTGAATTTCATTGATTCAGAATTTAAAATGTTTTGCAAGAATTCGTAAGGATTTTACCAAAGAGACTCGTGACAGCTGTTAGAGGCGGCTCAGTTGTAGAACGCATTGTCGGAGAACTCCATACACTGGGCGGTGATGTGATTAGCCATGGTGGTGGTGAGCGACCAGTGGTCGTGGGCGTCTGTGTTGCCGATATGCACTGGTAATGAGCTTCCAAATACTTATGTGTACCAGCGCATGGATCACCGAAAAGTGATGTACTTGCTAGGACGCTACATTTATGCTTTAGAGCACACTTTGTGTGCAGCACGCGCAAACTTTTAGGTGACATGCAGTTCACGCTCCATTCCACGTTACCATGATCGTTGCAAATTGTTATAGAGAACCGACCGTAGTTAGCCCGAATTAAATTAATCACATTGCCCGGATCACACTCGAGCGTGAGTGTTTTGCCTTCACATGCATACGCTGTCTCGTACTTGGAGCCTGTAGGTTGATGAAATTTTAGCAACGATAAATATTTTTGATTATGAGAACTGACCAGCGGCCAGCGAGATGGCGGGGATTATAATAATGGCCATCCAAAGGCGCATGAGGCGTTCCGCCACTGACTTCTGCTGCATGGCTTCACCTGAAGTGCATTGCAACACTGCACCGTCTTAACATCTATCACAACTAGGGTTGGACAATATGTCACTCACGCAGGTCAGTAAAAGAACGGACTTGCTATTATGCATTGTGGAAAACATAGACAGCTGAACTTCTAGTTCAAAATGAACTAAACTGTGGTAAGAATTGCAGAGACGCCATGTTGTGCAAGAAAGTCACTCACCTTCACTGACCTGTTTCACAACATCGCAAAACGTAATGTCACCGCTTAAAACGCCGTCAAAATACCCAATAATCACATAATCGGTGCATATATCTTGTCATATGATTTTCTTATGACGCAGTATATAACGAATCCTCATATATTATTTAAATCGCTTATCCAATATGAATAATAGTTGAATAGTTGAATGACTGTAAGTTCTTCCAGATATCGATACGTATAATGCGCAATTTCCTTATTTTCACACCATTTTAAATGTTTTGTTTTCATTTTTTTTGGATTGAAAATTACGTAAAGACGGTTATTGAATCATTGTTTAAGCAGAAGAGGAACGTGTTTTAACATGTGTAACTTCATGAAAAAATACATATCTTATACATTTCAACAATATATGATGTGGGAAAAGAATTAAATATAAAACATTACAACTTTCTTTTAAGCATTATGCGATCTCCACCTAAAGTCAACCGAAATATTTCCTTTCCACACTAATCTCATTACAATCACGAGCTGAACATTTTACGCACCTGGCTCAGTTCATAGCCAGTTAGCTTTATTTTTTTAATCTAACAATAGTATGTATTTAACAATTTTGTGCCCAGTAAATTAGAATAGATATATTTAAATAGAAATTAGATATATTAACAAATAACTTTCCACCACTCGGTCGACTCAGTTTTTCGATCTCGTCCGACACTATTCTGGAGTCGTTCAAAAGTCTTCAAGGCTCCAATTGTCAATTGGGCTGTTTACATCGACGCAACGAATTTCAGGATTTTTCATTCAATGAGGCAGTTTATATTGCGCCGACTTCAAATTTTGAGCCTGCTCAATTTGTCCGTGTTGTTCTCCTAATTATTTTTAAAGCTCGCATCAGAATTTAAACCGACACGATATAAATAAGCTCTATCTCGTATTCATTTGAATTCCGATTAATTAAGCCTGTGTATATCAACGAAACAAAAAACCGTAATTTTATGAGCAATCTCGGATACAAATCCGAGACAACTATTGCACTCTGTTATAACAGGAAGACGTCGTTATTGTAAGAATTCACCACATTGAATACCAGAGATCAATAAGAAAATGGAATACAATTAATCATATTGGATTTAGTAGCCTGAGAAGAAAAAAAAAACAATATATTTCAACTCAATAGTGCCGATGGTTTAGTGCCTGTATTTTGATCCAATACCGTTGGAAATCGTCGAAGTTTATAGTGTCCACAAGACGAATCAGTACAAAGGTAAATATTTTATTTATTATTATTTATTTGTAATTGATGCCCCTGTTTACAGAATAAACAATACTAGAGGCTATATGCACCCAGTAGGTTGATTTTACACTTAAAATAAGTACAAAAGTTGCAGGGGTGTACACGGTGGCAATGAGGAAAAAATCTAGATACTGGCTCTATACATACTACATTATGTGAAATTGTTTGATTCATCGAACTCATCATTTCATGCCAGCTCTTTTAGGCGGTCGCTTATTAATTGTGATCTTAAATCTGAATTATTGAATATAAAGTTATTGTAGAGCATTGTGGTAGTCTGAGGCCTCGAGTTCCATACTTAGTGGTATTCGGCTTACAGTGATCTAGTTGGTGTGATTGTCTAATTATGTTTTGTGATTTTAATATTATCCGATAATTTCTGTGAATGCGGTCATTGACAATATTCATCAAGTGTTGTATCTGTTGGGCCTTTATAGTGTTTGTTATTTTGGCAATGCTACGTCCGTCGTAAATAAGTCTAATAAGAAAAGGATAGAAAGGTTTGCGCCATTTTTACATCAATAATCTGACAACCCGTTTGTGTTCTGTTGGAGAAAATTTTGTAAAAGCCGATTTACCTTTAATAATGAAGAAATAGGTTAGAACGGGTCTTCTTTGGCCCCTGACCGGACTATCCTGCCAGAAGTGACCGCGATCTTTTGGATCTCGACTGGATGACCGTGGCCGTACACGGTGTCACAGGGTGGAGTGATAAACACTTGGAAATTTAACAAATTCACTGGTTTTATTTTCACTAAACTTGCCCGTCCATGTGGACGGGCTGGAAATCCGAGGAAAAGAGTGGAGAAAAGATTCCAGCAAGTTCTTTTCTCACTCCCGTTGCAGTGTTGGCATCCCGTCATTGGTCGGTGAGATGCTGACATAAACTGGTCTAAGCGGCGGCGGGAATTCAAAAAACGTTGCCTGTCTTCAGGCGCGGACAAATTTCATTCGATTGATGTGCACAACAATGTTCATGTTCCTTACGATAGTGAACTATTAGACGAGATCGACTGAGATCTATTTTGTTGAATCTCATAATTGTTATTGTTTATGGTAATGATTGCTGTTGAAGTGTTTGTATATTCAAACCTTAACTGAAGTACGCAACGATCCCACCTACTTCTACAGTAGGCCACTTTCTCAAAGTGTGCAACACTCAGTCACCACTTGATCCACTTTTCAATGAATGAGGATCATGGGGTCAATCGAAGTTCTGCTTATCTGGCTTTATCTGTCGCACATTTTTGTTTCCCTCAGTGTTCAAAGAAGTGCACAGCCATGGATCGGGGTCTCGTGAGCATCCTAGTGCTTGGTATAAGCTTCATGTTTATTTTTACTGCCTTCCAGACAATGTGTAACATAGAGGTAAGAATGCCCAAATTATTTTATGTGAATTGTAAGAAAAAGTCCGCTTTCGCTGTTCAGAAAACTGTTTTGAGCAGTATTACACACGAATCAAATGACTTCTCTGGAGATGGATACGTCAGTCTGGCTATCATATACGGCAGCTTTGCAATTTGCAACTGGATAGCACCTAGTGTAGTAACACTGATAGGACCTCGTAGCACAATGCTTATCGGCTCTCTTACATATTGGTGAGTTTTTGTTGAAATTTTGCGCCCCTGTTTTATTTGAATTTAATCATATTATTTTTGCTTCAGTGCTTTCACCGCATCTTTTCTAATTCCGAGAACATGGCTTTTGTATGTTAGTAGTGCTTTGCTGGGCCTGGGTGCCGCTCTTATGTGGAATGGCCAAGGAGTATACTTATCACGTGCTAGCAGCCTTACAACAATCTCTCGTAATAGTGCAATATTCTGGGCTATGCTACAAGGAAGCATGCTAATGGGGAATGCATTCGTTTGGCACGAATTCAGCGGCAAAACTGAAGTGGATGCCACAACACGATGTTTTCTAATTACTACACTCGTCGCAGTGGCACTGTTGGGCGTTTTTATATTACTCACACTGCCATCTCATAGTGTATCTCAACAGGCAGCACATCCTCTTGCTATTATGAAAGGAGCCCTGGAACTATTAATCACTCCCCACATGGTATTTCTCAGTTTTACCTTTTTCTATACCGGACTCGAGTTGTCCTTCTTCAGCGGCGTTTACTCTCCTTCTGTGGGATTTACCAAAAGTCTCGGTGCTAAACATCTTGTTGGATTGAGTGGTAAGGTATTCCATTTACTAGCCTTTACAAATTATTTTAGTTTCTACTTATTGATCGTATAATTTATCAAAAACTAGTTGAAGTGTTAAAAAACAATTTAATTCTTTGAGAGTAGTCCGTAAAATAAAATAATCATGTCTGTTTATACCCTAATTCCGTGTCTTCAGTATAGAAAGAATGTGAATTATACATCTTAACGTAAAAACACATCATTTTGCATTGAAGACTTGTGTCTTTCCTTACGTCGTGTGATTCGTGTTTTTCCTTTTTTCTTCGACGCGTCCTAGGGTCCTAGTCTGTATTTTTCAAAACTCTACAAGTGCCTGCAAGGAATGTGTGGCGAAAGAAAAAGAAGACACGAAACATAACAGTGTAAAACAGGCATAAAAATGTTGCTTTCATGCAATTTGCGGAAGCAAAGTGCTGTATTTTCTTTAAAAAAAAAAACCAAGTCGACAAATGTGAAATTTTCTAATTCATTATTCTTTTTTCTCAGGTATCTGTGTAGGACTGGGTGAAGTATTAGGAGGTGTGGTATGTGGAATAATTGGTCCCAAATGGCGTCGTGACGGCATCGTACTAATAGGATACGTGGCACACGCTGTAGCCTTTGTGTGTGCACTTATAAATCTTCCCGACAAGGCAGTGTTTGGGGACACTGACACTATTTCTCTACTTGTACCACCATCGATTAGTATAGCATTATTAGCAGCATTCCTGTTAGGCTTTGGTGACGCTTGTTTCAATACACAGATCATTGCAATGCTAGCGAGTGTTTTCGCGGCCCAATCAGCGGATGCATTTGCACTTTTTCGTTTTGTGCAAAGTTTTGGAGCATCCATGTCTTTTGCCTATTCCACAGTTTTGGGCTTGCGTGTTCAACTTGCAATCCTTGCAGTTGCAGGCGCACTTGGGACATTAGCCTTCTGGCGTATTGAGTGGCGCACAAAAATATTTAATGTAAATATTGAAGATATGGAAAAGAAGCGTTTGCCGAGTGCAGAAGATTAGAAAAAGGACCTAACGAAGATAAAGAGGGCATTACTGAATTTAACGGAGACGGCCTTTTAGTGCAAAGAGGGCATTACGGAGGCGATTTCTTCATCATTATTGTATTTGTTTTTCTTCATACTTTAACAAATTTTAATTCTTAGTTTGAGTTGATCAGTATGTGATTCAAAATCTATATATTGTCATTCTTCAAATAAATAGTAAAAACAATTGTAAGGTCTAAATATTATTAAAAAGAAATATATCAATTTAAAAAACAGAAATATTTACTTACTCTTCAATCTGTTTATGTTCTTCACTTTAGTCAGTTGCATATCATATACCGCAATTACATTATGTATATCCAGAACATTATCAAAACATCATCATCTTGAATTATATGTAGCTACAGTCCAGGAAAAAAGTCTAAACGATAGATCTATGATAACAGATTCTTTCTACTCTTGTGTTTAACGACTTCAGTCGGACTCTAAAGAGTATTTTACTTGAATTTATGACAAAATGCAATATTAATATCGTGCATTATAAGCATGTAGTCTTTATTTCGCATGCGAGAAAAGAGAATCTTGTGTTTGTAAGGATAATGAACTGATATGATTCGCACTTCACGGAGCGGTCCACAGAATGGTTGCTTACTGCAGAATGCGGAAAGAACAAGTATTTCAATGCTGAATTTAAGTATAAGTAACTAAAAAGTAATTGCGTTACATTGGAATTCTATTTTGTGCTTTTTTAAAACTTGTCTTTATTATTCACATTCCATGTTTTCATTTTCTTGGAAATTATTTTTGCATTTTTCTATTATTGTGGCTCCAATACTTTATTAGCGAACACAGTATTCGCCCTTATCCGAGTATTTGGGATAGGATTTGTTTTTGAAGAGAAAGATGATCCCAGTTTTGAATAATTGAATTAATATGTAAATATAATTTTCACTTTATATATTGAAGAGGCTGATCATTTGGTCCAAAGCGCAGTATCCAGGTAAATGCACAACGGCGGCAACTCTTGTCTGAAGTTATTACTTCACACAGCTGCAAGGGAAGCTAACCTTACAGGGAGCATTCGCCTGTGCACCGACGGTGGAGAACCATTCTTGAAAAAAGGTCGTAGAACAGCTCGGATGAGTTCAATAAGATTCCGCTTCTTACTCGCTCTCGAGCTGCTGCTGAGTTGAATTGCTCATACATAAAATCTGCGGATATTGGATGTCCGCGCGTTTAGTTGTGAGCCACTTGAACCCATATAGGTCCTTAATTCTAGTTTTCAAAAATTCTAGATTTCAAAAAATTTGTGACGGAGTTGTAGGGGGTTCGATTTGACAACTCCATCAATCCTTTGCGCAATTGCAGACTTTTGACTTTTAGTCAAAACCGCATGTCGATCTTAGCATAGAATTCACAAGATTGAACAATACACAATATTTTGTATTTCAATTTTAAATCGATTAAAAATTGATTTGAAATTGATTTTATATGAAGAGAGAGACTAATAATTTATAATAAACACAACACCGAATTGCCATGAAACTGTGTATTTGTGGTCGGTGTGATTAATGAATTTGTTATATATATATATATATATATATATATCTACACCAAAATGATCTTTCTGATGGGTTTTTTACAACAGCACAATTAGATAGAAGATGGGTTTTATTTTGAAATCTCTACATTTATTTCAATTACTCTTATATTAGTTCTTGTTCATAAACTTTATTTTCTACACTAAGTACTTATAGTAAATATTATATTTTCCATTTTTTATTTCTGTTTTTTGTTTAATTTTACTTTTTATACCTATGAGATATATTCATCTCTGTCGTTTATGTGGTTGTTTTTTTTCTTTTTTCTATGCGCTCCGCATAAAGAGTAAAAAGTGTTGTTTTTCATTATTCTCATCTGCGTCAGTTATATTTTCTTAATTTGAAATATAATAATTACAACTTAAATAATGTTTATATGTTTCTCCTTTTTCTCTGTTTGTCCACAAAATTTTTTCTTTCTTTATTAGTTCTTCTCTGCGTCTTATTTAATTTTTTTTTGTAATATTTGTTCTTGCCTGAATCTCTTTCTATCAACTGTTATATATATATATATATATGTATATATATATAAGTGTACATATACTTATATACGAGTGTACATATATATATATATATATATATATATATGAGTGTACATGTACATTAAATTCTTACACATCCTTTTCAAACTGTAAGTTGATATGGCAAATCTTTTATTTCCTCATTTCCACGCTGATTTAAATTTTTTTCGCTGTTCCTGTGTATCAGAGTACACTATAGTAAAATGCTTCATAGCATTTGTTTTATTTCAATTATGGAAAATGTAATATGCGGGTTGGCGTAAAGACAGGAAAATCATTATATTGAATTTATTAATATCTTAACTTTAAATGAGCCTTTTCTCAACAGTATCAATTAGAAATAAAAAGTTCAGTTTTAACAGTTCATATGTAGCATATTGGATAACCAAACATAAAAAATACAAATTGTCAATGAGCTTATTCTTGCACAAATTATTTCACGAAATTTTTTCACCAGAGGGATTTAGCAACTTTATTATGACCAGATTAAATGCAAATGTTTATCAAAATCATTAAAATGAGTATAACAATTTTTAGTATGAATATATTTTTATCGCAGTGTCAGATCTGCGGTTGTTATTTTATGCACAAAGCAAAGCATTTCTAGCATTTGAGGCTGTTTACACTGCATTGGATTTCAAATGACTCCGGAATCTAAAATGAATTTAACTTGACATGGATTAGAGTTTTCTACTAGTCAGTATACTAAGCACACTTGTAATTTGATTTCTTCAATACAGACACTGTCCAATTCCCCCACACTTTCATTCATTATATTCTTACAAATAGCTCAATCCGAAAATCTCATTGTTAGAAAAAAAAATTGGCAAAAATTTTACTAACTCACGTAAATTTTTAAGTGAATTTACAAGAACCTTTATTATTAGATGGGATATACATCACAGCTTATATCTGTAATCGCGCATGAAATCGAACCTCGCAAAAACAACTCCAATCGACTCAGGTAACGGTAAAATGTGGAAATATGATGAAAATGGGAAGGGGACACTTTTTTGATTTTCGTGCCTATCTGTCGGGAACGACAGACAGGCACAGAACAGACTTTTCCAACGAACCGTCATTGAAGAACCTAGGACCTTCCAGACCTTAGATATAAGGGTTCAAATTTCAAAAATTTAAACGGCCATAGCTCCGATTTTCATTAACCGATAGAAATGATTTTGTATTCATTAGAAAGGTTCCGTAAAATGCCATCTCCCATCTGAACAACATAACTTGATAGGACCACCGCTAGAAGCGCTAAAGTCGAAAAAACTATTTTCGAAATTTCGAAAACGAATAACTCGAAAACGGAATCAAAAAATTTTCTTTAAATTTTAATATGTTGTAGTTGAGGTCAAGACCTTTTCAACGAACCGTTACTATTGGGACCCTATTCATTAGGAACGGAGATATGGAAGATCAAAGTTCACACCTTCACTGGCCCATATCTCCGCTGTTCATCAACCGATTTCGATTATTTCTTCACTAAAAGACGTGTCTCAACGCCCTTTAGTAGGCCATATTCACCATTAGTCTGTGATGTCATACCGAATGCCGCCATATTGAACAACTTTTGAACGCCTGTATCTCGGCAACTAGATTATAAATTTTCTTAAAATTTTAGTGTGTTGTAGTCCAAATCAGCAAGTCTCTAAAGATAAGTTATAGTTTTTTGTGGATGCAATAAAACCGGAGTTATGACGGTTTACGATTTTAATTTAAAATACGCCATAACTTTGGTTCTATTTATCCGATTTTAATATTTTACGGCTCTTTGGAAAACTCTTGCATAACTCTACGACTGTTTCTTGTATTTACGGAACTGGATGTATCTATGAACTGGCTTAACATATGTGTATGAGTCCAAGTCGGCCGAAGTTCTTAAGGAAAAACAAAAAGGAATGAAATGAATAAAAAATGATAATAAAATGTCTTTAGTGAGATATCCGGGTTTTCGTTCCATCAGTATAAACAGCCTTTTTGGTGTAAAATATGTCTGAGACGTAAATTCTGCACCTGAATTTTAAGTTGGCATGACAAAGAGAAAAAATGCAGTTTTGGGATAAAATGTGTGTTTGATTAAATTTTTATTTTGCATCTATTCATGACTATGCCAATTTTTCTTATGAGTTTACAATTCGTTTCAAAGTATGAAACATTTGAAACGGAAATATTGAAAATAAATTGTCCCAGTCGTATACTTCCAATTCCTAAAGATGAAAATTACGACATGAATGTATTGATAAATGCAAAAATCAGACTCTTATGTTCCACATGCAAATGGGTTATGACGGGTTTGATTGTTTTTTCATATTCTGTTCCAACTGCTCCTTTAAATTTAATGGTTAAATGGTTAAATTTCGTTTGGAATTTCAACGTAAAAATTCTGATAAGCTATCGAAGTAACGCTTTAACTCTCAAATTAAAATTTTACATCTACAAGAATTAGGTTTAAATTGAAGATAGTAAGTTTTCTACATTCAATAAAACCAAATGCAATGTCATAACATTTTTCATGGTTCCAGTTTTTAGATAAAACCCATAATTAGCACGATTCTAGATATTCCAAATGCGAGCTGAGAAGGCGCAAGCAAATTTCAATGTAGTTTGCTCTGATATTTCATTGTATTTCTTCCCCTGTCTACACACTGTGATGACTCTGTAGTGTTTTTATATGAGAAAGTGCTTAATTTGTTATTTTGTTTGGGAGAGAAACTGTATGTAAAATTTACCATCTGCAATAATTCAAGTAGTATTCAGTCGTAAATAGATTTTATAGGTGTAGAAAAAATGTTAAAGATATGAAAAAATGCACAAATACAACAAAATATTGTTATGTTTAAGGCAAAAACAAAAAAGAGAGGTTTAATCTACCACCACAGTCCCTTAATTATCGTTTGAAAATGTGCAAGTTATCGATTCTGAGAAAATGTCTATTTATCTAAAGTCTGCGATGTTCTAACAATTATCGTTAAAAATATTACTACATTAGGAAATTGCATTTACCCTTATAAAATTGAAACATTTATTTATTTCGCACTAAAGAATTAAATTTGCGAAGAAACTGAATAGAAAATAAAGAGCAACCCTGCTCGTGATTTGAGCTTTCTGATAATCAGTTTCTAAAAAATTATTCATACGCCCATGAAGGCAATTTCGAGTTTATGCTTTGATCTTTTTTTTAGCAAGTCCGGTATCTCAAATGAATACAATCTATTATAGCTTTTTGTATTGGATTTAATGTTGTTTTGGGCACATTTTATATCCCTGTTCCTCATGCGAAAAACATACACAATAATTATCATAACTTAGCTATAACACACACTTAAAATTTTGTGCACTGACGCTGTTTGTCAGCACTTATGAGTCTCAACTATGTAAAAAAAAATATTCAGTCGACTGAAGCGAATAGAAATTTTTGTGCACGAGAAAGTCACCACGAATTGAAATAAACCTTCAAAGCGTAATATGGGATTAACTGTTTTGAACGCGTTGATAGAATTTTGGAACCTGTTTTCTACAGCATGTGCTCCTCACAACTTTGGCTATGGCGTTACATTATTGTCTACTCAGTGATCTTTGATTTAAATTTTCTGAATTATCCAAAGCCATCTTTTCATATTCCGATAACTGTAAGATCGAAATCCGACCGAAATGCAGTAAATTAAATCGTGTGAAAACACTAACCTCATTATATCTGCGTTGTGTATCAACTGATTCTAATTGACTATATACCAAAAGACGTTTCTAGACGCTAGACACACAGAGAGCTGCATTGACCAATGTTTCTAAGTGTTTGAGTACATTTATAGAGGTGTCCTCATATTCAAATCGTAAGAGCCAAAAAACTTATTCATCCATTTCACGCGTAACGTAATAAGAAGAACAGAGAGACAAAAAGGGCTTCTTTCGTAATTAATTTGCTCTTTATATATATGCATGAATGTTCCATGAACACAATTCTAAAGAGGAGTTTTAGGACATATTACTTGCATTTTTTAAAGCTTTTCCTGAGACGATTCATCCTCACGTAATAAGTTTGCATTCTCTACACCTAATCCAGAGAATGGGTTCTACGGGTGTGGATCACGATAGTAAACCACTTGGTGGCAAAGAGAAACTGACCAATTCACCCACAATTATCTATACCTAAAGAAAGAGGAAAAATGACTTCCGAATCATCGTGTACGGACAATATATGTGTGAATAGAAGTTGTCCATTCCATGTTCTCAAATAAATACTTACTGACCGTTAAACATGCAAAGGCTTTAAGGGCTTAAAAGACAACCAAAATTGCATTATTTGCGTTCAAATTCCCAGATTTATTCTGCTAGAGAGAAAAATTTCTATAGAGTACTTCGTAATGATGCAATTTTTTGCATTAGCTATCACTAAATTAGCATTTTACGTTATTTTTGTTTTCTCCTTCTCTTCCTGCACACAATGTACAGTAGAACGATCTCTTTTTTATTACTTGAGCTGCTAATATCATCGGTTTTCCCCGTTTCCTAAGTATGCGATAGCGCTCAACTGAGGAAATTATCGAAGTGCTTGCTAAAGTATTATCGCAGCCATTAACTTTATCGTTGTGTGGTATGGCACTAAAGTTTGTTCCGATCCTTCCGGTGAAGATTGCTTTAAGACGTTCTTTGAATTATCGTTTCGACAGAATTACGTGTATTACTTCACAAAAATACATATCTTACGTATTTTGACAATATATTACATAGAAAAAATTATACGTAATACATTACAACTTTTCTTGTTGCGTTTTGTGATTTCTACAAAATTCCTACCGTAAGCTTTCATTTTCACGGTGTTATCTTTTCAATCATGCGATCAGCATCTCTGAAATTTGGATCGATTTATATCCTGTTAAAATAAACTATTTAATGGTATTTGATTTGATTACGGGCAATAGCTATTTTGATGAAAATTTAGTTCCCAATAGAACATCAAATTTCGTATCGATTTGCAAAAATTTTTCCACGCGGTTCTGAGACAGAATTCTTTCTGACCACTTTACCATTCAACCCATACCGCATACATAATCTAGACGCGTTTTTTTTTTCATTCGGTGTTCAATGGAACATACGAATTTGTTTACAATTTGATCATTTGTCATTTTCGAGGATTATCGTTTCTGTCACTGAGTATCGACGCCAGCGCTGTTTTTCACGTGCACCCACTGCGTTTTACATTTTTGTATTTGAACAAGTTCTAGGGAGTCGGTGGGCATTTTATCTTTCCTTTGTGTGTACATTTGGGACATTGTAGTGGGATTAAGAAAAAATCACTAAAATAGAGAAATGAATGCCGACAATAAAAATGGATTGTTAGTGTGAATGTAGTAGTGATCTACCGGAAGTGATAAATGTCACATCAATTCTACGGTGTAGTTACTAGATTAACCCACGCGGTAAAAAAATATTATTACAAAAATCAACGTCTTTCAGATATGATGAAGGATGCAGTAGCCCCAGAAATATCGTAAATAAATAATCCATACTAGCTGTAATATACACCAATCTATAACTGAGAGTTAGAATTGTGTAAAACGCCGTTGTTCGAGACAAATTTGAGAATATAATATTTCCAGAATGAATTTACCTGAATAAAAAAGTTATGGCGCTTTCCAATGAAATATTGCACAGCAACAATTCTTTAAATTAGTGCTTCTTAAAAAACTGAAATTAAAGGAACGCCGATAGTGAATGCTATGTTAAAATTTTCGAAATAAGTTTTACTTAAGTTTTAGAGGTGACTCTAAAATAAGATCATACGCTAGTTTTAAGCATGAAATTGGAAGTATCGCTGCTAGAAAATCCAGGTGTTTCTTTTAGACCTTTTCTTTAAACCTCTTTTAGGTGCAAGGATTCACATCACATAAGTCATATATTGAAACCAGTCTGTCAAGACTTCGCGGTATATAATTGGACAGGTTGGTTGTTCACATTTTAAACTCATTTTAAACACTTCAAAAGGGGTAAGATACATTATGCCACATCATGCAGGACAATTTTGGTGAAAAATAATTTCATTGCCAATGAAGAGGAAAAAGTTCCAGTGTGAAAATATTTTGACCTATGGCACTATATGAGATGTGATGCTTACTAGTGTAATTTAGTAGAAATGCTTGCATGTTTTTTGGATATAACAAAAGAAAAATGTTTAAAAAGAAGTAACTCACATTTTTTTAAATGCTATTTTTTTCATTTTCAGCTCTTCTTTTGTTGTTTCATTGTAATAATTAAGTTTCAGACATATTATATTTGGAATTATTATTAATTGTATCTATGCTCTTTCTTTCACTTCGTACTATGATATTTTCCGTCAATGAATTTTCTTATGTTTCATGTAATTTTACTTAAAGAAAAAATTATATCATTTCCTGTATACTTTCACTATAGAGACGATATTTAGTTTTTTGTTAATTGAAATACAAAGCACTTAAAGAATTGAAATTATTTGAAACATGTGCTATTTATAAAGTAGCATTTAAGAAACCAGTAGCGAGCAAACTTCTGCTCTTCGGTAAACTTTGTAAGCTAATTTTATCAGAAAATCAAATGTGTGTCAAGGAAAAGTTATTGAATTTTGTTTATTCCAATTCTTTTCATTGGTTTTAGATTTTATAATAACTGGATAACATTTTTTAATTCTTGATAACCAATTTAAACAAACGGAAATATAACATTTGAGTCATTTTGTTGCTTTTTTTATGAACCCCCAAAATTAAATACATTTTTAATTTTACATTCATGTATGCATATAGCACAATCCAAAATTTAATTTACGAGTGCGAAACAGTTTTTGTACTTTTCACGTAGTATAATAAAAAAAAATCTTACGTGTAAAAAATTGGAATTGACTAACATCGTTTTTGAAGTCATCACATGTTTTTAGTTTCGGAATAATTTTCAAATTTTCTCATTTTGAAAGCAAATAAAGTAATTATTACCAGAACTGTCTGTAAGTAAACGGAAAGGGGACAGTTGATACACATTTTTTCATGAAGAGATTTGTTACTTCAAGGAATTGAAATAAAATTAAAAATTTGTAATTAAATTATAGACAGCACTATATACGTACAACTTTGCTTTTTAAATGTGGGAAAAACTTGACTGACAGCAATTTTGTATATACTCCGTTTTGTTCTTTTTGGGTTATTGTATGCTGGATTTTTCTCTTTTATTAAAGTATCAACTACTCTTATAATCTAAGATATCGATAGACGTGATCGACAGTAACTGTCAGTTTTGTTTTTGTGTATACCTGATGAAAAGATGGAAGTTCTCCTGGGCTATTGCAACTCAGTCACATAATCGGCATATTATAAATTTTTCATCGGGCTTGAATTAAGATGCTCCTACTTTGATGGAAAAACATCTTAAAATCTCAATTTTCTATTTTTATAATATTTTTATCTGCATGTTCTCACTATTTAAATCAGTGTATTTCTTGTTTTTTTTCTTTATTCTTTTACATCATCTCGTATATTTATGTCTAACAAACACACTCCTTAATTGATTATCAATATCAATATTTTCTGGGCTATTGCAAGTTTAGCGCGCACTTTAGCATATGACAAACACATATTAATTTGATGTCAACTAAAAACATATTATTGCACAGTTTTTACTTCATATTGATATTCAAATGAAATAATTTTATTGGTTACATTAAGATTTCCACTCTTTCACTATATTTGGGCTATTATAGTTTTGCGTGTGTGTGTGTGTGTGTGTACTGTGTGTTAGCATGTATTTGTTTTAATACTGTCTTACAAAATTTTTTACTTATCGATTTCATTTCCACCATTATGTTTTGCACTTTTTCATTACTTACTAAATTAGGTTATTGTTTTTCTCATCATCAATGTAATGCACTCTTCTGTTTCAGCTTGTCCTCACGATATTCTTTGCATCATCACTTTAATAAACTAATATCGTCTCACATGAATCTTCCCGATATTTTTCTGTTCTATCAATAAGATTATCATCCTTTTTTAATTTCATTATAATTTCTTATCGCCATTTCTGGTATTAGGTGTCAATACAAATTGATATTTCGTGTTTGGGAGTCAGGCTCGCCTGGTGTGGTTATGCTAAGTTTAGAAAAAAAAAAATTCATAAAAATGGATTTCTCTTTAAACTCTCAACACAAGATGGAGAACTAAGGCTAATCTTTATTTTTATACATCTTATACAACCTTCTCATCTCATCATACTAATATTGCTTCGTGAAGAAAAAACAGCGCAATAACACCTTAAATAATCATAAATTTTAAAATTGAGTGTACTTTTCATTCAGTCAATGTGGATTTTATAACAACAGATATTAAAGGAGTAGCAGAAAATTTTAGATCGGTACTTTTTTTTTAAATTATATATGGGTAATAAGTTATGAAAAATAATGTAAGAAAACAATTCACCAAATATATTTGACACTGGGTCCTCTGGCTATATTGTAAATTTTATTAGTTTCTGGACTAAGGAAAAATCCTCTATTTTGGCCAAAATATGTGATTTATGTGGGAAACGAGCGATTTTCAATCGACCATGGTGACTAATCTTTTCTCTAAACACTACGTACACGTTACACTACACAATTTAGGGGAGCGCTGATCAGAAGATTGGTAAAAGCAGTCGACAACTATCGAACTCATACCATTCGAAGTGGGCATGCCATATTAGATTAGATATTTATTTTTCCTTTCATACAAGGAACAAGAAACAAGGAAGGAAAATCATACATAGACAGATGACAGCAAGCGAACCTATATGTTATAGGTTCAATATATTCCTATATGTGTGTGTTTAGTCTACATGGCCACCGAGACTGTTTAAAGAATTCAAAGATATTGGCTTTCGCTGCTATAATGAAGTGATGAAGTCTCACTGCAGGTAAAATGTTTGATCATAGTAGAGTGCGATAAAACATTTACCATTCAATGGCCAATTAAAGCAACCCAAATGATCACTGTTGAATTTTTGAACAGAAACATGCCCTTCTCTGAAATTGTCTTTCACGTTCTCACTCACAAAGATTTACTAAAATGTGAATTTTAGAATCATTAAAGGTTGGTCGGAAAAGTAAAAACAAACCTCTCTCGAATAACTCCTCTAATAGAGTAGACTCTAGTCCTAAGTAGAACATCTATGCTTACTAAACTAGTATGTTATATAATTAAGGGTGTAAAAAAACTTAAACGGCCATATCATATAGAACATTTATCTACACTGTATAGTGTCATGTTGGAGATATAGTACTACAAACCACATCGCTCAAACCCTTTCCAGTTAGCCATTCCACTCATTAAGTTCTTGTTATATTTTCTCAGAAAATAGCAATATCTTTGATGAATTAATTACAAAAAACATAACATTTTTTCCTCTAATTTTGATTCAGGTGTAATAAAATTTATACAGAATAACTAAAAAATACAAGCTATTGAATTTTTTTTAACCTGGTTGAAACCAAAGTATTTTTTTGGTTCAAAATATCTCAGAAATAGAAGCAAAATCAAGTTTTGTTTTCTAACATTGAAATTTATCTAAAATATTCTTGAAAATATCAGACTGTTTTTGAAGATGTACATCCAAAGATAAAAAACTTAGAAATCAGAATAGTCACAGTGCAATATAATTTTAAACATTCAACACGCATTAAAAGAATAAATCAATCAATAAAGTAAAAAGTACCGATCATTAATTTTCATTTTGTATTCACCTAAGTAATTCCATTTAATCTTGGCAAACCATGTATGACCATTGAGACCATACGGTATGACGAAAATCGATCCTGATTAGTAAATGAGTTGTTCTTAATTGTTTGCCATTATTACACTGTTTTGTAACTCATACACATTGGCATATAATTTCCATAATTATTATGGACACTTTTAATAAAGAACAGAAATAAAGAATAAGGTATTCTTGTATAGCTTCCCGAACAATGGTCAACAACAAAAGCGTACTTTAAAAATTAATATTGTCTTATTAATCAAAGTAGACATTTTTTTCTTCAAATGGAAATAATATTTTTTGCTAAAAATTATATAATTCACATATATTAAGGAAGTAAAAAAAACTCATCCTTTACACCCACTATTATAAAGAAAATAATTGGTGCTCTTGTATGTAGTTTCAGATTGCATTCAAATCACATAAGCTTTTTTTTCTTTATACTTACATAAAAAGGTTAAAGGATGCCTGGTGTGACTAAAGTCTCAATCACAGAAAGAATTAAAAAAATATTTAAAAAAACGTATTATAACTGGTATATATGGGTATTTCAAATAATATATAAGAAAATTAGACTGACTGTGGCAAGAGGTGAAATATTCAATTCATTATAAATAGGATAAATGCATTTTGCCAACTCCAGCCGAACAGACTTGTCTAAAAGGAAAGAAGGAATAACTAGCTAATGGATCAATACAGTCTCATATTGCCAATCAATCTAGGATACTTATAGCCACGTCCCCCATCTTGGCAACCATATGATCTCACAAAAAAGATTGTATATTAACACGAATAGATGGCATTTTAAAAGTAATTTTGTGTCACACCATGAATGTATCATTAGTTTTGATTGCTGCGTGTGCTCCCGACCGTTAAAAGAAGCCACCCATGATGGGGGAGTGGTGATGGGATGTATCCTTGCCGAGAAGACACACGATGCCGTCATCGACGGCATCTGGGCTTCAGGATGTGTGTGAGGTGGAAGCCTGGGGACCTTGCTGCGATCCACCCTGTTGTACATGACTAGACAGCGTAAAGGTGAGGGCACGTGGATCAAGTCGTAGGGCGTGCTCCAAGCGAAGGGCATCACTCAACTCAGGTGACATTTGTTGTTGAAGAGGCGTACTCTGAGTGGCTGATACTGCTGGTGTTTGGTGAAAGTTGCTAAGACTTGTTGTGGCACCATTTGATGAGGAACCGATGGTAGCGCCGGAGCCAGACGCTGCTACAGCAGCAGCCTGACTCACGGCCAACCGTAGTGCTGCTTCTGCCTGGGATCTTAAAATTGCTTCTGCTTGGTGTATCCGCAGTGCTGCTTCAGGCGAGTTTTGACTCTGGTGATGACCCTGATTAAGAGGCAAAATCAAAAATTTAATATTGCAGTTATTCTCATATCTTCCAAAATCATTTCAAATGAGCATAATTTTAATAATAAAAAAATAATACAGATAATAAAAGAGAGCGGGAAAGTATAGATTTCGTTTATGTTTTTTGGTGTGAGGCATTAGGATTTTGTGAGAGTTTATGAAAAGCACAAAATAATTCCAAATGATTCCACTGTACGTCAAACGTAAACGTTGTATTGCAATAAGTATCAAAAATAGCCGTGATCAAATAATTGTTGTCTGTGTTGGAAGGAGGAATCCCACTACTTTTACTAGCGTTGAATTGTGCTCCATAAAGTATTATCGCAGCTCTTGCCGAAATCTCATTGTACTGGGAAGCACTTAAGTCCTTCACATAGGTTTAATTGAGTGTATTTGTGCGTTCTTCTGAAAAAGCTCTTCTCTTTTGAGTAAACTATTTTCTTTCAAAATTCATGTTTGTAATGTAGATTGGAAAGTTTAATTATACAATTCGAGAAAATTCGTCTACGCCTCTTATTGCAGTAATGCTTCAGGTTTTTCAAAAAAAAAAATCGTGAAATTTTCTAGCTTTTTAAGACCATATCTTAGTTGTTTAGAAAGCAACCAAATATATCAGTGAACTTTGAAGGAGAATGTGTAGGAAATCTTCAAAGTATGTAAAATTCAGCTTACTTGGTGGTGAATAGGATCTACACCAATAGAAGATCGCATCATACTGTCAGCCATTGAAACACGCATGGCATTCATAGCAGCTTGGGCGGCTGCATTGGCCGTTTCATCATCACCAGGTGAAACTGCAGGTGGTTGAGCCGTTGTGGCTCCATGATTCGCAGCTGGAGACGTTGCTTGTGGTTGCAAACGCATAGCAGCAGCTAAATTTACTACGGCTGCTTGTACGGCACCGGCGTCTGCTGGCTGCATAGCTGCTGCTGCTACCATAGCCATGCGATTGGCGTGCATTTCGTCGACATTATATTGCTGTAGGTGCCCGTTGTTGGCTCCGCGCAAAATGTCAGTTAGTTTACTGCTGCAATTGTTGTTGTTGTTGTTCAACAAACTCGCACCTGCATCACTACCCGCAGAGGACAACCGACCGCCACCGCTACTACTGTCGGAGTGTGCGCTTGGCGAAGGACACATTGAGTTTTGTCCGCCGATGGCTAACAGACCACTGTTGCCTGCTGATACAGCTGCTGCGGCTGCTAGTAAAGTATCACGCTCACGTCGTTCTGCTGCTGCACGTGAAAGTACATATTGTGCTGCAAATTGATGCTTAGGGTCCATTCGCATGTGCTCCATATGTGTAAGTAATCCTGCAAAACATATATACATTCACTATATTTAAAACGATCGGTATTCAATGGTCACTGTTTCAATTTCTAATATGTCAAAGTTCGGTCCCATTTCTTTTCTCGTAACAATTTTAGGTTTGCTCAAAAGCTTTGCAAAATCCCAAAGTTAAAAGAAAAGTAGAAGATTAGGTAACTACAGCTAGAAACATTAATTTGGAATATAAAATTTTTTAGTTCTTTAAAAAAATTTTTTTGTTTTTCAGATGAATCGAATTGTCAAGTTGTTTTCAAAGTAGTATTTTAGTTTATATCAACCCTAAAAAATCTCGAATTTTTTGCGTGGTCCAGCTTACTTAAGAACTAAACTTGGCGTTTTCTAAACACGTCCTTTCAAATGCAATTCGAAAAATTTTAATCTAAAAAAATCTCTTTCAGAACTTAAACTTTATTCTGCATCACAGATCAGAACTTTGTTTTATACTTCTGTTGGAGTGGAGACCACCAATTGTTTGACGAGCAGGGCAGTGTTTAAAAACCCGAGCTGCTTCTCCCTTCCGAGACCACAATGCAATGAAATGTTCAGAAAATTAGTGATTTTTCTAGCTCAACTGAATAAAACATAATGATCGAGGAACGGCACGAATTCTCTGGGAATCAGGGGGACAGTAAGGTGCATTTGTTCTTACAGACGATGGGTCTGAATCTCTTTCAATTAAATTGAGAGAAATTCAAAGATCAGCTTTGATTTAAACTAGTGCAACGATAGAGTCAGTGTATATAAAGTACGCATGAAGTAAAAAGCAATATTTAACGTATTGATTGAATAACCTAAGTCACCCATTATGTATTACTGAGCAAATGCTTGATAAATCAGATAGAACTTGGCAAATAATATCGGATATATTTCATTAAATTTCAATAACCTTATTTAACGCATTTAGTTGAATTTCTGGACTGTCAAACTTTTACAATGTTTCACATATATATGACAACGGACAAATGATTCTATATTTTCCAAAGATCGGGTAATATTAGCATCAATCCATTGCTAACCAAGAATATATTACGTGGTCTAGACCACCCTTTTGTGCGACGATGAACGTGTGCACGCAGACTAATCACCGGACCTTAACCTTACTAAATCTGACTTATTTTTTAGGCTTCCTAAGTTCTCTTTAGTATATTCTTATACGTTTTCTTTTTTCGTTATAGGTATTATTAAAAAATGAGATAAATTCTTATCTTTCTCTCGCTCACTCTAGTCACACAGTTATCTTGATATCTAGGCAGAGTATAATTTCTCTTTCTCATGTGGGATTATCTGAATAAATATGAATGAGATGATTCTCAGTAATGAAAAATGATAATAAATACATAATATTTTTGGGTCCTTATTATACTTTTTTATTGCCGTAACAAAATTTTCAGATTTCGTTTGTGGTACATTTTAATTGAATTTTATGGATGGTGTTTAGTTCTCTGTCAGCGACCGATTCTGACATGTCTAGACAGCCACCGTGCGAGTAGGAAGGAAAATACACGATACGCGTGGGGAAGAAAGAGATGATCGTGAACAAATTACAAATGCTGTGTTTTCACCATACAATCAAAAATCGATATATTCTAATATTGGAGATGATGGTCGCACGTGAGTGGGTGAAATGGCAATATTTAATAAATGTAATTTTAAATCATTGGATATAATTACTGGATATTCTTATGAAGTTAGTCACGTATTATTATTAGATTATGAATTTGAATTAATTTTCAATTGATATTCCTAATAAACACTTGTTTTGCAATATCTTTACTTAATATATTACCAGTACTTTAAAAAACTGTAAAAAAAAAATTTACAAAACTTTATACATATTTAATTCATTAAAACAACATTTAGAATCATACTAACCCGCTTCATGGGTGAAAACTGCCTGGCAGACAGAACATGGCCACATTCTCAGACTGGTGGTGAGTTGTGAAGTTTCCGGATGGCATGCCAGGTGTTTTCTTAGAGAACCCTCATTGACGTAGTGTTTCCCACACACAGGACAAGGATGGTTGGCGGTTCGCCTCTTGGCTAAGTAGGGGTCAGTGGGTGATGAGCGAACAGAAAAATTGGGTTTTTATGGTCAATGCGAAAGCCGAAATGTTCACACAGCGAAATTTTCACAAAATTATATTGTCATGAAAGATGATAACTGATCGTTGTAGATACTTACTGGCCACTCCGGAGGCATTTGGATCCTTGTGCGTATGTTTCATGTGCTCCATGAGGGCTTCGCCGCCGAGGAAGAGTTTATGACAAACTGGACAAGAGGTTGCATTTGGGCCACCTATAAGAGCTGCATGTTGCTGCAAGACACCAAGATGCAGCTGTAATTCCTACATTCGACGCAGTCCCAAAACGAGATAAATAAATAATCAGTTTTCAATATTTTATTTTTTGCCATCTTAGCTTCGACAAAATTTTCATGTAATAAACACGCTTATGTAATTAAAAAAAAATTAAATCTTAAGAAATAAGAGTTTTATCAATCATTTTGCCATTTACGTAATCTTTATCAAAATATTAGCCTAATTTTCACACGAATCACGAAAAATCGTACTCAAATGGCTAGGACAGATTTATATAAAGATTTTATGAATTATGTAATGTAATTGGACGTAACTTTGGTGAAAAATATTACGCTTAGAATTAGCCGAAATCTAAAGCTGCTCAAAAACCGTGTCAATCGACCACAGAGCACTATGGTAATTTTTCATAGATAATTATACAGTTTTCGCATATTTCTCCATACAAAGTCTTGACCATTTTCGGTGTTTCGCATAAATAGGAAATCGTTCAAGCAATTCTTAAAACAAAACAACCTTAGTGTGATCTCATAGATGGCCAAAGATAAGTGGTTGGATAAACTTTTTTAACCGGGTGTCTTGGCTTGCAAAAGGGAAATATGTAAGGCAAAAGCCTTTATAAAATATAAGATAGACATTTAAATGTCTTATTCGTAATATAAAAATCTTTGAAAAAAAGTGACTAATAAATTGAAGAGATCTTTGACATAGAACTTCTCTCTCTTTAAGAATTTATTTCGTAGGATTGATCAGAAAACTGCGATGTCACAAAGCAATAGCACTGGTTGTTTGCATTAAAGGTGCCCTTTCTATGTGAAATGATAGACATATCCCAGTGAAGGAAAATGGTTTTTTACTGTATCCATAAAGTTTAAATAGGCACATTAAAAAGCAATGAAAAAGAGAATGAGCAAAAAAATTACGTATCTATATGTAACAAAGCCATCTGCAACGGAATCACACAAAAAATTCTCAGATTTTAAAAACTGTTGAAACGACCTTAAATTTTTGAGAAAAATTAGGCTTCTGAATTTATAGGAAATAACATTTGAAACAAGTATAAGTATAATTTATTCTCGTTATTAGGACAAGTTGTCCTCTCGTGTACAGGCTTAGTAACAATGAGATATATAGTTATGTATCTATGCGAATTTTGCACGTATATGCGAGGAGCTGTGACGGTACTTCGGAGTATCAGCTCCCCCTTCCACTCACGCGGCAACATATTTCATAAGACAATTCCCTCAACAAAGAAGGAATCGTGGAGAATGCGACTCCTCAATATATGTATTTGAAAAGAGGAAGACTTGACAGACGATCCGGCAGCCAAAAGCTCCACGATATTACCAGGCTAGCCGGTAAAAAGAAGCAGCGAAATAAAATCAACGGCACTTCCTTCAATATAGCTCAAGATTGGCGTGCCCAGTATCGAACTCTCATAAGGAGAGACATTATCAAATCTACGTAGACCATAAACGTATCTTAGCCAGGGATTAAATGTCTTTCTCAACTGATCGCGGGTGCTATCGCAGAAGAAGAGCTTTGGTACATAGGTGAAAAAGGAAACTATAAGCGCTCGGATCAACAGGAGTCTAGTGCCAATGGGTGTGAAATATTGGAGACGCCGCAACGTTCGCAAAGTGAGAAAGATCTTTTTCTGCAGATCTCGAAGGCATAATTAGACCAAGCCAAGGAGTTGTTGAAAATGACATCCAAGTTCTTGACTCCATCTGAAAAGGGAATGACTTCATTCAAGAGATAAAGCGGAGATGGGATAAGGCGTCATCTAGGCGTATGAACAATTAGGGCCCACGACAAGTTCAAGTGTGAAGAAAAATTCGATTTATTCGGTTGATTTTTTACTGTGGTATTGTGAATCCGATATTTTTTCCCATATTACCACTGTCCTCGCCTGAAGGCAGGCAACGTTATTAAACTCCCTTCACCAGTTCGCAGAGCGGCTGTGGCTCAGTGGTCAATACGTTTGACTCTTGATGCTACAGTCGTGTGTTCGAATCCCACCGCTTGCAAATGTTTGAAGACAGCAGAGTGCAAAAAATAAGCCTTTCAATGGCAAATTATAGTTGCCAAAATGGGTTACTGTTGAATGTTTCAGCTGAAACATGCGCTTTTCTGGAATTGACTTGCTCTCTACTCCCGTTCCACACACACACACACACACACACACACACACACACACATATATATATATATATATATATATACATATACATATATATATATATATACCAATATATATATATACCTTATATATATATAAGGTGGACGTTAGAACCACTTATGGTTGGTCGGAAAACTGACAATCTGCCACCGAAAAACAAAAATTTGTTTCGAATATCTCCTCTAATAGAGAAGGCTATGTCCTTCAATGGGATGTCGAAGCCACGTAAGTAGTAAGTAAGTCACCAGTTCGCGTCATCTTTTCGCCGCCCAATGGTGGGACGCCAACACTCCAGTGGAACTGTACCGAGAAGTTTCAGAACCTTTTCCCGACACTTGAACTCGGATTTTCAGTCCGTCCACGTTGATGGGCAAGTTTTATTCGAATAAAGAAATGTAGTGATAATTTACACTGTGGTTTTCACTCCCTTATCGTGTCAGCGTGCACGGCCACGGAAACCCGCCGAAATATGCGAGATCGCGGTCGCTTCTGGCCGGATATTCTGGTCAGGGTACGCAACACATTCTCTAACCTCTACTTTTAATCATTTAAGGTAAATCGATTTTAACAACTATTTCTTGCTATTAAAGTATGATTTTGATAAAAATTGGACAATATTTTTACAAAATATTATGCAAATGGCAGGTTAGGTGCGGCGTCAAATTTCCCAGTCTACACACTTTTCACGGCCACTTCTATAAGCCAAATTAGGTTGGAATAAAATAGTGTATATTTATTTAGCGCACATAAGAATATGCTTTTCTGATAGCGGATTGTATCCGCTGAACATTTTAGTGCTGACGACCAATCTCCAAAGCAAAACAGCGGAGAACTCTTTGTCAGGTTGTAATAAACTGCACTTATCTAGATCTTACAAAAGAAAAGCAATTATTTGTACCACTAAATGTGGAAGGTATAAATAAAACTATAAATAAAAGTGAAAGAATTAGGACCAAAAAATTTTATGTGCATTTATCAATATTACTAAAATAGAAAAAATAGAGAATATGAACCAAATGTCCGGTTAAAAATATGTTGAACGTCATTGTCAATTGCAGACTAATGAGTCATTGAGGCTCTGGTTCACCTTGGCGGCACAATTAGCGAACTGCCACCTAATTGAATTGCTCCCGGCCGACAGTCGTAATGACCAATTTAGGACGTCCTGCCGTACCCGCGCGCACGCCGTTTTTTTCGTCGTGTCTCCTGATGAAATATTCAAGTGTATCCCTGGGGTGCAAAAGGATGGCTCCATTTTTCCCTTTCCAGTAATGCGTTTTTTGTGAACGTGCCCACCCACAAACTGTACACTGGCACGCTTTTGGACTCCCCCGTTTAAACACGGTAATTGCTTCACACTCTCATTAGCACGTTCCCAGATGCGCGTGGAGGCGGATGTTGTTGGTGATTCGCATTTTGTCTTCTAACACTGATTTTTGTTTAGTAAGTAATTTTTATTGTTGGCTATCCATAATCAAAATAAATTGGGAGTTAGAGTTTAAGTGCAGTACAGTTCAGAGTTATGTAAGATTGGGCTGATTTTTATGTCTTTTATTTGTTTTAAATACTTGCTTACTTTAATTCTTGTAGTTAGATACCGTAATTAAAAATTCTGCATCAGCTACTGACATTGTGTTTGGGTCAGAAAAATTGCTTTAGCAGTTTCGACCTGCATTAGCATATTTTGATTTTAAGAAATTATTTGTGAAGAGATGTATTGGAAATAGGTTCTTACGAATGCTATAATTTAATAAAATGTCGATTGACTAAAAAAAACTCTTAAATTAGTATTTTACTTTTTATCTTATGCCTTCAAATATATTGATTGTGCTTCGCCCCTTGGATATTAATGTGCCTCCAACAACCCCCGTTGGCGTCGAAGAAATTTCTAGAGATCACGAAAGGAGAGTGGCAACCCTTCTTCTAAAAAAAATTACGAGGGTGTAGGCGTCAGATACGAGAGTATTGCGAGGGCACGCTAAGAAGCAAGAATACGAAGAAAAAAAAAAACACGGCGAGTGGAAACGCCAACTGTGGGAATGAAAATGAAAAATAAGAAAAATGAAGAAGTGAAAGAGTGTGGGTGAGTAGGATTCATCTGGAAAGACCATCAACTTTTTCCCATCTCGCTTTGAAAAAAAAAAGCCGTAAGGAGTAGGGGCTACGCAATCCTACTATTGAAATCGAAATCAACGCTGAGGGTGGGCTACATTTGTGAAACAGTGAAAAGAATGCAGCTGGTGTGAGGAATAACGCGGAATTTCATATCACAAATCCTTGTGCGGAGCATTTCCTAATCGTACAAGGTTTGGATTAATTGGCAAACGAAGGAAAGGATTTAATGTAGAAAAATGGTCAGTGTCTGAACAGTTGCTCCCCAAGATGAGTCTGATATATGTCTTATGCTGAACAAGTAATCAATCAGTGCATATTTAATCCAAATAAGAATTTTGTTGTGAAATGAGCGAATTTCTTTGGCTTGGTGCCTGTACAGCCATGGGCATTCTTGCCCATATGGCCAAAACCAAAAAAATGCGAATCACCATACTTTAGGTGCAAATTTTACAACACTATAAATTGCTTGTATATACGCATTTGACCAAAGAATGACTTTTTTTTATTGATAAGTAAGTCAGTAAGTTATGTTCTCAACTCTGTTAAAACGTACATATGTGAAAATGATATATGTGTACTGGTCAACATTAAGATCGTCAAAGAACGTCAAAGAATGTGGATAAACACACTAATTACATGTGTTTATGGAGAAGTCGGAATTTATTGTAGTTTTCTGTTTATGCTATTTTCAAATTACAAAATCTCGGTAAACTGATCACGAAAATGTAAAAATGTTATTACATTAGATTACAATAAAAAAGAAATAACGGTTCTACTTAGTGTTCCAACAGAGCCTATAATCAATTGAATCTGATTAAAAAAACCAAACTTCTTTAGTATTCAATATTATGACGTTGAACCGCCATAACTCCGGTTCTTCAACCTAAATATGATATTATGATGTATTTTAAAAGACGTCTCTTCCAAAACACATGGATCTATGATTCCATTGAAGTCAAGACTTCACGGTAATTCCTATTCCAGTTAAACCACAAGCTCGCTCAAATTGTGATCTATGGTATCATAATTAATGAGCCACAATCACCACTATTGGCGTTGAAAATATGAAATCGATTTTCTTTACTTTAAACTCGATTATCAAGAAAAAACAAATTCAAAAAATGAAGTTCTAAAATATTTTTTTCAAAACTGTTTTAGTAATCCAAAAACAGGAAAAATCGCTGGTGAAAATCTTGCGCTTACATAACTAATGACACATACACAAATATAAGCCAAAATAAAAACACACACACACATGGAAATACGCAGTAAAAGCAATTATAAAAATTGAAAATACTATGCTTAGTATGAAAATAGAATGATTTTGGATTTTATTGTGAGAGAGTTAACTCTAAAAAAGATAAGTAAGTAGAATAAAAAAATAAAAATAAAAAGCATTGCAATACATACATGACTGACCTTGGACGTGTGAGTGCGCAGGCTGGATTCAGTGGCAAATCCTTTTCCGCAGATATTACAGTGAAAGGGACGATTTTTGGCTCTCTCTACTTGAGCATCATGATTTCTCAAGTGTTGCTGCAAATTTGACAATTGGATGAAAGCTCGACCGCAATCAGGCAAGTGACATTTGTACGGACGTTCTCCTAGAAGTAGTGAATTAGTGTTTCAACAGAGTGTTAGTACTTTGTGTAAAAGAGGTAGTGAAATCAACATATTCTTATGAAGGTAGTAATCATAGGAAAATAGCACATATATTTCCCTACTTTCACCTTTTCATAAACTGAGAAATTATCATATGTGTTACTTAGATTCATACTTTGATACTGCGTTTAATTATACCCTATCTTTTTGAGGGGAACTGCTTCGTATTATACCTTATTCTTCAATCAATACAACGGCATTCTTTTATTCACCTCTAACCAAGCGTTTAGATACAAATATTTCACAAAAAATAATCAGTTTCTCCATAATGTGTAATTAAAAAAAAATTGGATATTTATCTGCGAAAGTGTTGCCATAGATTTGGTTAGGCCATTAAACGGACCAATTATTCATCCCACTATTACCCAACTTAAGGTCCAAGGCTGAAAGCTATCCAAGTTATCCAGATTTTAGTTTCGACGACACAGTTTTCAGACTTCGTGTGTTTTTCATGTTTGTTGTCGTCCCTCCCCCACATATTCTCTCATTCTTCCCCATTCAGAGGCAAAGCTATTCAAAGTCAGCCAGTTGCCAAAGCTTGAACTCACATATTCTCTGCAGACTTTTGTTTCCCATATGTGTATTGGGACAGATACGAAACACAATTCCACACAAGTTTTACATCAACTGGAACATTCGACAGGAAGCTTTTTTGGGTTATTTGCGCTTACATTTGTCTGCTGAAAGGCCCGAAACTTCTGTTCTTTAAAAAATTTATAGAATTTTACAAGAGCTTAAAATTGTTAAGATCCGACAAATAGAAGTAATGCTATGGTGTATTTAATTTTTAAAATTGAAATAAGCAAAACGTCAGTTTTACTGCATCAGTGTAAAGTTAAAGCCTGTTTTTAGAGATGTCTTGATTTGGACTACACCATACAAAGAACTTATTGAGACACAAAACAAGTTCACCGAACTAAGACGTCATGATGACGTGATGTCGATGTGGTCTACTACAGGACATCGAGACGTTTCTTTTGTTAAAGAGATGATAAAAATCGGTTCACAAGTGTCATATCTGGTCATATTCAACTACGATGAGGTTGCGGCTTCATTTGCTCAGTTAAGCACACTGTCATGGAGACGGGGAAAACCGATGATATTAGCAGCTCAAGTAATAAAAAAGAGATCGTTCTACTGTACATTGTGTGCAGGAAGAGAAGGAGAAGACAAAAATAATGTTAAATACTAATTTAGTGATAGCTAATGCAAAAAATTGCATCATTACGAAGTACTCTATAGAAATTTTTCTCTCTAGCAGAATAAATCTGGGAATTTGAACGCAAATAATGCAATTTTTGTTCTCTTTTAATGTGTAAGGGTTTATTCTGACGCGCTTATTCGTGCGTGACGATACTAAATAAGTTATGGTCTCTCGATTTAAATCATTTTAACCAAACAATTAAGTCAAAATACGATTTTGAAAATATGTATTTAGATCAATATGTTCAGTTTATCCTTAGTGAACATAGTGAAATAACTTCGTTCGATTAATTTGCCTGAATGAATTTTGTCTACATCAGGGGGTTATCACGGACCGTGCAAGGAGTAACGGTAGCGTTGGTACTGAAAAGTAGTCGATATGACCACAACACCGTGTTTTATTATAGGTTTGCGTCTTTGATGAAAGCATTTGACGTCTCTCCTTTAATCTCGAGCAAAAATTTCAGCCATCTTGAGAATATTATATGATATTACGAAAGTACAAAGTGCCTAATTTTTATTACACCATTAATTCATTGATACTAAATTATTAGTTCTACTAATTGGATAATATTGTGGATAGTGCCTTAAGAGCAATTGCATCAAGTAACTGAAAATCCATATCATAGAATATCTAAATAAACAGAATAGATGAGGAAAAATAAAAGAAAAAGACAGATAATCAGAGGAGATTGGTAGAAAGACATAAAGCGTTAACCTAGGTGTCTAAACAAGTTTACCAAGCTGCATAAAATAAGCATACAGTCTCAAACGCCAATTTATTCTATTTTAACTGCCCCCTTAAAAATCCACTTTTACAGCATTAGGCCCAACAAATAAGGGTGTCTTTGGGTAGTTCTTGGTTTCAGTTACAACGTATTTATGTTTAAAGAAAATATATCGAAAAAATCTCTTGAAATAACTAACTATTAAATTATCAAGAGTATTTTAGCAACTTCAAAGGCTTTTGTGACTCAGTTTAACATATTTTACTCTCAATGCTACAGTCGTGTATTCGTATCCCTCCTATGACACAAGTTTAAACACTCAGTTTAATCACGAATGTGTGAAAAAATTATCATTTTTTATTCCAAATTGCAGTTGTTTAGTCGTTGCTGTTGAATGTTTTAACAGAAATATACACTTCACTCGAATCGTCCTTCGCGCTCTGTCTCTCAAAGTTTCACTAAAAAGCGAATTTAGGAATAATGTATGTTTATTAAAGCTAATGCCTATTTGTTGCTTGTCTTTACTTAGAAATAAAAATTATAATTTTGCAGAATTACGAATAATAGAAAAAAAAAATAAATAGGAATAAAATTATGAAGTGTTTTATCAGTTTTATAACTGAAAAATATTATTTTGTAATAGAATTTAGTAGGGATTTCAAAAAATGTTTCAGAGTAATAAATATTATTTAAAAATTAGCATCATTGCGAAAATATGAGTCTAAAGTACATAATTATGTCCACACAATTAGCAAATATTAAAGTGTGTTTTAGTCGTATCAGAAAATATTCTAATGATTGTTTTGTCTGATAATCATAACACTTATTAGTGTGAGCATATAATTTATATTACGTAAGAATAAATGTATAGTGAGCCTGTTTTAAATATTTTTTCTTAGTTTGAGAATAAAGTACATAGTTCAAACCGGTTACTGGTTCTAAACTAAAAAGAACGCCCTTAGGTCTAGCACTTCAACTTATGACTCTTCTTAATTTTTGTACGCCACTTCCATTGCTTTAGAAGGGTAGGAAGCGAAGAAAAAAAATGAACGACGAAAGTAGAATGAGACAGAGAGACGGATGGAGCGAGTAATTAAAAGTTGCGGCATTTCGCTATTTTTTCCCTCTTTCCACTTTTCAATTCCACCCACTATTGCGCCTATTTTACTCAATATTTGTCAAATTTAGGGATAACATGAGGCTTCAAGTGGTACGACTACATTCAAAGTTCCTTATTGCATTTTAAAGAAAGACAAAAGTGACAAGAAGAAATATATTTCGACATGTCTTTTTCGTTAAACTAGTGATAAAAATATATAAGAGAAAAAGAAATATTACAATATTCATTTATATTTACAATAAAAATTACAATATTCCTCGTTCAAATAAATAATTACATATGTATAGTTATAGAAAGAATATAATTAGAAATGTATGAAAAGAATAGTGCAGATTACAAATAAAATAAAATATCACAAGCATTCTGTAATATATTTATATTACCTTATAAGATTTTCTCACAAATATTCCCCTTCTCATACGGAGTAAATTTTTTCTCTTGAAATAAACTACATAAGAGAAACAAAAAATCTGCGGAAGTATACACAGCCCCATTGAAAACCAGTCGAGCAACTTTTTCTCATCATAAGGAGTTTCTTCCTCGTTTGTTTCCGGATTTGGGACTTTCTTGCACATTGAAAATGAAAAAGAAATTGATGGCCGACACTGGAATCCCACAATACCGAAAGAATACCATCCTTCGCGCGTGTGCGAATTGATATTCTGCAGTGGCGGCAATTTAGGGATGGGTAGCCTGTTTGCTCTCGCCACTCGAGGGTGCTTCTTTTTTTGCGCGCCATTTCTTCACCGTTGGCGTGCGCCCTCAAACCACTCTCACCAACTGGTTGCCCGCGAAATATAAGTCTTTTAGAATAAGACAACGCTCAGTGTATGAGTTTTTAGAGATTTAGTTAAAGAATCCGGCTACTATTAAGAACAATGCATTTGTGAAAATCATAAATCGCAGCATAAAGCAATCATGGTGCTCGAGAACTGAAACTACACGTGATTAAGAAATAAATATATTATCTAAGAACTACACATATCTGTAACTAACATTAATACGAAATATACGCCAAATAAACCGAGTTTATGCTGTTTTCTCAGGGAGATCGGCTGTGAAGTCAACGTCAGCCGCAATCGTTTAGATGGAGGAGAATGAAATAATTTTTTTTAATTATTATTTTTGCACTACCCATACTACAGGATACCATTAATCCGCAATGATATATACGATAGGCGTCTCGTTAATGTGTGGACCTCTATATCTTGACTAGAAGGAGAGAAGTGACAGTACTTCAAAGAGTGTTAGTGAGGCATACTTCGGGTGAGCCCCTTTGAACCGCATTAGCAGCCTGGAATGATCATTACCCTCAAATCTCCGTCTTCGTGCCCACGAGTGGAGCCCCTTTACTGTTTCCACTGCAGAGAATAGCTGATACAGTATCTCCTTCGGAGACTTAACCCCTCATTTAGGCTAGTGAGGGCTTCAACAACCTCAAGAACGTATAATAAATGTGGTTTTATGCGAGTTAAAAGCGGTTTATTTGATTTTGGGCCCACTGGAGAGTCCTTGCTTCTGGTCGCCTTATAAGAGTGAAAATACAGTATTTTGCTTTGAGATCAAACCAATATGTTCAATCTTCATTTTATCTTTCAATATTAAATGAATTCTGTACATTTTTTGTCTCATTCTTTTCATGGGTTTTGCTCAAGCCTACTTTTGCCCTTTTATTGCTTATACTCAAACAAAAATCAGAAAAGGAGGAATATGAGAGATATACGGAACGTATAACGTAGAGCGAAAACTGTGCTTCGCAAAATCTGAAATAAAATGTTGTTTTCACCATTATTATATATTACTTTTTGCTTAACCTTAGAAAAAATGTTAGAGCTAATTAGCTACGCAGTTCGTGTGTTTAAAAAAATTTCTATTTGTATTTTTTTGTGTTTCAATTGTTTACGGCCACAGGCATTTTTGCTCATATGGCCTTCTATTTGTATTTAAAGTTATTTAATAAAGACGCACACACACACACACACACACACACACACACACACACACACACACACACATATATATATATATATATATATATATATATATATATACGTTTTCGCACAGATCTTTGCGTCCAGAGTCGAAAAAACTGTTGTTTCACAGTGCCACGTGTTTTACGTCCGAGCCGCTATTTTATATAGGCTACACAATGTGAGGCTTGCAAATATCAATATCAAATCGATCATACGCATAAAGCTGTATGCAGCCATATGCATCACCACAGGTCCTGACTTATATAGAATAATGTTTGTACATGTAACAAGCAGTCTCAGAAGAATTTTATTATTAAGCTTAAAAAGGAGCCACATCTGAGTCAAACTACATGTTATATAAAATATACCTTGTTCTTTCTTTTTGCACATTTGAGGCTACATACTTAATCACACAGTTTTACAGTGCTTTTGACAATCACGTACGATCTGTCAGATTTGATATTCCTACACATTTTTACGCGTTCCAACTTCGGTATCAAGGCTATAGTCATAGATTAGATTATTTTTGCTATTTTTTTTTAACATTCTTTCGAAACTTGGGTATCTACACAGATTACCGCAAATTCTCAGATTGACCCCAACTTTCGACAAACTTATAATGAAAGAAACATTTTTACTGGAAAGAATCGATTGGGACACTAACGGATTTCTACTATAGGGAGGACTGTTTTCTTCAAAATATTTTTGCCATTATCAGTTATTTTGTAGTAAATGTTGCGGTCAGTCGGAAATTGTTCGGTAAACTGCACTTATGTCGGCTTTTCCTGTCCAATTTTCATTTTATAATATCCAAAATATTTTCTCAATTCTTAATCGATCTCGACTGTAGACTTAGACGAAATTGTAGTTATTTTATAATCATAAGATTTCATTCTTTTATTTACACACTCATATATCTCATGGCAACCCTCTCCTGCTCTTCTGCACTATTTTCCCGGTCGTTGTACAATGGCATGAAGGATAAAAAAGCCACTCTTCGAGTTTTGTTATGTAGGGGGCTTTTTTGCCAACTGAACTTGTACAGCGAGTTTAACCCTTTTCTTTATTTTTAGAAACTGGTTCTGTGTATGTTTGCAAGCGGTGCAGATCCTTCATCATATACGTTTTATTGTACTGACCTGTGTGAAGCCTAGTGTGCTGCTGCACATGGGACAGTTGTTTGAATCTGCGATCGCAATAGGAGCACTTGTAGGGCTTCTCACCGGTATGAACACGGATGTGCTGGACGAGTTGGTGATTGCTTGAAAAGCTCTTGAGACATTGTTGGCACTGATGAGGTTTCACTTCCGTGCCCATGCCCGACCCACTCAGGCCACTCACGCCTACACCGCGTTGAAGATCCCGGGCATGCTGCATCTGCATGGCGCTCTTGTGCATGAAAATCTGCAGCGGTGTGTGAAGGAGAAATATGTAGAGTTAAGTCCAATCGATAAAAATTAGAAAAGCGGCAGTAGCCAAATCACTTAGGGACTTATGAAGCTAAGATTTGAAGACGGAGAATTTTGCGCTTAAATTGCATCAATTTTGTGAATACTATGAAATGAAAAAAAGAAAACTATGTGTTTTTACTGAGTGATTTATACTGCAAACCACTAATTAAAATACTGCCTCTCAGTTTCGACTATAGGCAGCTCTATACTGAGTTTAGAAAGAAGTGAAAAAATTTGTCTAAAAGTGTAAGTGCACTTTAGCAAATTTATGTGCAAATTTCTCCTTATCTAATAACTGGGTAACCATTGTTCTCTCTCTCTCACCGAAAGTAACAGCTCTGTAACTCATTATTACTTTTTAAATATTTTCAGTGAATAAGTAATTTCAAAAGCCACTTACTGAGAAAATTGTCTTTATAATTTTTATATATATATATATATATATATATTATATATATAATATATATTATATATATATGTATATATATATACATGGCATATACTGTGGCTCAGTGGTTAATGCATTTGACTCCCGGTACTCTAGTCGTGTGTTCAAATCCCAACGATTGCAAATGTTCGGACACAGCAGAATGCAAAAAAATAAGCCTTTCAACAGCAAAATTAGAGCAGCCAAAGTGATTGCTGTTGAATGTTTCAGCTGAAAAATACGCTTCACTGGAATTGTCTTTTGTTCGTCCCTGTAAAATTGGGCGTTAGAATCATCCTTAGTTGGTCAGCAAACTGAAAATTTGCCACCGTAAAACAAAATCTTGTTTCGAATAATTTCATCTGATGGAGAAGGTTGTATTCCACAATGGTACGTTTTATTTTATTAAAGAAACTTAGAAAATAAAATATAATTCTTTTTCATTTATTGCGTTATTAAACAATTTTTTTTGTAATATGCAAAATTTTTAGGAGAACTAATTTTTAGCTTTATTTTGTATTACTTTTCAAATTAGCACATTTATTAGATGCGTACCCTTATAATCCAATAGAAATATTTGAAATTGGTCATAACAGGGTTATTATTATCAAAAATTCTGCACAGAGAATTTTTTTTTACAGAAATTTATATCTGAATAAACAACATAATACAATACAATATTTATAACAGAATGTTGATTACTTTCATCCTTACAATGACATTCACAAAAAGATTAATTTTAATTGAAACTGAAATTTATTTTATCGTTAAAATAGTGTGAGGTCTCAATAAAAAGCATGATTTTCAGAGTTAACCCAATTCAGTCATCTTTTCAAAGCAAATTCTTATTTTCAACGACAAAGATACGTATTTTTGTATTCCACAATAGTTTTGCTTAAAAAATTGTCTAAGTCACCAACCGGTCAAAGTATGGTAATTTATAATGTAGAACACCAATTGGAACCACGTCCCATGCTTTCTGCTCGATAGTTACACAAAATAGCATGTCAGGTAAAAAGAAAGAGATAACCAAACTACACATCACACCGTCCGTGACGCTCCGCCTTTAGATAGTGATGAGAGAAGGTGGAAAAATCCAGAAAAATATTATTCCTTCAGCCAATACGAAAATATGCCTATTTATTGATTTTGAAGAGGATTTCTAAGAAATCTGACTGCTCCCGATGCAAGCGAGAATAGAGTTTTTTATAGGAACTTGCCACGCACCGACTGTAATTATTGATGTGAAAGAGATTTGCTTTGCTAATACTTAACGAAGGGTTAATTTCTATCACTCATTTGATATACTGATTGCCACAGATGTAAAGGATAGAGACGCAATGTGTATTATGGGTAAAAGATATTTAAGGACAAAAGACAATTTTGTTATTGGTCATTATGGAGTCAATTATTAAAATCTGACAAGAGAATGTCAAAAATCTTTTCAGAAATGTATATCCGCAGTATTCATAGAAATGCATGAAATTTTTCTCAATTTCTCTCAATATTTTGTTGAGGATAAATTAAAAAGCGCAAATGTGTGAGAAATCTGCGGCACATTCAAGGGGTAAAGAGTCAGAATAAGAAAGCGAGAAAGAGAGAATAAGAGTGCAGGGTGAAGGATAGAAAAACTCGAGTAAAGAGATACACGCGCAATACAAAAAAACAACCGAAGAGGCAGAAATAAGAATTGGCGGAGAGAAAAAGTATCTTGACCTGCCCCAAGCATGTTAGAGTTGAATGAGCGCTGAGTATACCCAAGCAAGAGAGATAAAAGCAATAATAAATTCACGACATATGAAAAAAGCATCAACAATGCTTAACACGGGGCACTTGAGAAAAGGAGAATTAAAGATAGACCAATAACACAAAAAACACACATACATGATATAGAATAGTAGAAGTCAAAAGATGGTTGGGAAGTCTTTTTTCAACTATGTAGGTATACATAATATTTTTTTTGCTCTCTGTCAAATAAGATAGTTATTCTCTCTGAACTCAGCTAAAACCTCGCACAATTGAGCATTTTCCCTCTTTTTCACTATCAATAGAAAAAAAAAAGATTCGTGATTCCATTTTTTTAGAAAAACGAGCAACAAAAAATATATATAAGAGAAAATCACAAAAGTGTTAAAAATTATATAAATGTTTTAGACTACAAATCAGTAGTATCACTACTGGTAGCATCACCACTTTAAGTAATCATTATAACACAATCACATCGATAGTCAGCTGAATGTTTTCATAACTGAAGTTACAAATATCTCAGTGTATGACCGGGAGAGAGAAAGACATTTTTTTTCCTTTTTTTCTAAAGTGATAGAACGTTGGTTCTTAACTTACCATTTCATAAATAGGCAAAACAGTGTACAGAAAGAATGTATAATAGTGACGTAAAGGAGATACTAGGATATTTCAAGGAGGAATATGCAAAAAAAAACTATAACAATATACCCAAGCAACACTGATGACAATATAGGTTACACATAAAGAAATTAAAAGCATGATAATTTGTCTTTTAAATATACACAAAGTAATTCCAAGATAATATATAGCACAATCCCTAGTATCAATATGTTCTTATTTTTGCCGTATTGTAATATTGTTATTTTCGTGATTTCACGTTAGATTCAAGATTCATTTCGAAGTAATAAAAAATAGTAAGGAACAAAATTCTTTTGGTTTATAATCCTATCCAAAGTTTCCAAAAAATATTAGATTTAAATTTATTTATGTCACAGCATGTACATGTCACAGCCTTTCTTGAGGCCATCACCGTCTTAGCGTTGGTGGCCAACCTCCAGGACAAAACGATGGAAAAATTCCTTCGCAGGTTGTATGTTAATTTAATATTTTTTTCAGGCTAAATTTCCGTTGTCAGTATGTGCATTATGTTTCTTATGACAGTCTCTCGGTTTCGGATGTCTTTACTGATGCTGAGAATTTCATATAAATTTTTCTGGCCACAATTGTAATTGTATTTTATAGTATTGAAAATAGCAATAAGACTGTAAATTTTTTGCAAACACGTTCTAAATGACATTGTCCAACTCAATTTTTACTAGACTCACTTACAATGTTGTGACAACTGGGCAGAATAACTCATTGTCACAACTAGTCAATTTAGAGTTAAGCGACAATTCCACGACTAGTTACTTCAACTTCTTGCACTTGGACGATCTGCACTTGCACATACGACAAGTAATATTTATTTAACTGATTTTCTATAGTATTCTGCCAAAAATGATCAATTCTTTAAAACCAAGCTAACATGTGCGTAATTTTACTTCTACAATTCTTTTTATTTCGCTCAATATTCTACAGACCGCATACAGTTATTATAATTTTCTACGCACGTATTCCTAAATCTCACTTAGACATTCCTAAATTTCGATCAGAATTAACATATCCATTACTTTGAACTCTATTTATAAAAATTTAGAAAAAAACTCACTGTTGAATCTAAAAAAAAAAATGCAAACCTGACATGTGTCTATTGAGGAGTAGGGATTTATTGCAGTTTTTTGTAACCGATTTCAAATGTATGTGAGAATACTGAGCGTGAATTAGGGATTTTCTATGGAAATCTTTGGTTCTCTTAAACCCTAATTACGCAAAAAATTTATATGGATATTGAGAAATAAAGCATTAGCTATCGCAATATTTTTGCCATATTCGACAAATATTCTGTGCGTCTCTCTGATCAACTTGGTATTTCCATCATTCCGCCATACAAACCGAATAGATATACACTCGTTCCTTTACTTAAAATAGCCCTTTTCTCTAAATTAAATAAACGCATTTAACATTAATAGTAAAATAATGAACTTATTTCTAAGATATTTCAAGATGGCGAGACGCATTTAATTCACCCCGATTGCACATGACGCGCGAGCGCTGCAAGCGTCAAAGAATTTTTCAGCTTTGGCCAATAGGCCACGATCATGCTCAGAGAAGGAGTTAAAAGATAGGGGAAACTGAGTCGCGACAAAGAGTTTAATGACTAGTTTTTCTAACTGTCATGCAACTCGCATCCGATTTCCCAAAACTATCATATGACTGCGTTTTCTATTCTTATGCTTCTAATTCTTCTTTAAAACGAAAGAAATCACAGAATCCGTAAGTCCCTATAACCTTTTAATTGTCATTTAGAGACCCTTTCTGTAACCATATCTAATCACATTGCTGGTCGAGAATTAAAGTAGAAAACAGGACTGTATGATCTCCAAAATGATCTCTAAGTATTGTCAAAAACCACGGTGCCCATGTGTCATCTCCCCGTATATGTATATACGGAAAATAAAAAAAAGAGTGTGAAGCTAAAAAAAGCTACAACAAGGAACACATTGAATCGTCGCTAATCAGTCTACAAATTGGTTATCGACAAGGTTATCGAAGTGTAGTTCACTCTTATAATAGAAATAATGTATTTTCTTTAGTATGATTCTATAAACCGATCTTAGATTTCTTTGTTCTTTAAATAAACCATAGGAAAGCTCATGTGTTATATGATTCCAAAAATAGGAAATTGCAATTTTTCAGAAAGCTGTATAGCTCAATGGTCAGCGCATGAGACCCGCAACATTGCAGTTGTGTATTTGAATTATATCACTTGCAAACAATCAAACACAGCAGAGCGCGAAAAAATTGAGCCTTCTAATGTAAATAAAAGCAGCCCAAGCAGTTGCTGTTGAATGTTGCAGCTGAAACATACTCTTCACTGCCATTTTCTAACACGCTCTGTTTTCATGTTTGAAGGTGGACTGCAGAACTTCTTTGGTCGGCAAACTGATAATCTGCCATCGTAAAAACAAACCTGTCTCGAATTTCTTTTCTAATGATGAAGGCTATGGCCCTCTATTGGATGTAAATATAACTTAAGTAAGTGAGTGGCGAGCATAATTATAATAGTCAGTTTTTCTACTACTTTGTGTACGAGAAATTTTTATTTTGTTTTGTTAATGTTCAAAGACTGCTTTTGATTGTGATTAACGTAATCTACGCCCACAAAACCCTACACTTATTAGAGATAAATAAATAAATATCCTATTTAATTCAAATAGTGCAATAATTAAACGCAAAAGAATAATAAATGAGAATTTTGACAATGATTTTATAATATATTTCGATAGTTTCCTCGATAGTTTATTTATTGGAGTAATTTCGATTCTTTTTGTTTCATTCTTTGCTGTTATATTGTCGATTCTTTCATCTTAATTTCTTTCGTCTTTTCTTCTTCGTTCCTTCTTACAGATCCCAAGTAGTTAAGAGTAATAATTCGGGGCGCCATATGCCTTACAAGGACCTAGTCGCGATCTAATTCAGGATATAGCAATATAGCTTGCATGAACGAAAAGTATTTATTGATGTATTTTCGGCCAATAATTGTGATTAATTTTAAAGAAGGAATGGCCACTATTTAATATCAATCTGTTTATTCTGTACGAAAAGTACTTATATACTGCACGACAGACTTGACTCTGAACAGTTCATCAATAAAATAATCCATACGTTAAAATTCAAAAAATACAGTAATATATTAACAAATAATTGGAAAAAAATTATCAAGTTATAAATAAATTTTTATTATTAAGAAATAAAATAATATGTTAACTTACTATATCAGTCTCAGTAACGAATAAAGAACTATAATTAAATATATTCGAATTACCGAGCATTTTTTGTTGAAAATCAAATTTTTTCCCTTAAATGTATATTCGTAGTATTGTCGCTGACTTTGGATCTATATGATTTATTATTTTGGCTGATAGCTGAATTTGATAAAGTTGACGGAAACGACCTCTATAGCTTAAACTCCTTTTATCCACTGTGCTACATTTCGGGATTTAATTTTCCCTTTAATTTTCGAATAAGCATTAATATATGATATTTATCGAAATGATTAACATGACACAAAAAAGTGCTATTGAATCAAATACATTAATTGCTACTATTTGAAGCATGCTGTAATAGATTAAAAATTTATGAATATAACAATGATGTGTACTTGGTTTTTAGAAGGCTTGAAAATTATAGATTATATTAAAATTATATTTAGTTTTAAACTAATGCTCAACGTTTCTCTACAACAGAAATAATAATATTAAATTAGAAAAAAAAATCTTTGCTTTTTTATCATGCCTATCCGTTCTAATATGTGATATAATCAAAGATTAAAATAATCTCCAACACTAAAATAATCACTTCATTTAACATACACTTCGTCAGATTTGCATATTATCATGAAGTTACTTGGGTATCGGTGGCACAAAAATCAGCAGCATCGGTTAAATCAATATTAAATATACAAATGCGGGATTGTCGTCGGAATGTTGCGCTCCGACGGTGTTGATCAATCATTCCATAGAGCAAAATATATCAATTAAGGAGAACAATTACAAGTAAACAAATTTTGGTATAAAAAAAATAAGGACAAGTAAGTGAAAGTCTAAAAAAGGGACGTTTGTGTTCTTGTTTCTGGTGTGATATTGCTATTTTTCTGGAAGATTACTATACACAACGGAAGAGATGCCAACTCACTCGTTGCAGGGTTGACCAGCATTCTTCTAATGTTCGCTCACTGATCGTCGCTGCACTATTGGATCGCGTCAGTTGCTGCCGATTTATCGCGCGTTATTTGAATAGAGTGGGGGCGAAAATGAGGATGTGAATGGAAGGTGACAAAGATTAGAGTATGTTTTTTTAAGAACATAATGAAGAAAGAATGCATAGAGGCGCACAAAAAATGATATTTTGTATTAACCACCAGTAGTCTTTATACCTAGTCGTGCGCCTTTATGACTCTTTCCAGAGTTTTTTTTAGAAGGACTTATTCTACTAGTATAGATGTATGATTTTGTGCCAATTTACATTTTCACATTCGATAAGCATTTGAGCATTTTCCTCTGGACTTTATGATTTAAATTTCTCAATTCGTGTATTAAGTTTGCGTTTGTTTCACGTAAATCACCAACAATAACTTTCTGGAAACATTGTAGGATTTCTCATGAAATCACTGTGTATGCGAATGTGAGTATATTTGTCTATATATATTGATTTCTCGCCACACGATGTATAATAATTATAAAGTGTATCAATAAAGGGAAAAAAAGATTCGCGATACTAAGAGCATATGTGCCTCACTGTTGACCACGAATGGTATACTGAAAAGTGAACTGACTGTGAAGACACTGTCCTGGGGTGGGCTAAAAAGATTCCAAGCATTAGGGGAGGGGGTAATGCTTTTTTCCCTTTACATACACGTCCTACCAATCTTCTCAAACTCAAACCCCTGCACACACAATACGGCATGCCAACCATCTCATTCGTCCATTACTTGCTCCTTCTCCCTGTCAAGTTCGGGGTGCAACATAAAGAGAAGTGTTGTACGACACAAGGAATGAAGGGTGACTAAGCGAGAAGGCAAGACGAGAAATTATCCCCACCATCATCATCACAATCATGAGAAAAGTGTGTGAGTGAGATGTAGGGAAAGATGGTAAGGAAAAAGTATATACTTCCCCAAATGAATTTTTCCTTTTCACGCGCGCGAGGAATAGTCACCCCTTAGTGAAAGGACGAGAGAAGTAGCTGAGAAAGAAAAAAAAGTGTGTGCGCCACGATTGAGAAATGCATCAGTGCGCAGTTGGTCAGATTTGAAATACTTTTGGTATGTATTTCTTTCTTTTTTCTCAAAATGTACGAGTGACAAGGAGGTTAGGTAAAAAAGGACAAGGGAGAGAAAAGAAAAGAATGGTCCGTGAAGACACACTCGCTTTGCTCCGCCTTGTTAAAGAATAAATACTGACTCAGAATACACAGTGATTCCTAAGAGGTAAACGCTCAGACATCGCTGACTATTGGCACAAGACACACATGGGGTGCACAGGACGTGAATATACCCGTCAGACGTCGAACAATAATGAGATATGTGCAAATGTAGGTGACAGGGATCCATGGTCATTGGGATCGGCACAAATCTCAATAATATATCGATCACCACCGGACCATAAGATCACCACACATACAAACACTACAAATTATTAAGGAAATTATAGTCGTAGAGTGTTGTAGGCAAATATACCTGGAACTCATTGACAAGCTTTTCAGTTGTAGGCTTGGTATCTGGCGTGGCGGATCCGCCGGGTGTAGGTGAGTGTTGCAATTGTGGCATCTGTGTGCCCATCTGACCCATCATATGAGGTGAAAGTGGTGGTGCTGGACACGCTGCTGGACTGTCCGGCCCTTTCGCGATGTTCTGGGCACGTGTCTGCCAGAAGTCTGTATTCATCTTATACATACGATGTACATCCGTGCTCATTGACGTGGCGCTGCTGAGGTCCAGTGCGTGATCCACGATATAATCACTCACTCACATATGTGCTACCTGGGCTGATCTGGAATACACGTGAACACTGAGTGCACTGCCATACAACGCGTGTATGTGCGGTTGTAGGTTGGTCGTTAGACACTACAGATAGACGGCGACGGACTGAATGTCGCGAACAGTGTGGTGTGCCCAAATATAAAGGAGAGCGCCTCAAGACGACCTCCTCGTCCGCGAAAGAAAGTGCGTGGAGGAGTATAAGGAATGGTGGGGAGGACAAGACGCTCACCCCTCCATCAAGGAAATCCTTCGCTGTTGTCTTCGCGCCGTCTTCGGTAGTTCTTCATCTACTAGCGCCACCTCTTATCACGACGCCATGCGCAAAAGCTCTAGCATGCCTCCATTAACTCATTTACTACATTTTTGTTAAGATAAAAACAGTACTGAGTGCAGAAGTTGGGGCATTTGATTTTACATATCATTATTAACTCCGTTGTTAAATTGAAATATGGCTAGACATTTAATCTTTCACTTTTACACGCTTTTTATATTCACTGAAAAAGTTATTTTTAAATCTTAATTTTTATCCGTTATTGTAATTTTAGGAATGTACTCTCTAATTTCGGTTTATTTTAATAACAACTGAAACTAACTTTCTGGCCAAATTTAAGTCTTAAGCCAAACTGTCTGCTCTGTTGTTCGTACATTTATGCATGATCAAATCATTGAAACTGGACTAAAGAGACTGCCGTATCAAGCTAATACTGTTATTTCAGTTCATTGAACAAATAAATGGTTCAGAAGAATATTGTTATTAAAAAAGAACAAAAAGACGATTTTAAAAATCTAAATGTTAATTAAATAATTTTTATGTATATACATCATGTTATGTGAATAAAAAATATGAAACCCAAGGATTAAAATTTTTTTGTTCTCGCCTGATACTGAGTTGAGAAGGTGACGTTATAGGTTATGTTTCCGCATATAGCTTCGTTATTCAAATATTTTGGTATATATTTTGGTTCAATTAAAAACATTCAGTTAATGTTTTATAAACATAAACATAGTTTTTCTCAGTTTAAATGCATTTAAGTTTTGTATAAAAACAATAAATCGAATCTAAAGACTTAAAGATTTGTAATGAATGTTGTTCATACTGAAGGCTTTTGAGCGTAAAATTAAACTTTTCCCTGTTCTAAAAATTCATTTTGCAGTGATATTTGTAGTCGTATTTCACTTGGAGACACTGTTTCATATGATATGTCATGTAGTAATATTTAAAAGATTCAAGTATTGTTGAGTCTGATAGTTTATTATACTCCTACATTTTTATTATATTTGTAGCATAGATTTAAAATGCAGAATAACAATGAACTACTTTAATATGTAGTAACCTAAGCAAAAAGGAAGAATTTTTCTGTATTTTTGGACTAAATCAAGAAACTTTATGTATGGGTTTTCCTATTTTAGTCAGTCAATTTATCCATTTAAACGGTAATAAACAATTGCTGGTTTTGATACATGCCTTTTAAATTTTCGCATCATCCCAGGCAAACGCAACTATTGTAAAATGATTTCTTGACCCGAGGTGATGGGTTTTCAGTATGGAGCCATGGTTTCACAGAACGCAGTTCAGTGTTCAGAACTCGAGTGTATTAAAATTGTACAGAAACTGTTTCTTTCCGATTGAAATCAATTCTAGCCTAAAGTAAGTAGAGTTATAAATTTGATAGCAAATTTGGTCATATGTTATAAGGAGTAAGGTCATTTTCATTTCAATTAAAAACATGAACATGCATAAATCTGTATTTAAAATATGTTTATTCCAGTAGCTTCATTTATTTCACACAAATTTAGGATATTTCAAAACAATTAACTTTTACTTATATATATATATATATATATATATATATATAAATGTTGTAAATCTATACACGCGTAAGGTAAAGGGCATCGGGTAGAATTCACTATATAGTGGTAGTTATCAAATTGTGTACCTTACAGCGCTGAACAACCTTAGATAATATGTCCCCTTCCATCTCTGCCAAAGGCATTTTCAAGTGCATTTTCATTGCACAAGTGTACTGGGTAAATATTTGTTCAATCGTATCTTTTTTTTCCTTGCTCAATTCGCGCGCGCGCGCGCTTTCTGTACACTATGACTGCAAGCTTTCTGGCTTGAGCACGATAGAAAAGCCACGAGGGGCAACCTGGCAACCTAGCAACATAGTTGGGATCTGATGTGCGATAGAAAAAGTCAACAAGAAAAAGCTGATAAGGAAGAAAAAAATTTCTTGGGAACCCGAGAGATAGTGATGCTTCGTAAAAAGTCACTCAATGACATCGTGATCGACATAGTCCTGGGCATAACTTTGTTAACGAAGCAATAGATTTTGAAAAGAGAATATGAATACTGTTCATAAGATAAGCGCGTCTATTTAAAATAATATTGCGCTAAGAAGCGCTTTTTAAAAGTGAAAAAATGCAAAATGAATGTATTTTGCGCATTGCGCATCAGGAATCGCGCGAACTGTGGGATTTCAGCTCAAGGCTATTTTACTTAAAAATAATATTACACACATTATCTGGTATAGTGACATGGAGGCAAGCGCCTGTGTGAGTTAACATATTAGGTAGGGGTTGAAACGATGTATAAAGTCCTGTGAGATCGTACATATTCAAATATTATAAACAGCTTCTTTCACGATCACACTTACTTGACACTAAATCAAACACCTAATAATGTCAAATATCATCCTCTTAAGGGTGTAGTTATCACCCCACTTTGTACTCTTAAAGTGCAAAGAAAAACTTCCACGATACACGGTTAAGAGAGGGTCGTGAGACTATAGTGTTGAGAAGAAGGAAAAAGGAGCGATGTCAGTGCAAACCACCAAACGCGTTTTACGTGAGACCAATACGAAATGCAGACTAAATGCACAATTTTATTTTTGCGAGTGCATTCATGAAAATTTTCTAAACTCTTGCACACTCTTGCCGATCGTACGATGGAGAGATGCACACACTCGAGGGCAATATCCCGCATACATACATACACTCTGACCGCCGATCATAGTGAGAGGTAGTGACACAACGCCTGGAAATATATTGGATATTGGAGGACTTTTTACCCATATAAACTATGTCTTAGTCTCATAATTACCATCGCACATGTTACAAAAGTAATTAATTTGTTTGAAATAACAATAAAGTTCAATTGTAGAAATTAAAGAAAAAATTACCCATTACGTTTGTAGCGTTGTTTTATTTGAATACTCAATGAAAAAAATGATAGATTGCGGAGAAAAATATTTATCGGAATCCTTACTCACTGTCTCATTCACATATATATGCTTACACGCAGCAGACGAGGAAACGAGGCATAAGTCAAGTAAATATTATTAAATCAGTCAAAAATATATTTACTATTAAATTAATAAACATTGGTTTTATCTTTTTCTGTAAAAATAGTTCTAATTATGAGAAGTTTTGTATATATTTACAATGGTTACTTCAAAGGCTTTAATGTGCCAATATTGGTTAACATGATCCTCCGAATGTACTCCGAAGTGCATTCTCTCGAAAGGGGTCTTTTTTCTCGCGCTCGCTCGAGAACAAAATAATCTTCTCACTGCTCTCAATTTCTCTCGTTCTCCGTCGAATTTTTTTCTGAGCATTTTCCAATATCTATTACTATTAGAGGTATTGGCCACATAATCATATAAAGAAGTTTTCCTCACACAATATTCAGGGGATGCGCGGCTTTTTCAGACAATCCTGAGTGATGCGCGCATAAAAAGGTGGAAGTAATTCTCCGGAGAGAGAGAGAGATAGTAAAAAAGCGCGTCTCAGATTGCGAAGTGTGCAGTTAAAAAAAGTAATAAAAGATGGAAAGAAAACGCGGAGGATGATGTGAATGACCTGCCTCAACAAAAATATAAATTTCTTCACACACATGCGAGTAGCAAAAAAGCGTCCAAACAATTATTATTGGCCGAACAGGGCTCATTTGCACACACACATACACACACCCGAGGTTTAAAGTTGGTGTTGTATATTTTTTCTCTTTCACTCATTCACTTCATCTTCAACATCTCTGTTACGACTTAGTGGCGAAAGGAGTGATGAGACAGACCAAGTTAAAGGAATCGATCCCGCATGATATTCAAGGTGATCACAAGACTCTTTCCTTATGGCAACTAGTAAACTAGCCTGGCACTTCAGTCTTGTTTTTTAAGTCATTACAAATGAAACATTATCAATGATCGTAAACTGGGATCGTCCTCTTTGACAACCAATTTATGACCATACGTACATATATATTATTTCAAAACGGTTTTTGTAAATTTTTGTTGATTAGTATTGTACCCACCTCTGTATTCTATGTAATCGCCTATCCATGGTGTTTTCTTTTTGCGGATCCGCCTGAGTCATGACTATACTTCTGTATTTCACTAATTCTCACTTCATTTCATTCACTTTGTTTAAGTGTGTAATATTTTAAACTTTTTGCATTGCCATTTGGTGTTATTTGTCGCTTATTATTATGATTATTTTATTTATTATTATTTGCAGATTTACGAAAAAGGAGAGGATTTGTTTTTACTATTTTGCCTTATGTTTTTAGTTTTACTTTCTGTTCTTCTGACTTTTTTTGTTTTTCTTTCTTCGGTAAAAATGCAGCCTAAATATTGACTTTTGTACTAAACATTTATATGTCCTCATATGAAGCGTTTTCTTCTTTATATACAATTTTACTACTACCTCAATTTCTTTTAGTTGTTCCTTTAAATGTGTTTCTTTTGTTGTAAATATTAGAAAAAATTACTTTGGAGACATTAGCTGTCTCGTTAGTTTCATTATCAAAAGATTTATGTTTTTTTCGATAACTCAACGGTAATGTTCATATCTTCATTAAAATTCTGTTTTTTATTTAGTATAATTTCTTTTCTTTTAGCTCTGTACTTTGTGAAAATTGCTGATCCACCCGGAAAAGCGTAGAGGCTAGGTGGTGGATTTGGAGACTAGATCATACGAGGCCCGACTTATTTCTAATGCACCCACTTTTTTTACATTTTTTTCGAAATAGGTTTCTCTATGATTTATTCACATGATTTTTTTTTTCAAATAAGGCCCATTTTAAGGCACATTTTTGCATTTCTCGTTTCTCATTTTGTGTATTATCTCTCTTTGTTTTAGCTTTCTTTAAGATAAAATAAACACTAAAAGACTTTGTTTTAATTGTTTGTCAGTTTTCTTTAGTAACTTTCAGTTAACGTTTTGGTTGTCGCAAAGGATTTTTCTTCTTCAATTTTCTCTTTATTCCTTGATCTGTCTAAAATCACAATTTCGTTTCACAAAAAACTGTATAGGCCTAAAAATTTATCACCCAACATTTCCATTTTCTTCCTTCATAAATTCACTGGTATTAAACTTTTTGTTTGACGATGTATTTAATAGTTTTTGGCTAAACATTTGCTTTCAGATCTGCACATTTTCATAGGGACATTGTTTTGCTGATTTGTTTTCACTGAATTTTACATTTTGTTTTTCCTTTTTATAGAGGATAACAGTTGTGTTTATTATCTGTTGTTTAGAAAAATAAATCTTACTTGTGCAGTTTCTATTGTTTGGTTGTCAACGATGGTTTATTATTTTTTTTTTTTTACTATTTATGTATACTTTATTATGCTTTTGTTTTGGTGGAGATGTAGCCCGTTCTATTGAGTGGATTTACGTATGCAAATAAATTAGTGAAAAAATTAATAGAAAAAATAGCCCACTAGAGTGTGTCCATTGATGTCGTGTTGTGCTAATATTGCAGTTATCAAAAGTTTTACTTTCTCACTATATAATCACAATTATTTTGCGAGGGTTTTGACTCTAGATTTGTGTGTACATCAATTTTTCTCTTTATGACTCAAAGTTTGTTGTCTATATTTTTCACACTCACATTTGCATTATATGTTGCATACATTATATGGACTAAGTATATTTTTTGTTTATATAATGGCAATTTTTTTGGTACTTATATTTCTGTCTTGGAATATAATTAATTTTGTCGTGTTGCTCTGGCGTTCAACTTTTCAACGAGTTTTCTGTCTATTTTTTTTATGTTGTGTCCTTCCACGGGATTGATTGATATATATATATATATATATTTACGTATAAATGTGTATGTGTGTGAGTGTGTGTAAATATATGTATATGTTATGTATGTGTGTGTATTTCTTAACGTTTGGTATTCTTTGTAAATTTGTGTATATGGATCTGTACGGGAGTATACCTTTGGCCTGTATTATTCTGGTTCTTTCCTTTTCTAAAGTGTGTTTTATAATGAATGCTAGCTAAATGGAATGTGGTACTGAAAACTGTTTGTTCCGGTGTCAGTGTAATGGTGTTTGATTGTTATGTAGGGCGTGGTGGTCACTTTTGTCCAACTGTAACCTTGCGCCTGCCTCTATTTTTATTAGGTGGTGGATATCTTAAATTTTTTTTAACTATAGGCTTGCATGTAACGGCGCCAAGCTGTGCAAAGCCTAGGATTTAAGTATTATGCCTTCCATCTGAAAAAAGTAGAAAAAAACAAATATAGTACTTCTAAAGTCTATGATGGACTCAAAAGGATTTTATATCGGTCGAATTTAATTATTGTGTAGGTAAAACGTTTTTCTGCATCTAACTGTGGAGGTGGGGTATGACGCGTCCGCCATATTGGCGTGTGTCTACGCAAGTATACTCATGAGCTAACTCAATGAGGAACTGAATCTGCAATCACATTATTTGAGTAATATAATAGGAAAAAGTGTCTAATTAGGCGAATTTGAAGCTCAGGTGTAGAACCTTTGTTTAGGCACATAAACTATTACCAAGAGACTATTTTCACTCACTCTCGTACACGACAAGATAATTCCAGGGATGATGAAAGCGCAAATTTTACTTTTCGAAACTCCGTCACTTATTGTTATTAGCGTGATTCTTCCTTAATTGCTCTGTCGACTTTATACCTTGTTTTGTGTCTATATATGTGTATATTTTTAAAATTTCTTTTTAGGCTTGTCCAACTTGCATCAACCGCGATGCAAACTGCACTTAAACTGCACCCCTCGTCGTTGCTACTCGATTGGTAAATTGTAGGCTGAGGGGGTTGAGATGCGTTGCATTCATGACAACCCCCGTATTCCCCCTAAACAGAGCTTGCGTCGCGACAGTACTTGGTCATAGTAATAATTACATGCATTTTGCGACTCATTTTGACTGTGCTGAACAATTAATAAATAGTAGTTATTTAAGTTTGTAGGAATATTATCGAACGAAGATAGAATTATTTCCTTTGGAGAATTCAAATTGGTTCACAGTGTCTTTCAAAATGTTTGTCACATCCCACTTATGATAGCTGATTTGAATATATATATGTATATATAAATATATATGTTTATATATAATATATATATATAATATAAGTGTATGTGTGTTTGTATATTATACTCCACCCTAATCTAATGTATCCTGTTTTTTTTTGTAAGCAGGTGCAGCGACTCACAGTTAATAGATACTATTGATTTCCCACCACCAATTCCGCTGCGCCCCCCACTACAACAAATGGAGACCGCTTTCCCAAATCAGTGACCCCAACGCGACCTATAGACACCTACATAATCAATGCGATTCCTTAAAAATTTAAGAAATGGCCTGAACATTGTTGAACATTGATTAACATTTTAAAAAATTGAAGTATTAGCCAGCACGCGTGACAGCGTGCGTGGAATGCGACCAAAGCGGTGTGCATTATTGCACATAGGCCGTAGAGGTCGGGCCCCCGTGCGCATACTACAGGGCGCACACACGCGCCCTGGGCCCACCTACTGATGCACTCGACAGTTGCTGGTCACTGAGGATAGTCACTGTGGGGTCATAGGCTACCAGATGTGACAAAAATGATAATTTAAAAGGGGTGAAGATCATTTCTCTGACCCTCGTCCGCGATTGTGATTTTTAGCGGTCCATCTGCCCGTCCAGGTGTGATACTTTCACGCGAAGACTCCTTGGCGTTGGGTCATATTCAAATCTGTCCATGGGTAGCACAGCCGGCAAACGAGAGTGAACGTTCACAGAAAAGGGGTCCAACAATTGCCTCACGTATTCCAAATGTGTTCAATTGCAATTGAACGGACCCACGTTACAGCTGACGCGTTGCTCTTTTTTTCTGTTTCTATCCAAAGCGAAACTTTTTTATGGCTCACTAGCGCGTGAGGAAAGTGTACACACGCCTCCACAATAACCGATAAGTTAAATGTATTGAAGGCTGACAGTTGAAAAACGTTTCATTTGGACACTAGCATTTATGATAGCTGAGTTATAATCTATTCCAAATACCTTATTCGCAAAGACAATTTGGAGAGAACTCCATTTAAAATCCAACACATTTTCACTGTGGGGTTTTATATGTTTTGCTTTCTTAAATAACTTTTATATAAAAATGACCCGAATAAAGGAAAAATAGATGTCCCGAGTATTTATTTGAAAATTATTGCATATCTTTAAAATTGAGGCAGCAGTCACTTATGTAACATACAAGAAATTTGATTTTCACTCTAGGTCCTGGAGACTGTTTTATGTGTGCAGCGCGTATACTACATGTGACTGTGTGTGTGTGTCTAAATTCATATTGGAGAATACTATCGTGAATTATTTAATTTATTGAATTGAGGCATACATGTAATATATGTATAGTTGTAAGTTGTATGTTAATATTTTCGCTCGCATCGTCCAGTGCTCTAAGCTCTAGCATAGTTAGTATGCTAGGTTTAATATAATTTTATATATGTACTAATGTGGAAAAGATTTAGTTTTGTCCATTGACTTAGAACAAGAAAAGTCTTTGCTGCTCAATTCTTTGAATATATAATAAATTTATTTTTTTTTAATAAATATTTATAGAACAGACATTCAAGTCTAGTTATAGAGTAGTAACAATTAAAAGTTTCAACTGCCCTAAATCCAGTTTTATTACATCAGCGAAAAATTATAATTTAGTTCCAGAGACGTCTTATGTACCTAGAATCTTATATTTAGTCTCCCTGGTAGCATTTTAGACCATTTTGCTAAACTTGATGTGGTTTCTAGTGCCTAAAAACCCACTGAAAGACGAGAGGCCTCCAGAACAATATACATTGATCAATATTTTTTACAACCTGTATTTCATTCCTTCACTCACCTCATTTCGTAAGAAACGGATGCTAAGGTATATTTAGTTATCAATTAATAATCATTTGGCTACATATATTAGGTTTATTTGGCATTAAATCTTTATTTATTTATTTAATATTCGATAAAAATCTTTAAAAAAAAATTCTTTTTTTAGTACTTCCTAAGTGACAAATAACCTTTAGTATGAAAATATACCTATAAATATTCTAGATTTTTTTTAAAGGCAAAGTAATATGATATGCGTTTTCAAGATTATTTTTATGCTTTAATTTATTGGGATATAACCGATATAATTATTTATTGTTTATATTAGTACCACTAAAAATCAAGAGCTGTCAACCTATATCCCATAAATAAATTTAAAATAAATTGATTTTAGCTAGTATTGAAGAAGCTCTCAATTGAATAAATATTTAATCTAGACCATGTTAACCTGAGTAATAAATATCTAAATTAGTCGTATTTAAATTTGTTAATTTTCTAATATCTAGATAAAATTTTGGTAAATGTCGGAAATTTGTGCATGTGTCTCTTCCTTCCTGAACGGAACTGTGAAATCCTTGTAAGAACCTTTGCGCTATAAGCCTTTTACTCCTACAGCCATGCAAAGCGATGGCAATCGAGGCGCCATCTGTATTTGCGTAGCGTATGAGTGCGGTCGCGGTGCAGGGTGCGGTCAGTGACGCGCGGACGAGGTAAAAAAAAGAAAGAAGGTCTCGCGAGTGAGAGTGAGAAAGCGAGAGCGCTCCTTCCTTCTCCGCGCGCACAAAGAAACACGACCATTGGACCGAACGCATGAAGGGGTGGGAGAAAATGAGGGTTGCTCTCCATCGATTTCTTCAAATCTCACCCCATGAGAATGCTCAAGACGTCGAGGCGACTTTGCATGTTACCAAGTAGGATTCTTGCGGACACAAAATAAATATGTGCGAAATAAAGATTTTTGTATGTTACTTTAAATATATTCTCCAATAACAACCTTGATAGATAGTCTATAAAAAGTCATTATGATTATATTAGAATAATAAAATAGGGGGCTATAAATTATAAAACAATATTTACTTTATCCTTCTTCACTCCGAAGTTCTCAACACATAGTGATTTTATTAGACTTATTGTAATTTGTGTCTTTTTGATCGTTACTACGTAGTAAAAAGGAAAATTAAGCTAAAATAAGTAATCAACCACTTTTTAGTGAGGTTGAAAACCAAAATTTATAATTTTAACTTCATAGATATATAACACATATATATAGTAGAATATATTTAATAATCACTTATAAGTATAAACTTTTGTAAGCATAGAATTCTATCTATCGACGTCTAACCGTTGATGACCAACCTCCAGAGCAAAACCGTGAGAAAGCTCTTTTACAGATTGTATAAGCGATCTTCCCCATCTCTTTCAAAATGAAAAAGAAAGAAAAAGCAGTTATTAAATATACATATATTATTTAAATTATATTAGTTAAAAAATATATTAAATTGTTTATTTGCATCTTACATTTTTCCGGATATAAAGAAGAGGATTATTCCAGAATATACAGATAGCGATTCCCTTAGCTGCCAAGCAAGGGATGGCTAATGTCGGACATGCAGTTTCACTTGGTCTAAGATGCACCCAAAATGCATCGGAGATGACGAGATGCAATGAAAATGCATCTGAGATGCCGAGATACAATAATATATGTTTATAAAATCTGTAGTATTTGCATCTTCGTGCGATCTTGATCGCGATGCAGTCGAGATGCAACATGCTGTGGCACTCAAAATCCACATTAGCCACCCCTTGATTTTTTGCTATTCTTACAAAAACGTTGTAACACAAATAACAAAACATATAATTATTTAACTTTATTAGCAAAAGACTATTCAAAATACCTAACGTAAGTTCAGTTATTTGCTCAAGAAAGGGTTTTTTCCAATTTTTCACAATTCTGAGAGAGGTTAACGCATTACCCGAAAACTTTCCGGACAACTTTTCACAAAAGTTTTTACGCTGATATGAACTCTAAATATTTTAGATTTTTTTGGAATAGCAGAATGGGCATGATGGGCAATGACTTTTCAGTACTCAACAAGAAACTGAAATTGTGAATATCCATCGATTTTACTCATTTGTCTATTCTTTTCATTACATTACATTTATATCGATCACAGCCTGATTTTTACAGTCTGATTTTTTTTTCTAAAATATGTGTCCAAGTCATTCATATCTGTGTTAAGGTAGCTCATAGAGACTTTTTACTGCGTGTTGGTTCCGTTCCTCGGTCTTTCATGACCTGGATAAGAAACGCGATGTCCGAATCCGAACCCTCTGTCCCATTCTGCACTCCGCTTTCGTCTATCAATTGTCTGATTTTGCAATGAAAATTAATTTTTTTTATTAAATATTTGTATTATTTCTGTTTATAATTATTCCAAATAATAACAATATCTGTGTCCTGGCAATGTTAGTTGACCAATGACTGAGTCCGTGGAATACCATTTACATGATTTTCTTCCTCCCCCATCTGTTTTTTCCGCCCTTTCTCGCGCTGCGCGAGAGGTCGACTCTGCAATGGCCGCTACGACGATAAGCCCTGAGCGTAAGAATTTTTGTGAACAACATACTCGCCATTCCGGATAAATATTTAGATATTGTCTGTGGAAATTCAGATAAAGTATATTTCAGATATTTTTTCTAGCGTAGGTGAACTGTTTTGGCATATCCTACAAAAGGTATCGGGAAAATATTCATATGGCATCCGCAAGAGGGTTAAAGGAAACCGGTTAGTCCTGTTTGACCACTTCTTGGTTTATACACAGCTCATGGGTCAGTGAAGGGTCACTGCGCGACGAAAAATATTTGTCCCAGCACATCTGTACGGCAGATGGTCAATCAAAACAATTTCTTGACGAATTCAGTCAACGGTCAGTTTAATCCAGAAAGCCC